GGTGTGCAAATATATCAGAAAAGGATGAATAAATCAAAATGGCGCACATACCAGATAAGAACAATTGATTAATAACCAACTAGTCTTATTTTTGTAACTGTCATTAATGAAAGTACTAGATTCTCTTGGTTTGTAAGAAACCAATGTTGTTCGAATATATGTAAATGATCATGATCAAATATTATTGAAAGAATTATCGAAAGTTTCATATTCCCATTCTATCCCCAAATTTTATCGTTTAGTGAGATTTGCCCAAACTGTATCATTCTGGTGAAATAAATTGAGAGCGAAAATACCGTGACAACAGAATAATATATAAATAAATGTAGCCTATATATACTACATTAGAAGAAGCATTCGCGAATGCGCTATTTATAGCAAGATTTATGCTGTTCAGAATACAGGTTCAATTATATCGAAACCTATTCTATATCTAAAACAGAGTGTGTCTCATGACTGAAGATTTTAAGAAATAATGATGTAATGAGATCCATAATTTTACGCTACCATTTATGAATATATATTACAGATTTTAAAGTCAGATAGATATTTCTGGTTCTCAATTACAATTCATACTTTCAATAGCCGAAACTGGTAATTTTGTATTCCTGTGAGATAATTTCGTAAGTAAACATTGTATTATTTATAAACATATCTAATGGAAATAGGCAACGATTGTGATAAAATGAAAACGTATAGATCGGAATGTTACTTTTTTGCTCCATATACATATCCACTTTATTGTATATATATATATTTTAATAAGATTTTAAGTTTTGATAAAGAGATGATAATGTCCCCTCGGGGTTACTAAAAAGGTTAAATTAAACGGGAGGGAAAATTAAACGGGCGAAACCCTTTATATATTATGTTTGAAGCTACACGCTGCCTGAGTAAAATCTGGGAATGCGGTTTCGTTGCCATTGAATGAAAAAACATAAAAATAAATTTTTGTGACTGGTATATATCTGCAACATCAATCAACGTGTTTAACCTGGTGATTGTTTTCTAGATATTCGGAACGAATTGACATTGGGAAACCGTCTCTTGTATTCAGTTGTACCTTGCGTCAATTTCATGATTGCTATTTATTATATTTTTTTAAATTGAATTAATACTTTACCTTCAAAATCTTTAGGTGCGATCCAGCCTTTAATAAACTGTTCTCTCAATGAATATTTCCCGACACTTTTATCACCCAAGATTGCTACATGGAGGCTGGTTACCTTCTTTGATTTTGGCATTTTTAACAGTCCCCGTTATTTTATCAGTAATTCATATATTTCTGTGGTTGCATGAAGTTAATGGTGTAAAAATTATAATTATTATTAAAAATTCAAATTTCCATGTTACATCACTGTGAAGTTTGAAAACAATTTCAAAAGCTATATACTTTGTAAACTGAACAATACTCGGTATACATAAGCTACGTTTATGGCTTGCAATATTTATATAACTGCGACAATGGCTCTAATATGATACTAATACTACGCATGAGGATTTGCAATCGAACATGCCCTGATAAGCACAATTGTTTTGCCTTTTCCATTTTCTGGTTTACGGTACATAGCAATATAAACAGACACGGCATGACTAATAAAATTTTAATCCAAATTTTTGGATTTGGATAATTGCCTCTCGTGACTACGTTTGGCAATTACAATAAAATATAATGCACACTGTTTCTGCACTGGTCTCACACTACCTTATGAGTGATTTGTACTTAGTTTAGCTGAGGTGGTTTGGTTTCCACATAATGTACCTACCAAATGACTCTAATTTCGTGCACTTACTCGTCTTCTACGTAGCTAGAATAAATCATATCGCTGCTGAAACTATGTCGATTCGTTGCATCGTTAGTACCGTACATTGAAGCGCCAGAAAATTTTGAATAGCAGCCAATTTCCGGCATAAAGACCATACTGTGACGCAATGCGTCATTCACATAAGACGCGATGATGTGGGAAGCATGACTTCACACCCATTGACCTTGCTGAAAACGCACTGCATAAACGCTTTGAATTGTTCTTCATATTATTCGTGATTCATACTTAACAACGACGGTCTTGTAACCGAACTTCTAGTCGAGTTTCATTCTTGTTCACGTAGTTTATCTTCACTGCTCTGTTTTTATATTCAGTTGCGACTGGTATTCATTCGTCTTTCGCCTCTGATGCACTGCTATAAGACGTAATCACTTCCTTATATATTGAGCAATATATGAAGCTAAAGTTTGTAGTTATCAACAAGCTGATAGCAACATGATAAAAACATCAGATATCGAATCGTACCCAAGTTAAAAGTTGTAAGCCATATGCCAGACACTAACTTTCGATAAGATAAAAGCAGAATATAGCTCGAGACATATCGCAACTTCAGAGGAAACTACACATGAAACGTGAATCGTTCTTTACTAAAATAGAACGTCAAATTACCAATGTTTATTTTGATAACAATTAAGTCCGATGGAAAAATTTGCAATATATTGGAATGATTTTGTTTTGGTTACGGCGACATTGGCCGTGTGTAATTTGCGCCCTGGGTTTCTGTTTCATCTGTGGTACGTACTACGTACACGACTACACATAAGAATATGTGGACTATAAATGGATGTCGCCTCAGGGGTGCATAACAATTACAGACCATATTTGTTCAATGATTTAACATCAGAAACTGTATATATATATATACTTTTCGTCGATTATTCAAATAAGCCATTGCGCAATAAGAATAAAATGCGACTTCAATTTAACTTTCTTTAGTTTGCGTAGTCAAGATTATTTATCAGGAAAAATATTAGAAGCTGGTTCTGCAATTCAAGATAAAACATAATACCTTGTAATAAACAATGTTACGTGGGTTTGAATCATCTGTAAGTTTTATCACACGGAAGTATTACGCTTTGGTTTACCTCGAAATCCTATACCAGGGATATACGTAATATAGTATACCAAACATTCGGTATAAGGTATACATACCTTCGTCTATAAAATATAACCTTCGATCACTCCAAAACTCCGATTTCTAAAAACTTACGAGAGATCATTATGAACAATAAAAATATCACATTTCAACACACAATCTACTAATATCGTATAAGTTCTCGGAATTTTAGGGCTCCATCAATGAATCGAAATCACTTTCGGAGACGGATCAGTAGTTTGCCAGGGGAAACAAAAACATTGATAACATAGCGGAACACTATTTGAAATTGGTATGTCCAATGGTAGATGTAGGCCTAATGATTTTATTCATTACTAGATTCCACGAAAATACGTGACGAAAACAAATTGTGACGTTTTGAGAAACCATCAACTAATGTGGGCGATGACGTAATGATTTGGCAATATTTATAAATAAGCCATCATCAGTGATTTAACAGGTATCGTTTTGTTAAGGCAAACTGTCGAAATAAGCTCACCGCTTCTCCGAGAATGTTGTGAATCGACCAGTAAGATTTGGTCACCTATAGCTTACTTCGACTATCGCTAAATTGAGTCTTGTATGGATTCAAAATTACTGAAAGCCTTCTATGAAAATATTAGGTTTCACATCATGTGTTATGGCTTCTGATTATCATTGCAGTGCGTTAGTGCGTTGCGACTCCTGGAGTCTCGACTGTAGTGACGCAACCCCTGTTGGAAAACCACTGCTTTTAAGTTTGCACGCAAGGAACAAATAGACACATCCGCAAAGCCATATACTGTATACCTTGCAGACTGAACTCGCAATATTTATGAAGTCGGATGGGTATCGGCTCGATGTTTCATAACAATTAAAAACAAGAATCAAGGTCAAAATTTGAAGCAAAAGGATATTCGCGGGCCAGGAAAGGGGAGCGGCCAATAGGGCGCAACGGTACGGGAAAAAATATGAAAAAATAGGCATTAATTAAAATAGACTGCAAGCTCAATTTTGGATACATCTAGCATCGCAGTTTGTCACGTAATAAAATTAATAATTATAATAGTTAGGTGATAGAATAAATCACTACTGTACTTATGGTTTATTTTGTTAAACAAAAATCACCCCAGTGTATATAAATAGGAAAAAGGAATGCCAAAATAATTTAGTTGTGTGTTTTCCACAAACGTGTAATTGGGGTTTGCTCAAATCAGATGTTCAAACCGTGGCTTCCATTTGGTACATTGTATTCGCAATACCGCATTCAAGTGATTATCTGTCAGTCTGGACCGAAGTTTTGATTCTTCCTCCACCATTAGGTCAATCGTAAATATGGGTCAATGCATCAGAAAAAATAACTGGCTAACTAATTGAGTCCTCTTATCGGCTTTCCTCTCACCCGAGATCGATATTTAAATCTTATCCAATGGACCTTTCCCCGACTTTTGACCCCCGAAAAATTCTTCCTATACTTTACCATTGCAAAATTTTCGGGCCTTATTTTAAGAGTGGTTTTGCGAGTTGGCGCCTATAAAATGGGGTATGTGTTTCAAACCATCATTATGATTCATCGCATACAACAATCTGTTTTTTAAAAGTACTGGTGAAGGATTTTGGCCCAGTCCAGAGCCATATAATGGCTCTGCCCAGTCTATCACAGCTATTTTTACACTAATTTTTTATTACTGCAATTAAATTACAACTCCTAGAAAGACAGAGTGATCAATGAATTATCTGATTTATATTTGAATTTCCAAAACACAACTGAAAACTAACGAATAGAATTCAGAGCGCGAAAACGAGGTAATGTTTAAGACCACGCCTGAAAATCTGTCTGAGTGAGAAAAGTGTCTGAGCACAAGCGAATCATGCATGAAACAAGATGCCATCAGAGACAATGCATAACAACAATGGACCTTCCCCGACCTTTGACCCCCGAAAAATTCTTCCTATACTTTACCCAACGACTTTATCATTGTAAAAATTTTCGGGGCTATTTTAGGAGTGCTTTTGCGAGTTGGCGCCTGTAAAATGGGGTATGTGTTTCAAACCATCATTATGATTCATCGCATACAACAATCTGTTTTTTAAAAGTACCGGTAAAGAATTTCAGGCTAGTCTACCACAGCTTCTACACTAATTTTTATTACTGCAATCAAATTAAAACTCCTAGGAAGACAGAATGATCATTGAATTATCTGATTTATATTTAAATTTTCAAAAGACGACTGAAAACTAACGAATAGAGTTCAAAAACGCGAAAACGAGGTAATGTTTACAACCACACTTGAAAATCTGTCTGAGTGAGAAAAGTGTCTGAGCGGATGCGAAAAAGGGGCATTGTTACGTCACTTTTTGCATCTTGCAGATTGGTCAATGTTTCGAAGTAAACAAGGAAAACGATGCTCGGGGAAAGGTCCATATGTAATGTAAAATCTATGATGCCATCGTGGTAACGTCGTGACAACCCGCGCAGTCATGCGTAACAAAAATTAGGGGAATTTTGGTTGAAACGCTGAAATTTTTTATCTGCAACTTGTTGTTTTGTTTCAGTCAATCTTTCGAACTGGTTTTCCACGGTTTTAAGGGATGTACAAATTCAAGTTTAATGATCCATCTTCGGAAAATTACCTATCTTAATGAAGATGTTCGTGCGTTCATCGCAGCTGGTTCCTGACAAAGGAAAGACTGGCGAATGGATAAAAAGAAATCCTTTTGTGAGTAACACTTCAGACTTTTGACTTTCCAATACAGCAATGACCATGATTAAGATTAGGAATTACATATTTATCCCGGGGAAGGGGGGAATCCGATAAGACGACTTAATCATATGGCGAACCACGGACTCTCGTCCGGTTACCGGTACTACAGTACCGGTACTAGTCCAGGTCGGGTGTGGGATTAGTTAGCCAGTTATTTGTTTTCGGAAGCCTGGACTTGATGGTGGAGGAAGCCGTAACTGACCAGCGGTTAGGTGAATCACCCTACCGCGGCGAGGAGTCCAGCAATCCTCTCGCACATGATGACCAGGCGTGGGATTCGAACTTGCGATCCCACGAAGGGTACCTAATCCAGTAATCAGAGATGCGGTGGCGAGCGTATTCCAACGCTTAGCACGATGCGCCACACCGCCGAGCCGAGGCTGAATTGCGGTCAGATGGTACCGGTAGCTTCGGAATTAAGATTGAACTTGTTTGTGTTCGTTTTTGACTAATTATTTTTTGCACCGGTATACAGAAGCTTGCTTAAGCTGTTTCTGTACTGGGTTATGCAACCACCCTACCTCCCTAAAACTGTACAATGCGAGAATTCCAGCAATCCGTTGCAACATTTTTTTTTTATATAAGTATCTCACATTTCATTGGACTGTGAACTTGTGCATGATATTTAAGAGATATATTACTGTATTAGGCCATACAGCCATACAATAGTTGCATTTCTCATCTTACCTTTATATTATAGGAACTTGATGACAAAGATGAAGTATGTAAGATTTGGAATTCCATGAGCGGTGAAGAAGGAGAAATAAATATTTTATTTCGATATGGACAAAACAGAAGTTTAGATTTTATGAGAAATGAGTGGAGATGGGGCAAAGAACCAGGTACTTGTCTTCATTGTAACTACATCTTTTAGTCCTATTTTGCATGTTAATTAATATTTAATACTATTTGATGAAATTTGAAAACATTAACCACAAGTCGTAGTAATTATTAAATCAACACTGAGAATTCAATCCTCTTTCTGTTGTTTTATCTGTAAGGCACCAGTATCATTTTGTTATGGCATTGAATTGTTATGAGCTGGTCTAAATTTCATGAACTTTCAAAGAGAAATCCGGCATGCAATCTGAGGTCTCGACGTGCAATCAGAGACTGCGTCATTCAAATTGTCTAAATTTGGCTGCACTCTTTATTATTGAATGTATTATTCTTCATTACATTACCCTTCAAATTGTGGAATAATTTTGATAATAAGCAATCACAAATTTTCCAAAATTGTATTTCAAGGTAGCACTAGGACCCTTGGACGTGCATTTGCCACAGAATTCAGACTGGCTTATGAGTGGGTAATATGAGTAAACCCAGCTTATAATTTGCCGAATATTTTTTTTCAACATCATTAACATATAGCAGACGGTATTCCACCTACATTACTGATTATAGAATTGACACCAGCAATAAGCCAATAACATTTTTTTCAGATCTTCAAAGCTTGAAATTGCATCTTGCAAACAGTTTTGGATCATTAGATGAGGTTGCTAAAGCAGAAGCTTGTCAATCTCCTCTTTATATTGATATGTTCAACAAACTTTACGTTAACAAAAGATATTATGAAGCAGTTGCTGATCATTTGAGATTTAGAGATTGCAAATCACAGGATCATAGAGGAATAAAATCAAAAATAACCGCTTACAAATTAAGGTTCAAATCATTTGAAATGTTTTTTTTTCAATTTTCGTGTTGTGAATTTATTTAATAATAAACAATATTTCAGCAAATGCTCCAATTTGCTATAACATGTGGAATTGATAAATTTAATGAGATGATGGATGCGATGCGCCTTGTCATCCATTCACTGAAAGTTAGTTCGACTAAAAAGTAATGCAAATTCTTACTCATTCATTTTGGTATGATTTGTTAGTTGACAATTTTTCCTAGTTCTCAAACTTTTCCCAAATTTTTGAGTAAATTAATCATTTTTTAAAATTTTGATTATATCTTTTTTAAATTGTCACTCCGACAAAAAATCCATATACATATACAATATTCCTCCATATACAATTAATATTTCTGAAATATTTTTTTCCATTGAAATTTGCCTTCCTATCAGATCTGATGACAATGCTGCTTCTACTGAATTAGAGTCACCTTTGGATAATTTGGCTCAAGTTGGAAGTAAAGTAGCTCTGTCGTTTGCTTTTACATTCCTCAAAAGAGCATGGAGATCAAGCGAAGATTCTGATTTATGCACAGATTTATTACAGGTGTTATTCTTATGCTGAAAAAGATCAGACTTATTTACTGAATGCTTGGTATGACAAAATGATAGGATTTTATTAATATCCTGGGGGAAAAGGAAAGCCGACAAGTGGCAAGTTTAATATTACAAACTGCGGTGTCTTGTCCGGTTACTAGTCTATGTCGGGCATGTGAATAGTTAACCATTTATTTGTTTTGGATGCATAGACTTGATGATGAAATAAGCCTGCAGACCTGCAGTTTCAGACTTGAGCAATCCTCTTGCACATAATCCTTCCACAACAGGATTCCAGTCTGTGAAAATGTGCATGGTAATCAGAAGTGTTATGGCTAGCGGTCTTAACGCTTAGCATGATGCACACATCATCCGCTGAGCCGAAAGTTTTCTTGCATTGAATTTAGTCATCTGACCCAAATAATGTTGCTAGTCGATCTATCTATTATTTGATAGCTGTTATGACAAACCTATATAAAACTGAGAAGTAACTAATTTCACCTTTTTGCATTCAGGACACTCTATTTGCTTTTCGTGCTCTTCCGCCAGCATCCATGTATGATGTTTCAAAAATATCCAAAACCTGGATTAATGTTGTCGACAGATCAAAAGAATTTCTAAAATCGGTTGCTTGTGGGTATGTTATCTTTCATGGTCATGACAGGATTTCATTCTTATCATTGTTGTGAACTGCTTGTCTGAGGAAGTCTGACTCTGGTCAGGCGAACTGTCACAGAAATACATTCGTGTTAGTGTTCAGCAGGACTCTTTGATTGGATATAATAGTCATGTTTATTCCTACTACAGCATCCTTGCAGTATACGCATACGAATCCAATAGCATAAAAGCATAGGGGAAGGATAGGGAATTAGTCTCGCGCAACGCAACCCAACTCAAAGTCTAATAAGTTACGTTGTAATTAGCATCATTCAGTGTTAGCGATTGAAATTTGATTTTATTTGTCTCATTTTTCTTCAGTTACGTGGCAATGCTTTCTCTCTCTCTTTGACACGTTTACAGTACAAGCGCAAAAGCGTCTTGCTTTTTATGATTTACAGCACATGAGGATATCAGTAATTCTTTTTTCTCGTGATGCGCACACAAATGCAGCAACATCAAATATAATAATCACGGTCGAGATATTTCCGATTCACTGTGTGGGGGAGCTGAATATGAGAATTAATGGAGAAGGCACATTATTGTCCCCATTTACTTGCACTTTTTGGTCGAAGAAAAAAATAAGCCTGCGGTCGCGACACAATTTAAGTTTCACAATTTTTTATTTTTTTATTCAGGGACTTGGGCAACACACATGATGTGGGTTCTTCTGTTCATACAATACCAATATCAGATCAACATTTAGCAATAGATTTACTCCTGGAAATATCATTGCAAAAAGGAACTTTATGCAGCATTTTGGAAATCTTGTTTTATTTGTTGAACATGTGGGAAGCGAGGAAACAACATCCGGAACAAAAGTATATTTTATACAATGTTTTTCACAGCTTTCACTTCAAACTAGACTCCTGTAGACTTATGTACAATCATAATTATGATATGAAAGGAGCTAGGCTATTGTTTTTTGAGGAAACCAGAATCTTTTTGTTTCGACCTAGTAACTTTATTTTTTATTTTCAAATTTTGATTGGAAAAATTACAAAGAAAACGCTGATTCTTTAAATGGTTTTATATTCAAAGTTTGAAGCCATATTCATAAATAATTCCAATAAAAAGTTATTCAAAAGTACATTATCGAATATCTGTTATTGGGTTTAAAACAAAAATCAATCTCTGATCATTTAATTAAATACCAGTACCAGATAATATTTAGTAATTAATTAATTCGGGGTTGCTGATTTTATTTACGGTAGCTATCACATTACAGCAGTTGAGAGACTCTGTTTGAGTCCGAGTCCCTCATCTTTAATTCATCCCAAGACTGAAAAACCGTCAAAAATCACTAGAAACCTTGCTAAAACGTTCAAAAACAGTGGAAAACCGTCAAAAAACACTAGAAACCTTGCTAAAACGTTCAAAAACAGTGAAAAATCGTCCAAAAACACTAGAAACCTTGCTAAAACATTCAAAATCAGTGAAAAACCATCAAAAAACACTAGAAACCTTGCTAAAACGTTCAAAAACAGTGAAAAACCATCAAAAAATACTAGAAAGAAATTGGGTAGGCTATACCAAAAGACATTTGGAGCTTACAGTTTTATTTTAGATCAAAGTGACTGCTTGTTTAGGTACTTGTTCAGGGTGAAGCTGTACAAATATAATTTTTACATTTTGTTATATTTCTTCAGGAAAAATCATCAACGAACTAGTGGTCCTCTTTCATCATTTCTGAAGAGAGTTCGAGCTTTGATTATGAAATTGAAATTGGAACAAGAGATCTATGCTGAAATTGAATTAGAAAATCAAGTATGCTTACTATATCCTTGCTTGTATTTTATGAAAATTAAAATTTAATTCTTGAGTAATGCTTTGTTTGAAGAAGTTAAATATATCCAGGGATTTTAGATTTAAACACATTTTTCTAGTTGTTAAAACAGTCAATATCTCTCCTGACCTTTGCTCTGGTCTTAGGATTGTTTTTCAGGATTTTATTGATGAGGGTAATTTCAGATATAAACGCTATTATTTTTAGGATTCATCTTCTAATGATGACAAGACTGATGTGAATGACTTTTTGCTTGAGAATTTGTATTTTCCTGACAATGATGATGTGTTTCTAGGTAGTATTTATATTTATTTCAAAGGAACATCTCTCCCTCACTAAAAAGTATACTTATACAGGTGGCAAAATTGCCATGCCTTGAAGAGTTGATGTTGACCTATGACCTTGACCTATTATTATTCATTTCTAAACTAATTTTTGGATAAATCAGTTTCTTGGAGTATTACTCAGTTTATTATTTTGTAAATGTCAAATTGTTTTGCACTATTGCATAAATATAGTTTATTGGGTTTTGGAATTTCTGCGGTCGGCCACAACTTTTCTCAGAGATGAAGCTCTTATACTTTTGATTCAGTGCACATGATATTGGTTTGAGCAATTAAGGGGCTTGAGCTTATGGCGACCCATTTAACTCTTTATGACATAACACAAAACACAGCAATGGCTAATCATCGCAAAACTACCATGTTTCCTTGAAAATAAGACCTAATTTGTATTTTAAAAATGATTTCAATTGAACCCTTCCCTTAAAATAAATTCAAAATGTGTGGGAGAGGAAAGGTTCAATGACCTGAGGTGAAAATCACACCACTATTCCAGATTGTGTGATGTCACAATCATAATTATGATATTTGTCACTTGATTTTTGTATAGGAAATACAAATAACAACAATGGATGTCGGTTTTTATATAAAGTTTATTAAAAAATCTTGTGATTTTCTACCATGTAATTTTATTTTTGATAAATGAACACAAAAACCTCTTCCAAAAAAAACCATAGGGTTATTCTTGAAAATAAAATAAATCTAAATCCTGTCTAAATTCCGGGGAAACACGGTAAGAAGTGCTGTGCAGTGTACAAAACTACTATGCGTAAATACGCCACATGGTCATTCTTTGTGTAGCAAATTTTTTTTTCTTTGAGAAGATCGTAAAAAGGAAACTTTCAGAGATTATAATTTAAATTCAATTTAGTTTCTTTTGTTTTTTTGAAGATTTACGTATTTGAGTCACCACCAATCCCAATAACCAGTATAATGTTGATCAAAGCTTTTTACATCTTTTCACGACCACTAAGATTCCTTTAGCAACCCACCAGTAGGTCGCGACCTATAGTTTGGGAACCGCTGAAATAGATCATTTTGAAATATTCCGAAAGCATTGTTTTTTTATTACAGATTTTCAACAAGTTGTCGTTTTATCTCTTGCTTATTTGAGTCAACTCGCAAAACCTTTACTGAGGAATAAATGTATTGTTAATGTGAATTATGAAAAGGAAAAATTGTTTGAATATGGCAAATTTGACAAGGAGTTTAAAGTAAGTACCGGTATCTATCTAAAATTCCTAAAATCTGACACAGAAAATTGTTTTGTAATTGATTCCTATGTTTGTCATGAATTGAAAAATCATAAAAACTGTCATTTGTCTACATTTCATATTGACATGAGCAAACTTTCATCTACGTAATACAATTATAAATAAAATTTGATGGATGCATATTTACTAGTGGCCAGTGGGTTAAAAGTGCGAATGTATGTGGGTTTAAATATCTATGATTTTAAAAGTATGAGGTGCAGATACCTGGGTTGCGTGTGACGAGTTCAAATGTACACTGGTGCAGATAAGATAATTGAACCAAAACGCCGCTATCTTCTCCAAATCTTATCTGATATTTTTTCTGATATCTGATATGAAGGTATTAGAGTGGAACAACAATGGCAATTTTGCTTCTCCCAAACTGCTCAATGGTCTCAACGATGTAAAAGATATTCTACTTGGTGATCTATTTAATGTTGCACTCACGCGATCGGGTGAAATACTCATATTTGGTCATTTCCATGAATGGTCCGAAGCGGGTATATGTGATGCAAGGTAAGTCATTGAATATTTGTTTTGGCGATTTATTTTCAAAATTTTTTAATCAATCAAAAATTATTTTCAGAAAAAATGGCAGAATGAAGGTTGTTAAGCTGAAAACTGACAGAGTGAAATTTGTAAAAATATCTATGAATCAAATATCTTCATACTTTTTAGCCTTATCAGACAAAGGTACATATTTAATTAATAAGTTTGCTGTCATTAACAGCTTTTCAATGGTTTAAAATTTGCTTAAAATTGAGTTTCTTTTATTACTTTGCTTTATTTTTTATGAAAGCTCGGATGATCATATATGGATAAAACATAGTAGAGTTAAATACTATTTGAAATATAATTAGCTCTGAAATCTGTGGTTACATTCATCAAACTACAAACTTGAAATAAGATATTTATTTGCCACCGACTACTTCCTTTTTTATACCAGGTGTTGTTTACATATGTGGTACAGTGTCTTTGTGCCCTATTACACTGAAATGTCAAAAATTCTCGGATGAACTTACCAATATTGATAGTTTTGTCTCATTGAAAGGATTGGGAAAAATTATTGACATAGCATGCGGTTCATATTATGTTGCAATGATTGCTGAAAATGGTAAAGGATTTTTTTCTGTTTTTATTATAAAAATTGTTTTAGACCGGACCAGTACTGATCTGGCAGTGCATCTCTCAATTGATTTAAAACCAACTTTCAAACTGTGAGAAGTAACAGTAATACCACTTCATAGTTGAAGTATTTAATAGGAAGATTTTCGCAATTCACACTTTTGGTTGGAAGGCTTAAATACATTTGTGGATTCCTAAGTCATGTTAATCCAGCATGAAATTTTTCCAAAGTGTCCAGTGCATTTTTATATCAGCATATCAAATATACTGAGCAAATAATTGAAGTGTGTGTCTGTGTAGATTTAACTCAATGTGTGAGAGATTTTTGTACATGTAACATAATGCAAAATATATTTATTCATTTGTTTTATTATTATTTGACCAATTTGGTCTAATAGGTTTTAAATTGCTATCCATTTAAACAGGAAAACTGTATTACTGGAATATAGCTCAGAATAAAGATTCAAATCGACCAAAAACATTTGATCAATTGAAGAAGCAATACATCGTCAGTTTTTCCAGCAGTCCATCTGATAGTCATGCATTAGCGTTAACCGTAGATGATGAGGTCAGTTAGTTTTATTGCTTTTATTACCAGTAACTTGTAATATTTTTTTGTTACAAGTTTTATGCTATTTTTCATGTGCATCTCCAGTATGATACAACTTTATTATTTGGCACCATGATTCTTCAAGTCTCATCCTCATTGCCGATTTTTTCGGCTAATGACCTGATTTTCTGGACCTAATTTTTTTTGCCTGCTTTTTTGGGTTGGGTGCCCTTTTCTGGGCTTATTGTTGGCTTTGGACCAGAAAATACAGGAAAGGATGTGCCCTCCCTGTCAGTTTCATGAATTGAAATTTTCACACTATGAATCTGAAATATCTCCCCTGTAATTATTATATTCAATGTTGCGCATTTGTGTGTGTATCTTGAGCGAAAGCAATTACTGATACCATCACGAATAGTAACTCATGAAAACAAGGAACTTTGTTATTGATGTGTGTTCTCTAAGTTCTCTAAACGTGCAGGGTACATTGACTGATGGGGATGAAAATGTGCAAAATAGAATTGTTAAAATTGATGAAACTGACGAACGGTGTGTAAAATGTTTCATGCTTTCTTCGGCCTTGTCTGAATGGGCTGTAATAAGAAGAAACCTTATTTTAGTGCCAAATTTTGCCAAAATTCATAACAATTCACGCTTCGGCCAAATTCAAAACTGGCCATTCATTCTTACCAGTATTGTTATTTTTTCAACAAGCGATATCAGAATTCTTTCAAATTTTCTGTGATTTTCTATTCTCATTATATTGCCAAATAGGGTTCAATCAGAAACAACTTTGGTACTCCTAGGTTCCAGGCAACCATGATGTGGTTTTCTTATTTTTTTTTTATTATAAATATTAAGTAGCATTTGCAAGTAATTAAATACCTTTTCATGACAGATCATAACATTTGATATTGAGAGCGGAGGAGTTTTAAAACTGAAAGAAAGCGTCCAATTAAATCTGGATGAAAATTCAGAAACATATGAAACAGTACGAATAAAAAAAATTTGTGCATGTAACCAATTTTCTGCTGCAATAACAAACACAGGAAAAATGTATATCTGGGGTATGTGTTTTCTAATAACGTTTTCATATATGAGATTATCATTAGCTTTTATGAATTTCACATAATCCAATCATGGAGTTTTGAAAATGGAGCAGTTAAACTGGAATTCGACAGATTCCGGCCCTCTCAAAAATAACAACTTTTTATGTAACTGTAGTTGGATGTTCGCTCCACCTATTGGGACGGTATATGTGCCTTCCTGATATAATTTGAATGAATAAGTTTATTGCTTGAAATAGTATTAGGTCACAGGTGGTTATTTATTATGACCGATCGTCATCACTGAGTTCGCGATACACTTATTAAACAGCTGCGTGTATGTTTGTTTGCCAGTTTTAGTGCCCTGTATTAAATTGCTGTACTGTTCAATGTTCATAGAGGCCCTTGGTCTGAGTGAATGTTGTAAAGAATCGTTGCACAAAAGTCTTGGTATTCTTAAATTAAATTACAGCTAAATCATGTTTTTTATTTTGGCCTCATAGATTAAATTATTTGTATTAGTTATTAATTATTAAAATATTTGTGAAATAATAAATTGTGTTTATGAGTATGCTTTTTATAGGTCGACTGTTCAAACCTCTTGTCGTTTCATCATATCTGTCTTTATTGCAGGTACCAATGTTGGTGGTTTAGTGAAACAACAAACCGTGACCATTCAAATGCCAATTATGGTTGAAGGTATAGCAGAAATATCAAATATCCTATCTGATAACACATATGCTTATGTGCTTTGTGAAAATGGCTCGGTATGATTTATTTTTATGTAATATCTTGTGATATTTGCTCATATTAAAAAGCGGCAATTTCCTATATGTGACTTGTGTCACGGGAGTGACGGGACCTTAGTTTTTACACTCACAGTGCAGTAGGTTCACAGACATAATCTCTATTTTTAATTTTACTTTGCCTTACTGTGCTAATTTGAAAGCCTATAGTCTTGCATACTTTTGTTATATTTTACAAGGTTTTGAAATGTCCACGACAACCAAATGATTATAGTTTTGCATCCTGTTTTGGGAGGAAAGTATCAGGTATGCTTCATTCATCTATTTTTGAATTTTCTTTAAGCAAGTAAACTTATACTTAATCAGTAGTGACAAGTTTGTTATTTTTAATAAAAAAATATTCTTGTTTATTTTTTGAGGATTTGCGATTGGACCTTACTACACTATATCTTGGGGGATCAGCCATTTTCCTGAAAGCAATTTACCACAAAATCTACCTTTTATATTACAAGCAACTGATGATACGTTGCTTCAGTTGGATCAATTCTTAACCAAGGTAAGTAGTAACCTCATAAGAATCAATAGCCATGCCCAAAATTGACCGAACTCGTAAATTTCCTATTCACATGTATGGAAATGTAGAAAAATTTATTTAACAATTTAACTTCTATTTGTGTATGATTGTTCCCAGTAATTTGATTCAGTAATTTTGAGGTTTTTGCTCAAAAGTTATGTTCTCTCTAAAATTTGTTTTTCGGTCACCCTGTGGAAAAAGCTTAAGATGTGCATAAGACGAGCACAATCGAAGAAAGTAGAACAAAAAGTTATGATTTGTTATATGGTTTTTAGTTTATATCAAATTGCTGAATGTAATAAAATATCTTTTGAGTTTTGTTAAAATATTCTATCAAATTGTATTTATCTCAATCTAGTTGTCTACAAATATTGATCTGTCCTGGCCTCCATCTCAAGAAAGGGAATGTATGACTGTTGCTATTCTCAATATATTGCGATTACAACTGCAAGAAAAAATTTGTCATTTTATACAAGATAATACAATTGTAAGTACTCTTTTATCGATAGAATCGATATTATCATTTGGAAACAAAAATGTTGAAATATAAAATTTATTTACACAACAAAACATGATCATATTAAACTTTGGTATTTTGAAATTTGGCATTGAATTTTTCAATCTGTGGGTTATAATTTGTCTTGGCTTTATACAATGAATTTGCTGTTGAATATATAGCGAATTTGGCACTCCAGAAGTGTGTGTACCAATATGGAGGTAACTGATTTTGTTTGCCTACTTTACATCAAGTTGTGTAAAGGGACTGAAGCCCATGGGCAGGGGGTATATTTACTCAGCTAACACAGAAGTCCCCGAACTCGTAATAGAACTGAAATAAGGAAAATCAGAATAAAATTATGGCCTAACCCTAACCTGGTACACACACTACGGGAGTACCGCAAATTTTTTTTTAACCTATTCTCATAAACAGTAAAAAGTGTGCCCTAGTTGATACTGATATAAGAAGAATGACTAGTGCAAATTTGACAAAACTGATCAAATAGATTCCCAACTTTATTTATATTTTCACATTTCTGTCTATATTCAGCATGGTACAATGGAATCGAATCAATGCATCAAGAGTTTAAAGAAGAATATTATTTATCTTGCAAGCACACCAGGTATGATATGAAGCAACATGGTTATTGACTAGTTTTTATGAGTGGCATAAATTTTTTAATTAAGGGATAACCACATCTATCCAGTCCTGTGCTCAAAGTTGTCTGGAATCATCGTGGTGTATCTTGATTCCATCTGCTTCAGAGCGAGTGGAAGAACTAATGAACGTTTTGCGATGTTGTTCCGAGACAGATAAGCCTCATCTTGCACAGGTATTAGGATAATTTTTTATACAGCATTTTTACATGCTTTTCACCCCCAAACAAGGCTTCGTACAAGCAGCAAGGAGCTATTTTATTTTGGAAGATTTGTATTCATTCTGGTTCGGCATTGCCAACCTAGTTTATTACACCCTGATGATGTGGTGGAAATGGGATTTGTACCTGAAATTTTAATGTGTGATGACATTGTAGTTACTTAGTCTAAAGCTTTAATCACTAAGTCCCACAAACTGCAGATTTACTATTTCATAATCAATCTTTTCAATTTCCAAGCAAATGTTATGATATAATTTTGTGATGAAAATATTGAAATCTGGATTTTCTGGTATGTATAGAGTAGCCTCGATTTCAATTTTTGTAACCAGCAAATATTACTAAATAAACCATAGCATCAAAATAACTGCTTGTCTTGAGCAGTGCGAATGTGCATGAGACGACCTGTAAAATGTATTCCAACAATTCCAAGGAAATTTTGCGAGATTTTGAAGTGAAAAATTTTCAGCGGATTCTGTATTTTTAGGTATTTCTAGTTGAATTGTTATTGAACAGCCTTCAAATAGGAGAAGATATAGAAATATTGATAAAATCTGCAATTGATGATAAATCTGAAGCAATTGATCCTTCGAAAAATGAGGTGAGTTGAAGTCTGCACGAGGTCAATTCGAAATTGGTCTTGTTGAATTTGAACTTTTGTTGTCTATATACACAGTATTCTAGAGAATTGAAATTTTTATCTGCAAATATTTTGATATCAGAATGCTTAAAAGTAATTCAGTTATGCAGAAAACCATTCTGTAACTTTTATTTTGCTGTTTGAATGTTTGAAAAGAACCTTTTTTGTATGTCTTTATTTTCATATGTCAATTTTCAATTATTTTAACATTCAAGAATCCAGCATGTAAATAATTTCATTTTCAGAAACATCTGAATGTAATTATTTCATAAAATTTGAATTAGCTAATCATATATAAAATAGTAATTTATTAATACACCCCATGTACATCTGGACATTTCTAACTTTAGAATAATTTGAAACATTTTATACTACACTTCCTCAATAATATTGTGGCTTGCTAGATCCAAATTCAGTTATTTTCATTTAGAAGGAACAAAAAGCAAAACTAGAAGGAAAACTTGCAGATTTTGATGAAGACAATCAAGATGAAATAAGCATGAAGGAAAGTCCTATTGCATGTGACAACTTTCTCATAAAGCTTATAGACTTGATATTGATAGCAGTTTCTAGGCAAGTTTATTAAGTAGTCGCTAGTTGTTAAACAAACTGTCATCTTCAATAGGCAATTTTGGATTTTGAATGTATTTATAAATTTTATTCATCGAGATTTTTTTTTTGAAAACCTATCAATCAAATTTTCATTTGTATTATATGATTTTTCTTTAGGCAAACACTGCAAATTTTAAAGAAAAATTCTGACAAAAATGAAGGGACAGACTTGAATGAAGCACTGACAGAAAATCCATATTGTTCAAAGAAGAAAACAAGAAATTGTCCTGCTCTGAAATTTTTATTTAAATTTCAAACAATCCTGACAGGCCATTTGTTTGATCCAAAGAAGGTTAGTTTTATCTCTGGTTGTGACTACGGTATATCCTCGCGTCTAAGCCGAGTTTGAAACTCAAAAAAAAAAAAATTGCTAAACTAAAAGGTCGGCCTCTGTGCGCGTAACCCTGATCACACAAAAGGGTCGACTCATATGCGCATAATTTTGATCACTCAACGAAATGACATTACGCTAACTTATCGGTAATTCTAACAGCTACAACTCGAACCACCAAGTTCTCACGATAAAGAGCGTGCATGCACGCACACGAAGCAGCGCTCGGCAGCGAAAACAGTCTGGGATTAGTTGCCATACACATGATCGCTTGTACAGTTGTGTGATTGTCTTAGATTTTAGTCTTAGATTTTCGAATCCGCGATTTATAAGAATGTGTAAATAAGGCGTCTTTTCTTTCCTTGACATAGACATTGAACGAAATTTACCGCCGTTATGAGCCATCATAAGCAATTGTTTTATGCTGATTCAGAGACTTTTTTTTAAACTTCCGACACAATCCCTTCCATTAATACAAATCACAACGCATTGAAAAGCAATGTGGACTTTATTAACATAAATTTCCAAGTAAGAATTACGAGTAAAAATCCACCTACGGCTCTCGCTAACAGACAGAAACGATAAACGTGAGAAATGTTTGTGTTACAGTGATTTTGTTTTGTTTCTGCGCCGTTCATATTTTTTCAATTCCTAATTTTGCATAAAGTGCAGCGACTCGTTTTGTTAATTTAGCCTCTGCGCCTCTGGTGTATGGCGTGTTATGATTCATAGGGTCGGCTTATATGCGAATTTTCTTAAATTCGTCGTCTTAAGACCATTTTTAGGGGGGGGGGGGCATTTGGGTGTTATATGCGAGGATAGACGATAATCATTTGCATATGTATTTGAAATGCTCACAGAAATATGTTTTTACCCTGCAAATAATAAATGCTTTCATTTTTGGCTTTTTTCATGCATTTCATTGACAGGTACATTTAAACATGACTATAGAAAAGGGGTGGGCAAGGTTTTCGGACCGGGGTCCAAAAATTGTGCACAACTAGACTGGCGGGCCATGTAGGTGTTACGTTGAAAGTTACATTATATGAACAATATTTACAGTGTTACAAATTTAAAAGTGGAAAACAATAAGTCTTGTGCCAAAACTAAATTTAATTGCAATCTCAACAAATTCCGTGAGCTATTTTAAACTAAAACATCAAAGATTGGTTCAAGTTTGGTTGTGAAAGCATCAGACGGCCCGGATTGAAATACCCAACAGGCCGGATTTGGCCCGCGGGCGTAGTTTGCCCATATCAGCTCTAAATCCTGCAGCTCAGTGGGTACTAACCTTTTTTGATAGATACCTCTTTTGTCATATTTTGAAACTCCTCGTACCTTCAGCACTATGCATAAAAACTCAATCTTTAATGGATCATTAGCATGTGATATGCGCAAATAGCACTCTGGCTTTTGTATAGTTTGAATAGGTCACAGTGTGCGCTTATAAATTATACATATTACAATAATATTGAATTACTAATACTACATGCAAATGCTAAGTACAAATTTCTTCCCAAAAACCTCAAAATTCCTCTCCGATGAAGAAACCATTCTTTTGTGGGGATTCTTAGCAATTGATTTGCTAATCTTTTGACCTTGTGTGTGACTGGCAATTTCATGACTGCATTTTACTATGTGTTGCAATGTCAATTTTGTCATATCTAGAAATTCTGTTAGTTCTTTTTCTTACATTGATTTATATAATCCAGCACAACGTCAGAAGCGCCAATTTGATGAGAAATTATACAATGCTCATGTGCAACCATATGTCATCTATATTGAACGAATGTTTATCTTTTATCGGTGAAGAAGTAGATGCTTCCAAATTTTATTTTGTGTCACAAGTTTTGGAAACTGATGCTGGATGTTCATTGTTTTCTTCTCTGGTAAGCGTAGAGATGTATGGATATAGCTTTTTTTGTCGATGTACGTTGCCACTATAAAAGCTCTTATACTGATTTAGTGGCACTTTAAAAGTGTGTGTACCAATATGGAGCTACTAATTTTGTTCGACTACTTTACATCAAGTTGTGTAAAAGGACTGAGACCTATGGGCAGGGGGGATATTCACTTGGCACAGACAGTTCCCGAACTTGTAATAGAAATAAAAAATTATGGCCTAACCCTTACCTGGTACGCACACTACGGGAGTACCGATTTGGTTGATACTGATATAGATGAATTGTTGGTATTACTGATGTCAGTATATTATAAGCTATGTATCTAGTTCAGGAACGGCGAACCTTTTTTACTGAATGGTTGAAAAAATATAATGTCATTCTCGACATTCATACGTTTAATTAATGTTTGCATCAATCAGAGTCTTGCTGTTGCCTATTATTGAAAGTCTCACAACTCTGAATTGAAGTTTTGAGCTTCACGCATGTAGTACTCAACACTGAGACAATTGCTCATATTCGAGTGTGAACTGCATGATTATGAAGAACCCAAAATCACTAATAACGTTACGCGTACTGCAAATCTTTTTATGCGTTCAAAATAGTTTGAACAACTCCTCATTTATATTTTCTACTAAACTCTCCTTTTTTTTTCAATATCTTGATGTCATTATGTAGATATTTTTGTAATTAATTCTTCGTTTTACATTCTGATTAGGTGACAGCAATACTTGTGATTCAAATTGAGCATGGTGAAGAAAATCGAATCTTCTGTGACAATCTCGACCTCAGAATCGATTTTAACGTAACAAAATCTTTATCAAAACTACTCAAGCTCTTAGATACTTTCAATTCTCTTGCACCAAATGCAAAACAAGAAGAAGATTATGCAATGAGTTTTCCACATGTACAGTCAGATAAGAAACCTTCAGGTTTGCTTTTTTGAAATTTTGATGGATAGTGTTTTTTTAATGTTATATTTTTATGTATGATTGCTCACCTAATTAATTTAGAGCAGGGGTCGGGAACCCATGGCTCGCGAGCCATATATGGCTCTTTTGGTGACGGCATATGGCTCTCAGAAAAATCTAATATCCCAAGACTAAGCTTACTATTGTTACGAGATTTCAAACTCTTTTATAGCCAAATTTGGCAGGAAATTCCCAATACGTTTGAGAACGCGCGTCCAGCACATGTCTTTGTTATGTAAGATAATTACCAGACAGGCATTGTGACAAACAAGGGGATTCTGGAACATATATTGTGACATCACAGAGCGATAAAGTTTTAAAAACACTACGGAGATGCCTAAACGAAAAACGGTGATGAGTCTCGTAGATTTCTACATTGGGCTGCAGGTGAGCAACCGTTCAAGGCCCGCAGCGACTACATGCAGCATCAGAAATCACATTAAATGTATATTGACATTGTATGGGTTAACTTTTGAGTGAACATTTCAGGCCTGATTAAGTGAAGAAATGTTATATGGCTCGCACAGAAATGCAATTGAAAATATGTATATTTTATGGCTCTCTTGACCAAAAAGGTTCCCGACCCCTGATTTAGAGTTTCATTCAGTTTAGAGGGGCAGTAATTGAGAATAAATTTATTTGAAATTGACATTTTGTGCAATTAAAGTCTTACGATATGTAAAAAGCCTTTGGCCAATCAAGTGGTACTTCATTTTGATATTTCCAAATTACTGAAATCTAATTTTTGAGCATACATTTATTTTCTACATGAATTCTGTTAAACAAGGTATAAAATATATATTACATATTTCAAATCGAAAATAATATTTCCGAATGTATTTGGTTTATTTTTCCCTATCTGACTATTTAAACATCATTAACCTCTGAATTTCATAGATTTCTTCGAAAACAACGAGGAATCCCTCCCTATAATTCGTTGGTTCGATTTGGAAAATCATAACTTGGACGGTGGAAATTGGATTGTTATTGACGATAAAGTATTTGATGTTGGACCTGGAGATGACTGCACTGCAGGTACAAAGGGTACGAATTTAATTTTAAGCTTTGAACTCTAGTCAAAAGTTTCGTCGAGCACTGTATGGAGGGTTTTAAATATTACTCATAAATAAAACAGAACGTAGATCATTTGGTATACAGATATTAGAAAGCATAACTTTTGTGCAAAGAGTACCAGATTACTGAACTTATGAATACAATCGTACACAAACAGAAGTTCAAGTGTTAAATAAGTCGCTTTCATTTTTGTAGAAGTAATTTACAAATTTATGGCTTTGGTTTTTTTGGGTCACACTGTAAAAGAATACTGTTAATGACCATTATTCTTAGATTTTCTCTTTTTGTATTCCAGACCAAAGAAAAGGTTCTCATATGTTGGTTGGAAAATATTTGTCCCCAGAAAAAGATGTTCCGATTGATTTGTTGAGTTTTAACAAGGATTCAATGTATTCACATTTAACCGATGTAACAAGAATGCTTGCTGTGCTCATATCAACTCATCTTTCACAACTTCAAGTAACTTTTTTGAGTTTTTGATTTTTTTATAATGCTTATTCACACATTTGCTCCAAACAGGCGTTATATAGGCAGTCACTAATATCTTATTATGTAAGGTGGAAGACTATATTTGGGAGGACTGAAATATTTTTGGATCGGCATTGCCTACCTAATTTAGTACACCCCACCCAAGAATTCAGGGAGATAATGTCAAAATAGGTTGATTTTTATCAAACTAGCTCATATTATGTTTGGATCAAAAAACACTGTTGTAATTACGATAGAAAACGTTTTTGTAAATAAAATCTGCGATTTTCAAATATGTGAACCTTTATCCAGAAATTTCTTAACTTTCAATTTAGCATTTAAATTCGTTTAAAATTAGTTATTAGGGATATTCTCATTTAAAATTTCTGATTTTGAGCACCTGGCATGGGAAAACCCTGCATAAAATCAAAAATACTATACTATCAATACTATCAAAAATGGGAATTTTTGTTAAAAGTAAATTCATCTGCATTGTCAATTCTATATTTGTTTCTATACAATATGAGAATATAAAAAAAGTTGATATGATATGGAATACTGGCATTGAATTTGAAACAGTTTATATTATGATATTATTTATAATTAATCTTTTTGGTGATCCTTTCACATTTCGTTATTACATATGTTTTTTACTTGACAAAATAGCCAGAAAGAAATTGAAAATACCTAAAAAAGTTCAGGTGTAGAATTTGGATTTAATATTAAGTCGATATAATTTTTCACAAATTAAAACATGAAAGGGGCAAAGAGTTGTCGTTTGTACAACAGTTTGTACAAACAGGATATTCTTTTTGCAATAGGCTATAACATCCGCTTGAACTAATCATGGTTATGGTAACAATTATTTGTCTGTGAGATTTTCAATCTGTGGAACGTTTTGTTTTTCATTTATTCCAGACTCATGAAATGGCTCACAAAAGACTGGAAAAAATTCCAAAGAACATTCGAAAGTTGATAAAACATGGAACTGCCATGAAGTTTTATAATGACATAGAATACAAATCTTTACCTCGTGCTTATGTGGAAGGTCAGTATTGTGAGTGTAGTGGTCAGCTGCATCTATGAGTGACAAAACAAGTGTTCCAGCGTGCTATTTGTATATACCTATACCATAATCTGTATCGTCATTAAGGAGAACATAGACTTTCCAGGTCTTGAAACAGTCAAGCATGTGCCCTAAATGAAAAAAAACTTGAACCGTACAACTTAATAAGATTAACAACTGCTGTGTACACTGGCGAGCATCTTGCATCGCAAATTACAATATTCTCACTTTTTCAATATGCATCAAGTACCTGTTTCCCCGAAAATAAGACTGGGTCTTATTTTAATTTTCTTTCAAAAAATAACACTAGGGCTTATTTCCGGGGATGTCTTTTATTTTCACTTATCATAAACAAAATTACAAAGCAGAGAATTGCGAGATTTTCAAATATACAAATAGGAAAACTGATATCCATTTACTTAAAGATAACACATTTTGTTTCTCACAAGTTTTAGATTAATTATTTAAAACGTGTAGAAGCTATCGACTAGGTCTTATTTTAAGCGGATGGCTTATATTAAAATCATTTCAAAATTCGGGCTAGGTCTTATTTTCGGGGAAGCACGGTATTAATTGAATTCAATTATAACAAAACAGTTGTGTGAAACTACAGTTCAGAAGAAGAATATGAACCTTTCATCTTTAGTTAACACTTTATTATTTTGTCAACTTTTTAGAATCAACCCCTGAACTATCATTATGTGAAGCTATTTCACGAACTCATCCAACCGCAGAAGCATTTCTTACTTCTCTTATTGAGCTGGATATCTCTGAAGCCACATTGACAAAACAAAAAGTTTCACTTGATCAGGAGAATACAAAACTAGAAGAAGCTCGTACAGCTGCAACACATTTCTTAAAAAAATTTGAACAGACATGCAGAAAGCATGGTGTGGCTATGCATTCACATTCATCTGACAGAGCAGTTTTGGAACAGGTATAGCTAATCTTTAAAATATCATTTTCCAGCTGTGATCCATAGATGGACAGCTATCTCTTGTGCTTAGTTTCATTTGAATCGATCTCGATGTGTGATATACTTCATTTGTTGTTTCCAAACAGGGCCATAAAGACTTTCTGATGATATAAATAGATTTAAAATCATAATTACCGGTAATGCGCAGATTCAAATCCTGTAGGAGGAACATTGTTTTCAAAAGGATTTTTGCACACCTTGATGTCATAAGGAGGTTCAATCGTTCATACAAATATATAATTTTTTCATTCCTAATTTAAAATTTAAATAAGTGTTTTACATTACTTGTGTAGCTGATTATGTATAAGCCTTGTAAATGAAGCAAATATGACACATCTTCACAATCTTTTTTTTTCAGTTTGGTCGGTATTACATAGCATGTCTTCTCAAGCATCATAATCTGGTAGATGCAACAATCACTCATTCTCAATATAAAAGTTCTCATAACAAACATACTCGATTTCCACACATTGTTCATCAACTATGTCTCGTTGTCGTTCGAGCCAAATTGAAAATTATTCAAGACCACCAGTCGTCAGAAAAGTAAGAATATTTTTTCTATTAATAACTGTGGATGTTTTTCACTGCTGAATATCGTAGCTGGAATAATTCAACTGTTTAATCGTTATTAGATGGTTAACGGTTACAATTGTTAAAGCGACTCCAAAGTATATTTAATAAATGTCTTTAATCAAATAGCGAATAATTGTCCAAAGCAATAACCAAAGTAACACATACAGGCATAAGCAACACCAACTGAACTGTGCACCAGACTACTGAGTGCACATGGTCATCTGCAACTGATGACATCAAAGGTCGTGCCCAACCATCTGGGAAAATGCTAGTTGCCAGAAATATAGCTAACAACAATTAATTTTGATTGTCATCCAAGATAAGACTCCATTTTTCACTGGGAACTCTTCCAATAAAAATTAGTCGTGATCTTTAATTTATAACATTGCTATATTGATGCTCATTTCAGGTCATATGAACAAATTTGTGAACCTTTGATGAAACGTTTGGACTTCTTATTGAAAGATATTCTTCCACCTACTTCTGATTTGTGTGAAATGATGTCTCATAATGTAGGAGCTCCTTTGAGCAGGTGCTTATTATTGTTACTTTATTTTGTACTTCTAATTTCTTGTCACCAACTCTTCAATCTCTACAGTTAAGCAGCGTGACGGCCTGACGGTTGAAGTGTTGGAACTAACTGTGGGGGTACTGCGGATTACAGTATTTATTTTCAAATAAAAGTACAGTTATCCCTATGTAGTCGAACATAATTTGTGCAGGATTGGTTTTGGACTACTGATTTGAGTACCGAAACTTTTTACCATAAGATACACTGGTAATTATTTTAATACGTTCTTAAACATTCCAAAATACCCTAAATGTTAAAAAAACGTGTATCTAAACAACCTTAATTGCTTTCACTCGCTGCACAACATTAGCTTCCTTCATCATTTCCTTTGTTATTCAAAAACACAGAAATGGTAAACTTTACCATATCGTACTGTGAGGCGAGATCGGACACTCGATCACCATTCTAGTAATTTTCATTAATTTCATTTTTCAACTTGATAGTTGTTCACACTGTTTTCCTCTTCTCCTTGCCGCAGTACCGTAGCATTTTTTGGTTGATTACCAAATTGTTCAAGTTCCAAGTTGTTCGACTGAGACTAGCAAGTTGGGCTAGTATAGAGCCATGATTAACACCGAAATTTATAATTAAACTGCCAAAATCACGCCAGAAATAGGTTCTAAAGAGTTTTAAACTTGGTGCTTGCTTTTCTGTTAAAACTGTCATAATTGAATATAGAGATCGCATTCTTTATTTATATAAAATGTTAATTCATTTTATGACATTTTTTTTCTCTCTCAAAGATGGAAACATGCCTTTCAAGTTTTGCGAGAACAGAAAATGGAATCTTCTTCAGGTGATCAAAATGATTCGATTGAACAACATTTGGAAAGTGAAGAAGATCAAAGTGAACTTAATGTCAAAATTGATTGTGACTCAGCAGAAATTGTACCTGCTTCATCATCATCTTCAGAGGGATCTCCTGCAAATCTGACCAAAGTAAAAATAAAGAAAAATGATTCTGAGGTTCATTTATATTTTATTCTTCAGAGAACAGAATTAAATCAATTTTATTTTATATCCAATCTGACATATTTTTGTTTCTAACACAAACTTTATATACAATTAGAGTCGTATAGAATTTGATATATAAGATGGTGTTATTTGCAAAATAATTCAACCCTTTCAAATAAAAAAAAATGGCACATTTTCCTACGTTCTGTGGTAACAGCAAAAGGGGTGAAATTAGTTACATTTTTAGAAAATTCCTTTGAGAATATTGAATTTCAAAATAAAATTTGGAAACGGGTTTGAATGCGCACTTTTCAACTGGTGGAAGGAGAAAGGGGGACAAAACTTGACATTCGTCTTTTGAATATATATATTTGTTTACACTGCAAAATTAACCAAACAGTGATGAAAAACTAATTTGAAATATTCAAATAACCAATCAAGGTTATATAGTAAAACTTGAATGAAGGCATAATTGTAACTGTATAATGATGTAAATAAGCAAATATTTTATTTCAGGTATTTTCACAAAATTTGAATTGTACGAGAATATTAACAAAAAAATTTACTCTGTTGTATTTCAATAGAAAGTAACAGGAGTATAAAGACAAAGACATACCGGTAGATTAAACAGCGTTTTCAGATTTCGCTCATCGAGTTGAAGTCCCTGATATGATATTAGACTAAATCTGTAGTATATTTAAATGATGACAAATTTTAATTCTAACAATGATTGCTATTTCAGGATGAATGTGAAAAAATATTGGAAAAACAAATTCCAAAGAGATCTATTGATTCATGGAAATTACTTTACCAAGTGGCTTCTTCAAAAAAGTTTCGTAAAATATTGTCAGATCGAATGAATGGTCCGGAATCCATTGATGATGACATCACATCAGCAATCAACGATTTTGTCTTTAAACCAAGTATGTGGTTATAAGTCTTTAATTATTTTATATTTGAAAATTTTCATTTGTTCTGTGACAATATTCAGAAAAATGTTACGTATTTATATGTCATTCGGTATTAATAACAAAGCTCTGAACAAGTAGCCAATGATATGTAAGTATTGTATATATCCTCGCATATAAGCCAAAAAAGGCCATGAATCATTGAATTTATAAAAATTCGCTCGTCAGCTGACCCTACAAATCAGATGCTCTCATCGTGAGTACCTGAGCATGGTTTGAGTTGTAGCTGTTGAAATTAAGTTAGCATACTGTCATTTTGTTTGGCAACTTTTTTGTTTGGTTTTAAACTCGGCTTACTGTATATGCTCGCGAATAGGCCGAGTTTAAAACTAAAAAAAAAAGTTGCCAAACTAAGGGACCGTCTTATTCGCACATAACTGAGATTGCACCAAAAAATCGGCTCATTCGGGCATCAGAATTTGATCACGCAACGAGATGATATTATGCTGACTTGCCAGTAATTTCAAAAGCTTCAAACCATACCAAGTTCTCACGATAAAAAGCGTGCACGCACACACACAATCGCTTGTGAAGGTGGATTGTCTTATCATACAGCTGATGGCTTGTACAGTCTGTGATTGGTTGTTTAACATGTGACGCTTGTACAGTCTGTGATTGGTTTGTTTTCGCTTGCTTGTGCAACAGTGTCGATTTACAGCCAGTTGTTTCGTGGTGAAAACGTTATTATTTGGTGCGCTATCGCCGTAGAGGCAATTAACGGCGTGCAACTCTTAATCATCTTTACGATATGTTATCCGTTAAGGGGCGGTGATAAGGCCTCTTATCGAAATTAACCACGTTGTGGACGATCAAAGGAAATTGTTTTATGCTGACTCAGGGACTCTTCTTAAACTCCCGACAACAATCCCTTCCATTAATACAAATCATAACGCATGAAAAGCAATATAGACTTTATTAACATGAATTTACAAGTAAGAGTTACGAGTAAGAATCTACGGCCGTCGCTAGCAAACAGAAATGATAAACGTGAGAAATATTTGTGTTACAGCAATTTTGTTTTCTTTCTGCGCCCTTCTTAAGGCGTCTGGCGTGTTAAGATTCGTAGCGATTTATAAGAATGTGTTAATACAGCGTTATTTCTTTCCTTGAAACGAACAAGAAAGAAAATTAATCGCTGTTGTGGCAATCAAAGGAAATTGTTTTATGCTGATTCAGGAACTCTATTTTAAACTCCCGACACAATCACGATGCACTGAAAAGCAATATAGACTTTATTTAACATAAATTAACAAGTAAGAGTTATGGGTAATAATCCACCTACGGCCCTCGTTAACATGCAGAAACGATAAACGTGAGAAATGTTTGCGTTACAGTAATTTTGTTCTCTTTCTACGTTTTTCTTGAGGCATCCGGCGTGTCACGATTCGTAGGACCAGCTTATGTGCGATTTTTTAATAAAATCGTCGTTTTTAGGGAGTCGGTCTATTCGCGATATAGGCGTAATTTCGAGAAAATATGGTATATGCTTATATGAATCTTATTGGTTCATTACACCCTGAGTGAACAGGTGGTCATGGGATTTGAACTCAAGATTCTAATCTGTGACGCCATCATAGTAAAGTCTAACGCTTCAATTTTTTGTAATCTGGTATGAAGACTTCAAAATTATACAAGTAATTTGGCTTGGCATTGAGCTTTGATCATTGTGTTGATCGTAATAATGTGCTCGTAATAATGTTAATTGTGAGTTCCAGGATTTGGATATGTGTACCTGTCGGTTTGTAGAATTTTTTATTGATTTCTCGAGTTTCTATTGTCCTGCGATAAATTATATAAATTCTATACTATATTTCATATTTACAAATTGCACTTTTTTTACAGCCGTGAATTTGCCTGATATTCGTCTTACAATGGCTGAAGCCAGTGACAGCGTCTCCATCTGTATCAATTCGATTTTAACAATGTTTGATGTTTTTGATGAAACATTTTCAATGCCTTCTACTGTCTTCTGCCTGAGAAGTGCTTGGGGTGGACTTCTACATCATCAATATGGTGGAATAAATAGTAAATCAACCATGCAAATAGAAGCAGAAAAGGAGACTGAAAAGGTAATGATGTCTCAAGCAAGTATTTACATATGAAGCCAAGTATCTATCTCAAGCTTAAGTTAAGACAACCTGAAGAAGACACCAGATGCACTGTAACTATATCATAGACCAGTGGTTCCCAATCCATTTTTTAACCCAAATTTTTTCAAAAAATAGTTTTTTAAAATCTTGCGACACAAGGAATACTCAACTGCATGTAGTGCTTTTAGGCCGCAAAATTGAATTATTGATGCAAAAAAATTTTCTTACATGTCATTTATTTAGCCAGAAATTAGTTCAAAATGAAAAATGTGAGTTTCATGGATAATAAGTTTCTTTTTAATAAGCTGTGATATTTACCATATATACAATTGGTACTAAGCAATATTTAAATATTAACTAGAGCTGCGTGCAGCTTTAACAGGCTTCCCGCGTAAAAAAAACTGAAGATGCGTTTTGCTCACTGGAGCGTGAAAGTGTGGTCAGTCATGCATAAAATTTGCAATTTATGATGGGGGACTTATTATCTGCATGTGATGTAAATTTCAAGTTTCTAAGTAGTGTCGTTCTCGAGAAGAAGATGAAAATGTAAAATCCTATATTGCTCACTGGAGCGTATAGCCGAGGTCACTCATGCGTATCCTTGACATATCGTATCCGGAACGTGTCCATTAATCGTTGTTATGAATTTCAACCCAATAGCATCTATCAATTTTGAGAAATCGCAAAAAAACTGAAGACGCGTTTTGCTCACTGGAGCGTGAAAGCGTGGTCAGTCATGCATAAAATTTGCATTTTATTGCTAGCTGAGAACTTCTGCATATTTGAGGTGAATTTCAAGTTTGTAGGACCAATCTGAAAAAAAAATAATAAAAATAAATAATAATAATAATAAACTAGAGCTACGTGCAGCTTTAACAGGCTTCCCGCGTAAAAAAAACTGAAGACGCGTTTTGCTCACTGGAGCGTGAAAGCGTGGTCAGTCATGCATAAAATTTGCAATTTATGATGGGGGACTTATTATCTGCATGTGATTTAAATTTCAAGTCTCTAAGTAGTGTCGTTCTCGAGAAGAAGATGAAAATGTAAAATCCTATATTGCTCACTGGAGCGTATCGCCGAGGTCACTCATGCGTATCCTTGACATGTCGTATCCGGAACATGTCCATTAATCATTGTTATGAATTTCAACCCAATAGCATGTATCAATTTTGAGAAATCGCAAAAAAACTGAAAACGCGTTTTGCTCACTGGAGCGTGAAAGCGTGGTCAGTCATGCATAAAATTCGCAATTTATGATGGGGGACTTATTATCTGCATGTGATGTAAAGTTCAAGTCTCTAAGTAGTGTCGTTCTCGAGAAGAAGATGAAAATGTAAAATCCTATATTGCTCACTGGAGCGTATCGCCGAGGTCACTCATGCGTATCCTTGACATATCGTATCCGGAACATGTCCATTAATCATTGTTATGAATTTCAACCCAATAGCATGTATCAATTTTGAGAAATCCCAAAAAAACTGAAAACGCGTTCTGCTCACTGGAGCGTGAAAGTGTGGTCAGTCATGCATAAAATTTGCATTTTATTGCTAGCTGAGAACTTCTGCACATTTAAGGTGAATTTCAAGTTTGTAGGACCAATTTGAAAAAAAATAATAATAATAATAAATAATAATAATAAATAAATAATAATAATAATAAAACACAGGAATACAATAGGTTCCCTGCTGACAAGCAGCGGGAAGCCTAATAAATAATAATAATAATAAATACCGTAAATAATAATAATAATAAAACACAGGAATACAATAGGTTCCCTGCTGACAAGCAGCGGGAAGCCTAATAAATAATAATAATAATAAATACCGTAAATAATAATAATAATAAAACACAGGAATACAATAGGTTCCCTGCTGACAAGCAGCGGGAAGCCTAACTATAAAATATACTGGAAACCAAAACAATAACAATAATAATTTATAATAGGATTTATCCAATAGGAGTTTTGGGTAGCAACCCATAGGTTGGGAAACACTGCCAGTCTGCCATAGATTTCAATTTTGACAAACTAGGTGCAAGGATTGGGTTGGGCTGTGGTGTCGAGAGTCTGAGTTTGGCATATTTTTTTTATTGGAGTCATATTTCCCTTCCCGAGTCCCCTCAGGGACAGAGTCAGAATTTCAGACTTTTAATTGTGATACATGAAGTTATAGTTTTTCACAGAATCAAAATACATTAAAGTTACTGTTTATTCATTCAATCACAGTCCTGAAAAGAAGCTCAGGAACAAGCTTGTCATCAAATATTATGTGATAAATGGTAATTTGATATAGTTACCTCAATAAACAAATCTCTAAATCAACTTTTATTTAATTTGTGTGTCTTGCATCCTTTGTGATTAATTTTTCTTAGGAAATGATCCGCGGCCAAAAAGAGTTATGAAACACTGATATACTTTCTTTGAATAGTAAAGTAATAGGAAAGTAACTTACTTTCTTTGAAATTTATTTTGTGAGTTTGTTTTAAGTTTTTTATTTTGCTAACAGAAGAAACGAGCTGAAGAAGAAGCAAAACCTGAAAATGAAAAAACAACTTTTATTGGATGCGAAAGGAAACAATCTATTTATGAAAATATTATTTCATCAGATCGATCACTTCCAGTTCGACCTCACATGACGGTTTTGTTGCGAATGATCAGAAAACATTTCATGTATCGAGTTATTGGTAAATCTTTGGTTAGCATTTGAATGAATTTCGCAAAAGCTTTGTTCTTTAGAATAGAGTCAATAAATGAACTATATACTATATAAAATTTATTTTTATAATATTTTGTTTGGATGAACTTAAAAAACTGCTTGATTCCTGTTACGTCAAATATGTTGTTGACAAAGACTGTCATTTAGACCAGAGTTTTTCAAACTTTGTTCTCGCACCCCCTAATAGTTCATGAGGTGGCACTTCTGTGGCCATAAGCAAAGGGCCCTAACTGGGTAACATTCGCGATGACAACATTGTTTAAAGTAAGTTAATTCTTTGACTGTAATACGTGTATATTTACTTTCTTATTATGAAACAAGGTGCATAATATGGCTGATGGGAGCCTGTTAAGTCGAATCTAGGTATTTTAATAGAAGAGCAGGGCCCAGTCTTTTGAATCTATCATGAAAGTTTGAGAACTAATTTACTCTGATTTAATAATATCTCGCTATGTATTCTGTAGAAAGATATTATGATTTTGATGACTTATTATTTCCATTTACCCTATTTGATTATCTTTATTATTTTTCAGATGAATTGTGTGATGAAATGATTGATGTTCTTCCTAATTCTGACAAAAATTTATTGAACTCTTCGCTGAACATTTCTGCGCATTCTAAATTTCCAAGAATAAATCGACATACCTTGATCAGCAAAAGCAGGCAAGATGTTTTTATTTATTCACTAGATGCTGTGCTTGCAACTTTTTGTCTGTAAGACTACGTTTTTTTTGCTATAAGATTGTTGTCTTCCCCATATCGTTTGCGGTCTTTCACCTCGTATAACTCCGATTTACTTTTTCAGGATTTTGAGTGAAAAAATTCGAATGTTGCATTTTGCATGGAGTACAACAGACTTCGATTTATCTCAGTCCATACTTTTTGGCTGCCAGACATTGCTTGAAAAATTATTGGTTTATATTCATCAACATGATATTTTTCCTGTCCAAGATCAATATCAGAAAACAAAAGACAAAGAAAAGAAATCTGGTTTGTGACACAATTTTATCTTCTAGTAACTGTTGATTAGTTATCCGGATTCAATAAAACAGCAACACTTAAAAAAATTGATAAACGTTGTCGCACCAAGTTAAACTTTCGTTACACATTTTTAATTTTATTAGCTTAGCTGTATATTTTTGAAATTTGAAAAAGCTGTTTTGAAAATTTTTTAAACTTATACAACTTTTCAATGAAATACTTTGTTTCACATTTTTGCTTAATTATTAGATACCAGCTCAAGGAACACCTATTTCTTTAACTCTCGAAAAGTAAACCCATAATTCAGTGGTTCACACCTTTTATATCTTCTGGCCCCCTTCCTGAGGCTTTTAAGCACTCATGGCTCCCCTGTTTTTCATTCCAGTGTGGTATTCAAAGTGTTACTTTGATTGGTAGATTCCAAATCCCATTATGTTCAAACAATTTATGAATCGTGCTCAACAAAGTGAAAACATCCTGTGAAATAACCAATGAAAGTTTAGGAAGTACGGGGAGTTTTCTAGAAGAAAGAAAATTAAAATCAGTTTTTCTGCTATCATAGTGGCCCCTCAAAACTGCTCAGCACTTGGTGGGCCACAGGCCCCCAGTTGAGAAGCACTGCCCTAATTGTTGTCAACATGAGGTTCAAATTTCCTATATTAATTTTTATTCAATTTTATCTCACAGCTGAGATTTCCGATCAATGTATTTTGGATCCTGAAAGTATTGCAAGAAAAAAAGAGAAAATAAAACAAATGGAAAGCGGTCCTCAACTTGTAAAAGCAATGCATTATTGCACAAAAGTTGTCAGAGGACGAGATTGGAAATGGCAAAATCAGGATGGAACTCCTCCGAAACCTGGCGAAGTTGTCGGACTCCCTGATGATGGATGGGTTAGAGTTAGATGGCAATCTGGTATCACAAATTCATACAGGTTGGTTTTATTCAATTCTGTTACAATTTAGAGAAGAGAGCACGAATTATAGCTGCTGTATTAATTCAAGCATTTAAAAATGACAATTGCTGCTTTACACTTTTGGTTAATATGTTCAAGATCAGTGATTCTAAAAGTCGGCAATCTTGCCTTCTAGCGCGCGAAAAAGATAAAATGGCCGCAATCTCGAAAAGTTAAAATAATGGAATTCATATATTTTGCTTTTCTCTAATTTCTCAACATCATAAAATTTTTTTTTCTCAAATAAAAACATTTGGAAGTTGGAATTAATAGAGGCATTTAATGTTTGAATAGTATTATTTCAAGCTCTGTTGGAACTAAATTTATCAAAGAACTCTCTCATCTCTGATAAATAGGATTTGACATATATTCATTTTAGTTTTGTAGGAATAATCCTTAGGATATCAAGAGCAGATTTGTTTGTTTAAAACAGTGGTTCCAAAACTTTTGCAATATATCACCCCATTTGCCTGTTTTTCTTATTTTTATTCTCCATCACTATACACTAAAAACTCAGTTTAAGGATCCTAAATATTTATTTTAATAATATTAAAAAACATTATTAGTAAAACTAAAACAAATACAAAGTAATATTTCTGATTCCCTCCCGAAAACTACAAAAGACCCAGTCGAGATACATTTGTTTAAACTTTTGTCTATTCATTTATAAAGTAATTAATTTCAATTAAATGCTGATATCAGTATTTGATGGCATCTGTATTATAAAATAAAATTTTCTGCTTTTGTTTAAACTTAATTTTACCTTTTTCATTATCTTATTCTAGAATGGGCAAGGATGATAAATATGATGTTAAACTTTTATTTCCTGAACATCACATCAATATATATGAAGATGATGATGACAGTGGAGATAAAGATGTTTTCAATAAAACATTATCAAGATGGAAATATACTTCTAGTACGAGTGGTAAAGGCTCACCACTGAGACCTATTAAAGATTTGGGAGAGATTGCTTCTTTATCTTTACAAGTATGTGCTGCTATATTTTTTTTATTATGAGTATATTCAAAAATAGCTTTTCAATGACCATTTAAAACCTATCCCATCTGAGAAAAGTCGAGTAAACAAAACAATTTTAACATTGTCTCTTGTGGGGAATGTGGTCACCAAAGCTGAAATTTGTATTTTTTTTTCATTTTCATGTTATCTTTCATTGTCTTTTTAAATCAATAATATATATTTTGGTACTTCTCAATATTTTTAACATGATAAACATGGTCGAGTTTCAGGATAAATGTTTGTTAAAACTTTGGTGGTTGTGATTGAATTCCAATTCCCCATGAGAGCATATGTTCACCTGAATGGGATGGGTAAAATAAAATGTTTTATTGAAAAATAGTTTGAAATCAAATTTCTAAATATCATTATTTTGTATTTTTGCCTCAAATTTTTTCTAGATGTTTTTATAACAGTGTAATCTTATAACTCAAATTTTACTTTTTATATTACACATATGAGATATGAGGATAAATTAAATCTCAATATTTCAGATTTATTATTACTCGCCTAATACAAAGTGATCTGAGAAAAAAAATTAGATCATTTGGACTATATTTTAGAGAGAATATATACGCAAAGCATCCTAGATTAGTGAAACTTCTGGGCAAACTTTTGGGCATCATGCACAAACATAATTTCAAGTTTGAAAAAGTTTTTTTCATTTTCATAGAAGTAGTCAAGAAATTTAAGGGTTTTCATTTTGCCTTATGCAAATATACAATTATGTGAATAGATATTTTGATGACAACTTTTTTTTCAGGTACAGTTTCTGGCAACAATTCAGTGTAATCATCTGAATGATGGCGTAGGGAGAATCATCAGCAAAAGAATGTACAGTATAATTGATCGTTCAAATGGACATTCGTTACAAAAGGTAATTTTTTACTTTCACTGTTATTCCTAAACTTATTGTTTTATCATGAATACAAAATTCAATTCTTCATTTTCCTTATTCATTTCGGAAACTGCAATCTAGACTATTGATTATATTTTCTACTAGACTTCGGCTCGTATCGTAGTTACTGGGATAAAATAAATCGAAATATTACTTTTGAAGTTTTTTCTATTGTATCCACCAGATATATTTCATCTGATTCTAAAGTGTAACATGACTTTCAAAGAGTGCTGACTGTGTTTCTTTTCACCACTTTTACATTTATCGGATTTTCGACTTTCGATAATCTATATTTTATCTGTTTATTTCGATTAATCTAAACTACTGATATAATATTGTTTTGGTTTTTGTTTGTGCAAATTTTGATGAATGCGATTTCATGTAAAAAATGGTTAATAATTATTTTATGATTTAATGAATTGCATTAAGTCCATGAATATATTTTTAGATTGGAGTTTGGCATAGTCTTGAATTTGTACGAATGCTCATGACAAACAAAGATCTTGCGACATTTTTTACGACTCCTGCATGGCTACAATTATTAAAAGGTATTTTACTTGACACAATAAATTTATATTTGAAATGTATGATTCTAGAACCCAGAGTTGTATTGTGTGTTTGGATTTCAAAAAATTCAATTAAATCATTTAAAAAAGTAATTCACCATACTGTGTACAAACTGGGATTTTTCGGAATCTTTAGTCCGCTAATGGTACTAAAACTAAACGTAATTCTATATTCATATTGACCTCCAAGTACATTAAAATTATCATTCCACAACAAAAATTAGAGGTGAGACAAGGAGCGAAGCGAAATCTCTCAGACAATATGCATTTATTTGGTCCATGTCGTATTTTCTCAGTTTGGTTTTTCTCAATTAATTAATGACTCTTGGAGGCCCTACTGAAAAAGCATTCGGACATTTGTAGTAGCATTTCACCATAGCAGGCCGCACACTTTTTCCTTGAGGGCCACATTTGACCCACAGTATGGTTTATAGCACAAAGTCGTATAGAAATGTATTGAAAATCAACAAGGACGGCTACTAGATAGCTCTTCTGGAATAAAAGCAACTAATAATATTCATAGTATCGAGCTTCTTGAAAAAAGGTGAACTTCCTGATGCATTGCTGCTCGCATGTAAGGCTTGCGTGAAATGTTGATGATGTTGTATTATTGTGTTTAATCTATTGTCTGTGATTTGTAATACTTTTTGAAATGAAAATATTCAATTTTTTACCTATTTTATAGATGTCATAGGTCACGATTATTGTTCTGTCAATGAAGGAAATGTTGAAGAACAAATCCAAGCAATGTGGTTACTCGGAAAAGTATTGTCGTCACTCCCTCATGATTCAAAAACTTTTCCATCGCAACGAGACTCAATTGTCAAATATTTGTTTAAAACACTGGGATTATTAGTTCTTGGACTCAAACTTCAAGATCCGACCTTACACTCCTGCAAAAATGGTAATTTTCTATCACAGCATCTTTGTTTGAACTAGAATTTTTGAAACTTTTATGACTGGCAATTGCAGCTTTTTATAAACAAGATGGCATTACTCGATTCATCATTATTCTAAAACAGCTTGATTATCACTAGTATTTGAGGGTTATTTATTTTTAAGGAATGCAAAATTTATCATGAAAAAAAAAATTGATTTAATTATCAAACCAACTAACTATTTTGTTATTTGACATATATATATGCCTTTTGCTTTTAACAAGTCTCTGCACAAACACCCACTGCTAGGCAAGGATCTACTATAGTTTTTGAGAGACCGAAGTATTTCTGGTTCGGCATTGCCTACCAAATTCATTACACCAGGGGTGAGGTGGTGGACATAGATTTGAAATTGAGATTTTACCTGCGATGTCATCATAGTTAAGTCTAAGCTACACGTCTCACCAAATTAATCATAAAAAATAAAGACATGCCATATCCTGGCAGTTCAGATATTTTTGAATTGTATTAAAAAAAATGTCAGTTTTAAATATTCGAGTCGATATTTTACAACGAAATCACAAATAACATGAATTACTATGAAGAAATACGAAATCTGAATTGTTAAAAATCTAAATTTTGAGTTCGAACCAGTTGTGAATGAATGTGTTATGTTACTTACAATCCAAATTTTATGTCAATCCAGCATTTCTGAAGAGAAACCCATTTATGCCTGGAATTTCAACATTTTCTGATCATGCTGGTACTATCGCAGAAGATATTGTTGTTTTATTGAGGTTGGTACTATTATCATGGTTCTGTGCTTGACCTAATCATTATTATAATACACTTGCCATCGCACCTCTGATTAGCCTAAGGCCGTGGTTTGCTATATAAAAGGGTATTTTATCTATTTCTCCTTCTCCAAGATAAATATGAAAATACTATTTTTCAAAAATGTGCAGTCAATAAATCTGGGCAAATTAAGGCGCTCCTGAAGTATGTGTACCAATATGGAGGTAACTAATTTTGTTCGCCTACTCTACATCCAGTTGTGTAAAGGGACGTAAGCCTATGGGCAGGGGGTATAATCACTTGACTAACACAGACAGTCCTCGAACTCCTAATAGAACTAAAATAGGGGGAATCGGAATAAAATTATGTCCTAACCTGGTACAACACTACCGGAGTACCAAAAGTATATCGACAAAACACATTAAATCACTAATTTAATTTTAACTTTACATTATAAAATAGCCATTTTTATACTTCCATATTCAATGCTCAAAAGAGAATGTATTTTTCATAGAAAACTGCACACTGATATTCATTGGAAGGACAAAATCAGCGACACAATCTGTTCTAATCTCCAATTCATACCATCGTTTATGCTATCAGCAACAAAAAATGCTCATGAACTTAATGAAGAGAAGTTGTCATCTGCTGTTGGCACGTTGGCAATGATTTGTCAAGCAGATAGAAGGATCCGAGTTGGCGGTGCCGTGTTGCAACAAGACAAATCGAGATATGGATCCAGCAAAGAAAAAGGAATTGGTGTTGCTGCAGAAGTCGATCAACCTGATGGTAAAGTTACTGGATATATGAAATGGTCATGGAGGTATGTAAAATATTTATATTCTGTACAAGTATGATCCCAACAATTTTATTCGAATGGCTCAGTGGTTGAAACGTCTTGCTGCCTACTATTTTCATTAATGAGTACATAATATTTTTTATTTTGAATTATATTAATAATTTGGCAAATTATTATGGCCAGTTAAAGTGAAGTATACCTAAAATGCTTAAATATGAAAACATTATTTCATGTTTTTTATTTAATATTGCATGAATGTGTGGATTTACTAATTTTATATAAATATATGTGACCTGTAGTATTTTATGAAATAAAATGAATTGCGATATCAATCCCAATTATTTTCTGTGGTATTTGGTTACGCTATTCGCAGATGAATTTTTTTTGCATTTATATCACCTGAAGCTTTTATTAGGAATTAAACAGATTATTACCAGATAAATAATGTTACATATTTCATATTTTATTTTTCTAATTTAGTCGAGAAACATACATGAGTACCATGGATCACAATGAAATGAAGCCGTTACCTCCAGAAAAAAAGTTTCTCTCTGATGCTCTTGATTGGTCACAAGATTTGATATCTGCCTGCAGTCAGTTATTGAAGATTGCTCTCTTGCCGATCAATACTTTTGTTCAAAGCGCTAATTTGTTGGAAAGAAATGAAATAGCGAAGATATCTAGTGGCGCTCGCCCTAAAAATAAATCTCATCTGACACCTAGATTAGACCATAATCTTGAGGTTAGTTAACAATAGGTGTTAAAGATCTAGTAATGTAACTGGACATGATAGCTTTGGAATGTGTGGTTTAATCTAGTTTACTAAATTATATTCACCATTACTTTATCCACGATGGATTTTAAAATTTGAAAAAGAAGCAAATAAACTCTAAAGCTGTAGCAGAATGTATTTCATATTTCAATTCTAACTTTTTTAGATCCTTTGCATTGTTTTTTTCATTCAAGGATGTCTTAGTTTAAAGTACATAACTACAATAATCACACTATATGCAAAGTTCGTGTATTCATAATTCCTCGCAGGATGTTTAGCTGCCAAAGCCATTCTTATCATCAATGATTACATTGCTCAAAAAATTAAAATTTTTGGCCTTATAAATTCATTAGATATTGAACCTTGGGTGTCGCTGCTTCGTAACTAGCCTTGGTTACCCACGACTACCCAGTAAAATTGTTTGTTAAATTTGAATATGACTATAATAATTTCAAATTTATTTTTTTATAATATCTTTTCAATACACCTTTATATTTTAATCAATGTTTTGCACCGTACCTGAACTCAACTAGGGTATAATAGATTGTTTTATACCCCAAAATTTTAAATTTTCGGTCTTACAACAAATTTAATTTCTCATTTGTTTTTAGGAACAACTTGAACTGTGCAAACTTCAACTTCATCTGTTTTTGTTGAGATCTCTGCCTATATTATTCCAAGATCAAAACATACTGAGAAGTGTTTTAAAATTCGCTCCGATATCTGCTAGTTATGATACTGAAAAAACACAAGAAATTGACGATGAAACATCCATAGAAAATAAAGGAATGGAAATTCAACAAGAAGAAGAAGTAATATCACAACTATCATCGTCTTGTCCCAGCTCTTCTAATAATCTTCTACAAAACGAAAGCATTCGAAAAATGGCTTCAGAAGGGAATTTGACAAGAGTTAAAACTGGCGACAACAATGTTTTTTCATTAGGTATGAACAAGTTGCTTCAATTGACATCGACAATGACTTTGTATATTCCAGATTCTAAACTATAAACCTGAAAATGGGGTAATTTACAGAGTGGCCCAAAGAAAAAACTGAACCTAGGTTATGTGGAACATATTCTAGCGAGAACATAACTTTTGTGAAAAGCGTCCGAGATCACTGAAACTTTTGGGTACAATCATACACAAAATCAAATGTTAAATAAATTTTCTTCATTTTTGTAGATGTAATTAGGAAATTTATCGGTTCTGTTTTTTTGGGTAACCCTGTAATATCGGTGAATATCACTGCTACTTTACCAGTGTGCAGTTTCTGTTTTATAATAATACTAATGAATGTTTGATTTTTTTTTATCAACTAGATGATATTAAAATACATGAAGCAAGGGCGATTGGAGTTTCAGACTCGAAGGAAATTGACATAGATGAGTCGACTGAAGTTACAGAAGTAACGGAAGAATATCAATCTGACACAGATGATACAATTGATTCTGAACATTCTAATGTAAATGCACCGACCATAGAAGGCATCGAAGAGAGTAACAAGGTTGATAAATTTTATTTATTTATGACACGTATCATGTCTTTTGCTTCCAACAAAACCCTATACAGGCGCCACTGATATCTAACGACATGTAGGAAAGTATTTCATTTGAAAGAACTGGAATCTTGCCGGTTAGACATTGTCTACCCAATTTATTATGTGCTGTGTGAGGTGGGTGGCATGGGATTTGAACCCAAGATGTGTGGTCTGCGATGCTAACACAGTACATTGAATCTAACACTTTGACTGCTAGGCCATCATGCAGTCTTCAATGATTAATGAGCATTTACAGAATTTCAAAAAGTGAATTTGAAATGAAGGTTTGAAATAAGAGTTTTTGAGGATAAGATGACGAATTTTAAAAAAATATGACCATTAGAGATACTGTAGTGGACAATAATGTAGGATTAATAAATTTGGCCCGTCAGAAGAATATGTACAAATATGGAGGTAACAAATTTTGTTCACCTACTTTACATCAAGCTCTGTAAAGGGAAGGAAGCTTATGGGCAGGAGTATATTCACTTGGCTGACGCAAACAGTCCCCTAACTCGTAGTAGAACTAAAATAAGGAAAATCTGAATAAAATTATGGCCTAACACATATTATGGAAGTACCATAAATTTTCATTTAGCTAAAAATTTTTTTTTGTTACTGTACCTTCAGACAACCTTACAAGAAGCATTGTGTCTTGCTGTTCGACCATCTAAATTGAAACCATGTATCAAAATAGAAGAGCTTGAAGATGCTGTTGCAGCTCTTCTCATATTTATTGAGTCTTCAGTTGATCAACAGGATATTTTACAAGATTATTTCCAGACTATAAAAATTCCGCAGTCAGTTTTAAAACTCTGGGACGATGGATCAAACCAACCTAAAATTTCAAATTTGCAGTAAGTAAAAATTTTTTATCTTTTTTTTCTTATATTCTTCTGTTTTTGGTCATTCTGTATGTTGAGGAACATTGTCATCGCTTCCTTCCTGAAGATATTTCTAACTTTTTTCAATTTTAATTTATTGAATTAGTCCATTTCTAATAGTCATTGTCATAAGATAAGTATAGCTAAGTATAGAAGTTGAGTATATAACAAGGAGTACTGATGTACCATACTTTTGCCAAAGAAAATTGAAAAATGACCCGACTTTTACGCAATTTTTATACAATTTTAATATTCCAGGAGTTCGAGCATTACCTTGAAAAAGAAAAGAAGTGAAAGAAGAAGTCATCAAATCGAACAAGTACGTCAGAACGAGGTTTGTAGTATACTGACTTTTTTGTCAAAATTAATACCGTCAAACATAAAGGGCTGAGAAATCTTCATTGTGCTATCTCTTCATGTTTTTAGAATTTACATGGAGAACCAATGAGACAACAACTGATAAGAAGGAGACATAGAAGAAGAAGAAATAATGAATCTGAAAATGAAAGAAGTTCAACTACCCCAAGGTAAGATATTTAAGAATAATGTGTATTTTGTGTATCTATAATTAATTATGACAATTTCATCAGTATGTGCTGGTGTGGTGGCCTGTCATATTTGCCTGATTACTTTGACTGTGCTGAACAAGGATACATAAGGCTGTTCACAACAAATTTTTAGTTGAGCATTTGTGAGGTCATCTTCGTGTTGGTAACTATTTAGTTGTTATAAGTTTTGGCCTTTTTGTCACTATAATTTTACGTTTTGGCTCATTGTGATAAACAGTTGCACGTTCCTGCAAATGTTGATCTGTTCAAAAACATTAGTTCTAATACAAAGAGTTATGTTATGTCATAGAGTACCACGATGGACTCCACTTCCGGGACAGTCGGAGCCTTCTTCAGGTCATGCAGAGAAGAATTCGTGGCAAGGTTTGGTTTCACCAGGCAAAATGCAAACTCTTCAAGAAATGGGATTTGAAGAGAAACATATTATTCAGTCTTATAAAGAATTAAGGAAAAGACCAATACTACCTTCAAGAAGTAAGTGGAAGTATGTACTTGTTGGAAATACCTTGGTTCAAGTGTTTATAAAACACTGTATTGTATAACAGTGATTCTCAAACTTTTTTTCAGTTATTTTATTCAATTTTCAGCAATATATACATCATTATCACCCCTGTCATTACAAAAATCGTGTTACAAATCAATTAAGCAAGTTTATTAATGATAGTATATTGTGTTTTTTCAACAAGATATACAAGCTCGGTGATTTTCAAAATATTCTGAGACATTTTGGTCAGGTTTATTCAATAAGTAAAACAAGTTTCACGATAATTCTGGTTTTTCAAGAATGCGTTATTGCACCCTTTGTTTCCCCCCTGTTTTACCCCCTACATCCTTTTTGGGCCAACTACCATTTTGAGAATCATTGATGTTATCTCGCTAAGATGTTATTCTATGAGTGATCTGTTCCTATGATGATTGACAGCAGTTTTGCTTTACTGATTTTAGATGAATAAAAAAATGTGTTCAGTTTATCCCCCCCATTCTGTTGAAATATTTTTTATGATGACAACATAAGCTATCATTACAATATTATATTAACTTTTCAATGTCATATATTTTATTCGTAGGAGATGTTGCACAAGGTGGTTTTGAACCTGGTATGGAGCTGGTTGTTGCTTGGTTATTAGAACATCCATGGCAGGAAGGTAATTTTGAATCAATACTCCATTTATTGCCATTTATTTGAATATGATATTCCAATTTTTTGTTGAAAATTGAACATAACTTCCTCATATGTACATTAGTCATTCGCAAATAGGGCTCGGAGAATGTTTTAGAAAATTTGAAAAACATAGAATTAATATTTCCACATTTATTTTGAAATGATCGAAATAATATTATACCGGGAAATCTTTTGTAATTTTCATCATATGCCATGCTAATATTTAATTGGTTACTAACTTAGAGTATCATAAATTCCTTTTTTGTGTGCGAAAAGAAGACACAGAAAATACACCACCTAGTGAAAATGAGGAAGACGAAGAAGAAGTAGATGGATTTACGATTATTGAAAATGACGCATTCGGTTTACGACAACATTTACTTGAGCAATCGTCTACTGAATCTGATCCTTCAACATCTGATGACAAGACTGAGGATGAAATGAATTTGCCGGCTTTACCATCCATGGCTACTTCCACGTAATAATGTTTATTCTGTCTGATCATTTTATATGTATTTTGTATTGAAGGAGAGAAATTATTAAATTTTATTTTATCTATATAAGAATATTGGTACTCCTGTAGTGTGTGTACCAGGTTAGGGTTATGCCATAATTTTATTCCGATTTCCCCTCATTTTAGTTCTATTATGGATTTGGGGACTTTACACAACTGTATGTAAAGTAGGCGAACAAAATTAGTTACCTCCATTTTGGTACATACACTCAACCCACTCAAAAATTAAAGATAATGATCCCTGCTTGTAGCTATGGGCGACCACTAAAATGCCAAAAGCTACTGACATTATATAGAATGATAGTAAAATCAGATTAATGTAAGACTTGAAGCAGTTCGTGTTAATTTATGAAATTCAAAAGCAATTAAAACTTAGAAAAATTTTTTTTTTCATTTTCTAGTGTCAGTGCCTCCTATAGTGTTAACCTTTTAGCCAAAGTTCCTACTTCCTGGTAGTGGTATGTGATGTTAGGGTTTATGAAATGATTTAATTCAAATTATACCATTTTACTGGTAATCACCAAATTGAACATATTCTTCATCACATCACCTGAGTACAGATGTACTCTTAATTTCCTCACAAACATGTAATTTTTAGTGATTAGACAGAATACATTTTGCTAGTATTCCCCCACCTCATCCAGGGTGTAATAATATTCTATGGGCAATGTCGAATGGATACAAAAAAATCTTCAAAAACATGGTAGAGAAATTATATATAGTTGAAACATATATGTTGAGAATGTTTTAGTTTTTATTATTTTAAAATTATTTTTAGAATTGATGAACCAGAAGAGGAAAACATACAAACAATTAATTACAAAAAACCTTCAGAATTTGCCAGCTCTGATGAATATGCAAAATATATTCGAGAAAACATCAAGGTTAGTACTAGATTAACAGAATAGTCTCCTTTGTCTATATTCGCAAGGTTACCAATCTTTACATAATAAAATTCAATTCCACCAGGATTGTTTGGCCGAATTGTTTATTTTGATGTTATTTTGGAACAAAATTTATAATCAACAACTAGATCATTTTATTAAATTATCAGGAGCTAGAAATTCAAGTTTCTCCCAGATGACTATTATAATATTTTGTATCACTCCTAATTTTTACTAATTTCATTCAGAGTATTGACACTGTACTTTGTTTCTGTGTATTTGCACATTTATGTTATTTTAGAATATTTTTCTCTGTTTTTCAAATTGGTTGCTGCTGTCACTATGGTTTCAGAGTACGTAGTGGTCTTGAGAGCAGTTAGATTTAACTATGATGGCATGCAATGTTAAAATCTCAGGTTCAAATCTCATGCCCACCCGCTACCTCAACCAGGAGGTACCAAATTGGGTACTTCCGTAGTGTATGTACCAGGTTAGGGTCAGGCCATAATTTTTTTCTGATTTTCCTAATTTTAGTTCTATTACGAGTTTGGGGACTGTCTCTGTCAACCATGTGAATATACCCCCTGTCCATAGGCTTCCATCCCTTTACATAACTTGATGTAAAGTAGGCGAATAATATTAGTAGTTACCTCCATATCGGTATACACACTTCTGGGAACGCCCCAAATTGAGCAGCCAAGAAAGAACCGGCAAGATTCAAGCCCTTCCAAATTATAGTAGGCCCTTACCTGGCAGTGCAGAGCCCTGTTCAGAGTGGAGAGGTTGATATGTTGTATAAAAATAGTTAAGTCTCTCATTAGATTCATTTTAAACAATGAGTTTTGTGATTTTGAAATATAAATTATTTATAAATTTATATTTATTCTAATCCCAGGTTGGCATGTTGATAAAATGTTGTAGATCATATGAAGATGTCATGGAAGGAGACATTGGTACGGTGTTGAGACTTGATCATGATGGTCTGCATGATCTTAATGTTCATGCTGCATGGATTTCAAAAGGAGGAACATATTGGGTGATTTATATATTCAATATTGTGTTTTTTTTACATCTCAAATAACTAATTGCAAAAAAAATGAGATCCTCATCTGTGTAGCATTTTTGGACACAAAGTTAAACGAGTGGAACATTTTGGTGCATTTTTGATGTTGAGTCAGAAAACTGCTTTTCTTCGGAACTTGTAGACCGGCGATTTCAAATTTCACACTCAAAGGTGGAAAATGGTTAGAGGTGGTTACTAAGATCATTTGTAATGAAATGCTGGTTCTTTTATCTTGTCTGCGTCATATTTTGGATCGGTGTGGGTCCTTTTCACAAGGTTACTTGGATGGGATGGTATTCAAGTAAAATGTATTAAAACATGATCTCATTCCACAAAATACTTTGTATGTCGCTGTGCTGTTTGATTAATTTGTTTCGTGTTTTTTATCAAGAAGTTTTTCTATGATATAACATAAGGAAACGTCACTAATATATTTGCTATTTTTGGAAAGAGATTCTGTTATTCTTGGTTAGAAGTGGTTGGAAATCTATTACAGTACTTTTATTCTTTCAAATTATTTTCAAATTCTGCTGTTTTCAACATCTCGCCTCGAATTTTGCTTTTTTTTATATACTTCTTGGGGATACCTTTATAGGATATACAGCAGGGATGGCGAACCTTTTTCAATGAATGAATCAAAAATTATATTTTTATCGCGGAACAGAAGAGAGTGGGTCACAGATATTTAATCAATGTTAGTATCTATACAAGGAACTTCTGAAACAAATCTTCTAAGCTTCTGTCGGAGTTGGTATAGTTTTGGGCTTTACTTATGCAGCACAAATTATTTCACGGTTCCAAAGAGTTTGGAGGGAATTCCACTTTGATAGAGTTATATTATCCTATCAGCTTTCAATCACATTAAGGCATTTTTACACTGCCCCATATTTATTTCAGATTTCTAGGTTTTTATTTCAAGTCTGAAAGATTTTGTTTTCTCAATGGAATTATAGGCTAGAAACAAATAAAATGTAATGTAACATCTAGTTCTCGTATAGCCCCTAAAACAGTCTGCAGATGCACATCTGAAAGAGACCGAGAAATGAACAGATCTATTGCATTGTTATGTCATAAACGATGTCAGAGCCAATAGCTGAATAATGGTACACAGCAGTGCAGACATGCGTCCAAGATTAGGGGTTTTGAAAATTACCGGCCTAAAAATTAACAATTTGAATATGAGCGATCGCAGCCCTGACTGTGCAACTGCTGGTACATTATAATGGTTTAGTTATTGTTAGATTAATTCGAAGCCGGTTTTATCAATTTTTATCACTGATATGTTAGCAGTTTTTATTTTATTAGGGCCTTGGCGGGTCACGAATAAAACGAGGTGGGTCACTTTGTGAAGCGCGGGTCAGTGGTTCGCCATCCCTGATATACAGCATATATCTTTTAAAATATTGCTTCAATTTTGCTAACATTGCAGAGTTCATATCAGTCAGTTGACTTTTGTTTTTTTTATCTAAGCATTGCCCTCTTGTTCAACATCTTCAATGAATATGATGAGCGAATATGTGTGATTTTGTTTTGAGTTATACTTAAGTGAAATGTACATTTTCATTGCTTATTATAAATTCTATTCTATCATAGGTTCGATATATTCATGTTGAAATGGTCGAAGATAACTCGAAACAAGCAAATACTAAGTTAAGTGAAAATACAAAAGCAATAACAGTTGGAGACAAGGTATCATTGAAATATTTTTTATTTGTTTATGATATTTCTCAAGCTGGTTTTAACCAGTTTTATCTTGTTTAACAGGTTCGAGTGAGACCGTCTGTTTCTGTTCCAAAATATAAATGGGGTTCAGTCAAACATAGTTCTGTTGGAAAAGTAATCAGTATTTCTGGAACAGATGCCGTGGTTAACTTCGAAGAACAGCAGCATTGGACGGGATTGATGACAGAATTAGAACTTGTTGAAGAAAGTCATCAACAAGTTACTTGCGATAATTGCCAGGTATCTCATCTTCTATCATATGAAGTATTTCTTTATGTGAAGTATTACCACTTCCCGATCATTTTCATACCAAGCTGTTGTTTTTATCACAGCTTGAGGTTGGTTTTCCTGAACAATTTGAATATATTATAACAACATCTGCAGGTTTGCATGGCTTTTAAATTTGGAAGTCAAAATGATAGGCTGTTGCTGTTTGGAAAACAACATTTATAGAGTTAAATTGGCACTTGTAAAAATGTGAAATAAAAATGGAGAAGGGTGGGTAGTAAATTTACTCTCAAACTCATTTGAATTCACACAAATACCCAAAGTACCCTATTCACGCTCTGCATGTCTTTATATTTATATGAATCTATATTTTCACACTTGAATTTCATAAAATTGTTCTGATAATTACACAAGAACTGCATGTGTAAAGCTCATATCTACATATCACCATCCTAGAGTTGAAAGACTCACGGAAAAGATTCAACAGCAAGTTTCTGTTTGAGGCCAACGTAGGATGCAAATTGATCTTAGCTAAATTATAGATTGTTAAAAAATTGAAGTTTTTTTTATCTTTGAGTTAACCTTGGGATTATAACATAAACCCATTTCAATCCGAAGAGATGAATTTTACTATTTTTCAGCATTATTTTGTCGACCATAGTCAACTTTTTTTTGTTAATTACTTCATTTTTCTTTTTTTAGGCAAATCCAATTGTTGGAGCAAGATACAAATGCTCTGTGTGTTATGATTACGATTTATGTGAAAAGTGTTTCAAAGCATTCCAACATGCTACACCTCGTCATGTATTTGATATGATTGAAAATCCTGGAGCGACAAAAGTTCGAACGACTGCAAGTGGAGATGCCAGTAATCCTAGGCGAGCGTAAGATTTTGTTGTTTATTATGAAAATACACGATTTTGTTTGCTATCATCGTCGGTATTTCCTAAACTATATGAAAGTACAGGGTGACCCCAAAAACGGCGCTCCAGAAGTGTGTGTACCAAAATGGAGGTAACTAATTTTGTTTGCCTATTTTACATCAAGTTGTGTAAAGGGACTGAAACCTATGAACAGGGGGTACAGTCCCCGAACTCGTAATAGAACTGAAATAAGGAAAATCGGAATAACAAAAAACTCATATTCTAGAGAGAACATAGCTTTAATGCAGGAAATTTATGGGTTCTCCTTTATGGGGTTGCCCTGTACTAGTAAGTAACATTAAAATTAAATTATAAATTTATTAACATCAAATGTTTTTCCATCTACTTGCTATAAGCAGGAGCAATTGAAATTTCTTGAGAAAAAAAAGCATTTATGGCCTAAATACAACGAAATACTTTTTCAGGTCTGCACGCTCAATTACTGAACTTGATGTTGCATTTTCACCAGCGGGAAGTAATTCAAAAGGCATGTGTATACTGTTCTCTTTACACCAAAAAAATTAGTTTTTTACATTTGTAAAACAACTTTAGTAAGCTTTAAATACATTGCAGAATCTTCTAAAGGACAGACAACCCCGCTTCCAAAAGAAACAACAACTTGGAAAAAATTAGTAGATAATTTGGAAGCGTCATCTGGTAATGATACGATTGGTTATTTACTTGATGGCAATGATGAAACATACTGGAAGTCGACCGGTACTTTGGGGGAACATAAACTTACATTGCATATGAGACAAGGTGCAGTTGTGACAAGTTTGGTCATGCAGGTAACTATTTTGTTTTCTTGATATTTACCAGACTTTACTATATTTTTTAGTCTAATAGGAATACATGACATGCAATTAAAGAAGAAAAAGCACTCCTTGTTGCTTTTCATTTTGTCATTGTTTCTATGTAGTATGCTTAATATACTATTAATGTAAGATGACTATAATTTCATCCACTTCAAATTGACTCTTTGAAAATTCATATGTGTTCATGCCCATACATATGCTTTATTGAAAATTGTAGGTCAAAATATATCACTGCTAAATTTGAAAGGAAAAATTTATTAGCATACATTGCTGTCTCAACTCTCATATATTTGCACATTCCTCACCTCTGTTAAAATTGTTATGAGTAGAGTTTACAGATATGTTATTTAATTGATTACAAAATTTAAATTGATTTAATTATCGAACCCAATTTGATCATTTTTGCTCAACCCCATCCAATGGCACATTTTTTTGTTCAATAATCAATTATGCTGCCCATGTTAAATGCCATATTTTAAGTTTGATATAACTATTATCTGATAGAAAAAAGGTGAATTCAAAATGTCAAGTATAGCTATACTATGTTTCAGGTTGATCCAGATGATAGCAGCTACATGCCAAGTCTCGTTAATATCACATTATCAAATGGCGATGATCAAAAATCAAGAACAATACGTATCCAACCTTCAGCCAAACATGTTTTGTTGTTGCGAGATTGTGATAAACCATATGACAGAATAATAATCAATATTAAAAAGTGCAAAAGCTTTGGAATCGATTGCAAGGTTTACTAATGATTTTCAATGATATTCTATTTATTGTTCAGCGTACAATTCCTATATCTTTTATGCTTTTTATTCCAGATTCATAGCCTGTTTATCAAAGGCTACCTACTTCCACCTAAACGTGTTTCTTCTGCGATCGGAAAATCAAAACATTTTATTGGAAAAGGAAAACAATCATCTGATGACAGAAAACTTCAACAACTGTATTTAGCTTCTGATTCTGAAGAAGATTGTGAAAAGGTTTCATTTTTACATTATTTTAAGATAATATAGTGTAAAAAAAGTTTGAGCCATGTTCACAACATGACATAAGTACTTCTTGTTAGCATGGAACAACCATTATTGCATATGGTATTCCTAACCCCTACCTGACTATGTCAGTCAAAAATTAGGTCTCTACGACGTCACAATAACGTAATAAGGCCCTCCAAACTATACTAACTGTCATCCAAGACACGCAGACGATCACCCCAAATCGAGCATGCTATTTATCTCGTTTTCTCGTCCTAACAATCCTGATATGAGAAAATCGCTAGCGTTATTGAGTTTGGTATCATTGGCGAAGATGCCATTTCGGGTGGGGGTTAAGAATAACATATGCAAAAAGGGTTGTTCCACGCCAAATAGAGGTACTTGCGACGTTTAGTGAACATGTGCCAAAAGTTCGATTCAGTGTTCTTCACAAGTATCTTTATTGTATAACAAAGTTAATAAATATCCAATTAGTATTTGCCTCTAGCTAATGATCTAGGCAAAGTTTTTTTTGCGATTTTTGTTATACTCCATTGAAGCATTGATTTCCAACTATTTTTGTTAAATGTTTCACTTCATCTCTTTTGGAACTTTTCATCCCTCCCTCATTATGCATAAAACTCTTGTGTAAAACTGTTTTTTTTGTTATATGTTGCGATTTCTACAGTCACCTGGACAAACTGGACGTGGCAAGAAGCGTTCATCAGGTGCAGTGGCAACCAAAGTATATGGATGGGGTCTTAATGATAAAGATCAACTTGGGGGACCAAAAGGATCGAAGATCAAAACTCCTCTCTTCTCAGAAAAACTCTCATCACTGAAAGTTGCTCAAATAACTGGAGGATCAAAAAGTTTGTTCATTGTCACTCAGGAAGGAAAGGTGAGAATATTTGAGGATGTAATATGTTTGTATTGCATTGCTAGATGCGTTTTTTTTGTAATATAGATATTGATTTTTTTATGATGTTATAATTGTCTATGATAATTATAACATCATTATACAAGTTAGGATAATTGTTGATCATTACAAGCTATATGCTGAATACTGGTATTTTTCCTGAATCGAGTAATTGAATAGTATTGCGCAATCGTGAACATTGTCTCTATTGTACAATAAGAACTACATTTTCAGAGGTATATCATGACCATATGCCTCATTCCATTTAACACTTTCGATGCCAAGATCAGTTTTTTCAATTTTACCGTTCCGTGCCAAGGTGAAAACGAGAGAGTTCTCTCCTATTCATTCTCTCTCGTATTTAGTTTTTGATTCATCGGGAAAGGGGCGAACCCAGCGGTGTCATCAGTTATCGTTCATTCCGACACTTCAGTCGTAGGTGAAAGAACTCACCTACACACGCGTATCTTGTCGGAATTGCTCTCTCATGCTATTATAACATAAGTTGATAATAACTTGTCTTGATCTCTCATTGCGATAAAGATTCAATTCGAACATTTTATTCAGCAATCAGAATCATTTTATTATACGAAAATATCAAATTTGAACAAAGAAAACAAAATCGTTTACTAGCATAAAAATATATCCTTCATTCGCTATATATTCCAATAACATTAATAATGGCCAATTATTGTCACTCACAAGGATAACATATTGCAAAATAAACAAAGTAGTCACATTGCATATTCATACAACTGTAACACATATGTATCTCTATGACCTCGTCACCATTACAATACGTCGAAAGTATTGAAATCGGCCTCTTATCTTGCCATAGTAGTGCGAGTAATTGTCCTTTTCGTATTGAGATGATTTCCCCTTTCTTTAGTTTTGTTTTTATTTCTGCTGGAAGTCCCTACCGGTTTGCCGTGACTGTTCCCGTTATCGATGTTTTCCTTCGCTGCAATTCGTCGGCTAATGCGACAGAGTTATAGAGTCTAAATTAAAAATTAATATTAATAAAAATTGGTTGTGATAAAACAGTTTATGCAATTGATTGATATATCCGACAATGATTCGTTATCTAAAATAGAACGCAGTATGGCGCCGAGACGTAAATTATCTAATTTGTCTTATCAATACCGAATAATCAACATACCTATCAACAAATACGTGATATCCTCTATCCAGATGACTTTCCATTAGTTGCAAAACTAAATTCGAAGTTTTTGTGACGCCGGGTGGAAGTTGTTCCAAGTTTGGATTACCATAATCTATTTTTACATTGAAATGTATCCAGTTGTTGAATCAGCAATCGATCTAGCAATGATGCCCCATTTAACCGGTTTGTTTGGCATATATCTTCTGAATGAAACTCTTCCTTTATATGCAATCATGGTTTCATCGGTTCAGTCAGTAAACGATGAAATTCGAAGTCTTTACTTGCCTCGGCAAACATTTCATTCAATCTGGTATTTATAGCGAGCAAATACTTATTTGTGTGGATATTTGAACTAATATTGGCGTGCAAATGAAGTATTTCCAAATGCAATTTCAATATTCATTATACGCATCCGGTGTCTCTAAGTTGACATAATAAAAAGGTTTAAAGCTTCATCGAAATTCGTCAGCTGATCTGTCAAGAACACGATTTTCCGAAATTGTCATCTCACGCAATTTGCTACGCAAGTCGTCTCGACTGCACGTAGTCCCGTCTTCGTGGCGCCAGACACGTGATTGCTATTGCGTAGCTACGTAATCAGTACGCCATGGCTGCTTATTGAACTTGTTCATCCGACACAAAGTCGTAGGATTGCATATTTTGCTATAATTATGGTTATACAATAGCTACGGAAGTAATTCAATATGAGCTGAAAGCATACGAGGGGCTCTGTGTTATTGGTAATATATTTCCCACTAAATTACTATATCTCGGATCATATCTCACTGACAAGTAGAAAAATATATGTTCCGAATAATATCAATTTCTCACTTTATTATTTCAAAATGTAACATATCACCTCTCAGGACGATAAAATTTGCTTTCGTTGCAGATGTCCGTCAATCCGTTACACGAAAATAATAAAAAATTAAACAAAAAGGTTCAAAAATACCAACATTATGAATCATTTCATCGTCCTGCCAATAAGACGACGATCATGCATATAAAAATATTCGAATTATTTCCCGGTTTAGTAATGTTTTTCTACATCTTCGTAACATGATTGATAATATTATCATCTCTCCTCACACCTTTCAATCATTTCACCGTAAAAAGTTGAAACCGTGTGTTGGCGTCAGTCGGTCTCGTACAAATTTTTGATGATAATTTGCGGCTAATATGTACCTCGGCCATGCTAAATAAGTTGATAATTTACTTCATGGCAGACCCTCCTTCCATCTTGGTATTTCTTGAATGACGCGATTGGCTGACGACGTCATTCTTTCCCCCCAACTTGACAACAAGAGAGAGAGAGAGAAGAAAAAGACGGCAAATACCTGAACTCGACCTTCTTCTATCTATTAAACTTTTTCTTTTTCGAATGACGTATGTATACGTCATTTTGTATTGATGGCACGGAACGGTTGGCGCCAAATGACGTATATATACGTCCTTGGCATCGAAAGTGTTAAATGGTCAAAAATCAGGATTTCAAAAACTCTATGGAGAGTTGAAAATTAAAAAACAAATCCAAATAGTACTAATGTAGACCAGTGCCAAACAATTTTAATAATCTACGTTTCATTTTAGTTTAAAATATTCGATTCGTTTGGATAGCCCTATATTGGAGCAACAAATTGTTTATTACTTTTGAGTAATAAAAACATTGATTTCTTCATTCAGGTTTATACTTGTGGTGAATCAACAAACGGACGACTTGGTTTAGGACTTGTGACTTCGAATGTATCAACACCAACCATTGTTTCACATTTATCGTCCTATTATGTCAAGAAAGTTGCTGTTCACAGTGGTAAAAGTTCATCTTCCTGCAAATTCTAACATAGATTCTTATCTTTTTTTAATCTAAATAATTGCATTCACAACATAGGTGGACGACATGCAATGGCACTCACCTCAACAGGAGTTGTTTTTTCCTGGGGAGATGGAGAGGATGGAAAATTAGGACATTGTAATAGAGCGGATTGCCACAAACCACGACTAATCGAGGTAAATTTTCATTCATATAATAAAAGCTAATATCTGTCTTCTATGTTTAAATATATTTTCCTTTTTAATTTCAGGCACTTAAAGGAGAACTGATTGTTGATATAGCATGTGGAAGTTCACATAGTGCTGCAGTTACATTGAAAGGTAGATTGTATACCTGGGGACAAGGGAATTATGGAAGATTGGGACATGGAGACAATGCAACTCAATTGAAACCAAAGTTTGTAAGTTATTCTCTCTGTTAGTCAGTTTAGCATACCATACTACTCAAAGATTGAACAAAGGGGGGGTATGGGATCAAAATTTTATACAGACATTCAGAAATCGAATTGCAACAGCTTTTAAATCAATTGCCACATTTTGTTGAATTTGTTAAAATAGGTGACCTATTTAGCCGATATTGATAATTTTGTTGCAAAAAATATACAACTGGTTATAGGGAACCTCTAATGTCAAACCTGAAAATCCACCACCTGGTATCGTCACTGATGATACTATGGTGTAGTAGTTCACCCAAACCCTGATTATAAGCCATATATATTGAAATCACATAAAATTATATTGTCAAGGATGTGTTTAAGTTACATGAGATATTTGATTCTGTAATAGAATTTTTGTCAATTATTTCAATATCAGAGTAATACATTGATCACGTTCCAATTTTCAAAAGATTATGGCATTGCATGGAGTTCATGTTGTGAAAGTTGCTTGCGGAAGCAGAGATGCTCAGACTGTATGTTTATCGAGAAACGAAGTCGTGTATTCCTGGGGAGACGGAGATTTTGGAAAATTAGGAAGAGGAGGGAGTGAAGGTTGTTCAACCCCACAAATTGTTGATAAATTGAATGATAAAGGAATTATTGATATCGGTAAGATGCATAAAGCAATGAATTTCTGTGAAATCATGGAGTTACTGTCACTAAAAATAATACGAATGTGAGCCCTAAAAGAAAAGGCTTGCAACCTCCTATTTGCATTGCACATAAAGCATATGGTCACCGTTTCAACGTACATATATATGCCTCACTGTGAAGATTCAGTTCTTTGAAACATAAGATAGATAAGATAAGATAGATAGATTCTAAATAACCATGACTACTCTCAGAGTGAGAGTCCTAAACATCCAAAAATATACCCACAGGTTGTGGAGCACAATTCTCACTTGCATTGAGTAAAACAGGAAAAATATGGACATGGGGAAAAGGAGATTATTTTCGACTTGGACAAGGACACGATCAACATGTCAGACATCCAACTATTGTCAGCGGACTTGCCGATAAAAATATTGTTAAAGTTGCCGTTGGTGCCCTGCATTGTGTAGCTGTTACTGATGCTGGAGAAGTTAGTTTCATATTTATATCTTTTGTACAAATGTAAGATGTCTAGAAGTGACATGACATGAGGATTTTTGTTCTCTGATATATTTCAAAAAATATACTCCAGACACAATTACTTCCAGGGCAACTTAATATACAGATGGGAGGGGATGAAGGGTACTCCTGTAGTATATATACGAGGTTAGGGTTAGGCCATAATTTTATTCTGATTTTTCTTAAGCTTTCCGATTGAACTGAGAATAGTCTAATTCTATTGCGAGTTCGGGGAGTGTCTGTGTCAGCCAAGTGAATATACCCCCTGCCCATAGGTTTAAGTCCCTTTATACAACTTGATGTAAAGTAGACGAACAAAATTATTTACCTCCATATTGGTACATACACTTCTGGAGCGCCAGATAAAGTTCTTGCTTTGATATTTAGGAAACTTTTGTGCTCCTTGTAAATCCTTCATGTACAAATGTTCAGGTTTATTCATGGGGAGACAATGATCATGGACAACAAGGTAACAGCACAACCACAGTTAACAGAAAACCAGCTCTTGTTGAAGGTTTAACTGGAATCAAAATATCTAATGTTGCTTGCGGGTCAAGCCACAGGTCAGTTTTTTTTGTTGTTTCTTTTTCAGTTAGTATCTTAGATAGTTTTGTTTTTATTAAAACAACAGTCTTCGTTTCCTAGCGTTGCATGGTCTGTGGCTGATGAAAATCACAGCGGTTTGTTTGAGCCCATAAGATTTCCAGTTATGAAGGATTGTCTTGGAGAATCATATGCACCTCATGCAGATCATACCAGAAACAGAAACAAAAGTCTCAGAAAAACTCTTCTATGTATCTCTGGTAAGAATTAGTATCTGTTGGAAATGCAAGGTCATGCACATCCACTCAGAAATTTATGACAGTGATCTCCGGGTGACTATATCAAGGGTCACTAAATTGTGCAGAGTTACTGAGTTAGTAAATACCATTTGACTCGAGACTTGAAGCAGATCTTGCCAAAATGATTTGGAGAACAGTTACGATTGAGAAAATCTAACTGAAGTTTTTGGGGAAAAACTTGGTCATATCTTTGTAATTCATATTTTAAATATTTACTTTATATGTTTATAGGGGGATATTATAAACCTAAAATTGAAGATTCGTCGTACGATAAACCAAAACCAGAAGTTCGGCCATCTCTGGCCAAAATATTGTTGTCACTCAATGCTTATGAAGGAAAAAAGTCAGCTCTGAAAACTGTTTTTCAGACTCTTCAGGTAATGAATAGTGATTATATGTTGTTGCATTCATTGGCATTGCTTTTTGAAGTAGCGGGGGTTAAGCTGAAATTGAAACAGTGCACTAAAATCACAACTCGGGACGCCATAAGATGTCTTTCATTTAAAGAGCTAAAATTCAAAACAATGCTTAAAATAAACACAGTTGATGAAATTCCTACAAATACTTTATGAAGCAATTATTTCCGGATAGCTAACAAAGCTATTTTCTAACATCCCAAGATAACATTTCTCTCCTGATGCTACGTCCCTGCTTCTGTCTTGTCAAAGTTGGCTGAACAAAAAATACATTATCATCAAATTTTTCAGATTCATTTTGCTCGTGCACTTGTCACGCGTGCATTACTACCATCAAAATATGTAAAAGAAGAAAACGAAACATCTTTGAAGAATCAAGAAATTTTAAAACCAATAGCACTATCTCCAACACCTTCTAAAATTGACACAAGTGATGTTCCAACCACTGCAAGAGTTGCAACAAACGAATCAATTAACGATGAACCTGGTATGTCAAGATCGTGTTGTGTACTACTGTGTTTTGTATAATAAATCTTATGAATCATTTTTTCGACTAGTTTTATTAATTTTTTATATAAAAGTTGATTGAAGTATTCAAGATATCTCTATTATAATTCTAATCCTGAATATGAGTCACTTCTTTTCGACAGGGCCTTCAACTTCACAAAGCCAAACTTCTTTGTTTCCCGTTGAAATCACATTGGAGCCATCTACAAGTGGGTCGTCCCACAGCATCACTAACTCAAAGCATCTTGAAGCAAAAATTTCAGATCATGCAATGGCGTCTCTCATTGCCGAAACAATCACACGTCCAGAGGAAATAACTTTGCCTACTCCCAAAAAGCTGACAGAAGCCGTTGATATGACTGAAGACATAATAGAAATAGAGGGAGTGAAAAAAATTCAAGATGTGGAAATTTATGCAGAACTTGCACTGCAAGACACAAAGAATATTGCTGGTAACTGTAAAAGCTTTTAAACAAATAATATTTCATTATCTATAGAATTATTGTTTCCATGAATAAAGTGGAAATTTTATTATGACAAAAGTGATAAAGCAGTCAGTTTAGGTTGCAACTAGGTACTAATTTTTATCCATCCCTTCGTTCTTTGCCTCATATGATTGAAGAAATATTTTTCAATGATAATTATAAATTTTAGTTATGCTGGAGTTTTTTCAACGAAAATATGTTCAAAGCAACGTCAAACGTTTAATTTTAACTTCAATTTTTAATATACTTCCAGCTGAAAAATTATTTCAGAATTAAATTTCTTTATTCCATTTGAAGGATTTTCATTCAATCCAATTTTTCTTTTTTAGATTTGTTAAAGCTTGGTATTGCAGGAAGACTGACTGATGAACAATATGTTTCAGCCTGTCATGCCATACAACATCTTGTAAAACACAATCCAAAGGTACATCACTTTTTATGAATATTCCACTTTCAATTCAAGAACTGGTATACAGGGTAACAGGCTAAAGAACACAAGCCAGGACACATTCTGAAGAGTACATATTTTTTGTGAAAAGCGTCGTAGATTACTAAAACTTTTTGGTACTTACAGAAGTTTAATTGTGTGATAAATTTTGTATAAATACTGTAGTGGATCATTCTGTACTTCTAAATTAAGGGTTCTAACATTATTTAGTATTTTTAACAGCGTTTATCTCATATGAGGTTATGAAAACTAAATATAAATCTTGATTTTCAGGTCACACAACTTTTGCTGAACAATTGTGTGCTGGAATTGTCAGATGTAACGAACGATGCTGAATCGAAAGGATTTGAAATGAGACCCGTTGTTCAGGAAAGTACTCATCCATATGCTGATGATTCTGAAATTTCTGGAAGTGTCAAAATACCCGGTATGTTTTATTGCCATTTCATTGCATTGTAAAGAAGAAACAAACTCTAATTTTCGTTTTGATAATGATAAAATTATGACTAATGATGAAATAGAGAGACCCTCAAAATTTGTTGTGCAATCTCAAATTACCATGCTTAAAGGGATGATTGAATATTAACCTCTGAATTTTAAACTGATGCTGCACATTCTGTATTGCACACTTGTATTGTATTGTAATCGCACAGTTGTCTATATTGCTTTTCTGTATATGATGGATTTGTGTTTCAGGAGCTAATGGACTTCGCTTAGAATTTGACAGTCAGTGTTCGACAGAAAGCAGACACGATGTCTTATCAATAAAGGATAAAACCACAATGATTTGTCAGTTATCAGGTTCGATATATCGTCAATATAATGAATCCAGAATAAGAATAAACTTTTATTTTAGAAATTTTCATTGTAATTGCGTTCTGCAGGTCGCGATCAGACTGATTGGTCAAAAGTAATCAATATTGAAGGAGATGAAATCAATTGGAGTTTTAAAAGTGATGGATCTGTAAATGGGTAACATCTTTTTTTGATCCATTTATCAAATTCTATCAAATTGTGTGCTGGGAACAGTGATGACGAACATTTTGGTTACATTTGGGGCGCTCCAAAAGTATGTGTACCCATATGGCGATAACTAATTTTGTTCGCCTAGTGACGCCTACTATACATCAAGTTGTGTAAAGCAGTGCTTCCCAACCTTTCTACCCTTGCGGACCGGTAAAACTAAATTAAATGTACTCGCGGACCGACAAAAAATTGAAATGACCGGAACATAAAAGAATAACATATATTTGCGTAATACAATGCAATGTCGAGCACTCAATATGCATCTAGACAAAAAAGTCACACTCAAAAACAGCTCACACGAAGAAAAACTATCAAATAATGTGCCGACCAAAAATATTTGCGTAATGAGATGCAGTGCTAGGTACCCATTATGCGTAAGAAAGGCACACATAAAACATCTCACATAAAAAACATGTACATGCCAAATCATGTACAAACGCAATTAACTCTAGTGAAAATTTTGCTGCTGTTTAGTTTCCAATATAGTATTGCAAACGATGCCTCAAGGAAGTTTCTGCAACACGTAGCCCTGCAGCGGCGTGCAGCCAATTTTCTTGCTTCGCTTTAATTAAAGCTATAGATGAAAATATTTTTATATATAAGTAATAAAAATATAAGTAACTCGTTGAAAATACGGACAACAGTTTGATTGCTCGATTACTTAGCGATGGGTATTCGTTATCAAGAGATATCCAAAATTGTGACAGTGATTCTTTTTTAAATCTGGACTGTAAAGTAGAATCACAATTTGAATCGAGCTTTTTTATTGGGTTCATCATATTAATCCCTCTGCAGTTGATCGATGCTTCAAACAGGATGAATTAACATTACAATGACAAAGTCGTCGGTAATTTGGCACCAGGCTCAAAATCCTACTTTGTCTGCTCAAGATACTGGAAAAGATCTCAGCGGCCCATGCTTTTTTGCGCTCGTCGTGACCTCCTGCCATATTTTACTGGAGTATAATACTTTTCTTGACTGTTTTTTGATTTGAAAAAAGAAATATGCATAACGTTTTATTTGGATGGTCATATTAATCAGGAAAAGCATGCAGTACAGAAAAAGCACGCATGCCAATTTTTAGGTTTCTGAATCTTGCGTGATTTGATGAAGCGCATTCACGATGAATCGTAGCCGAAAAAGCAAAAAGTGTGATTCCTTGGCGCCAAGATGTCGCGAAAGACGACGCGAAAGACGACGCAATATGACGGCGGAAGAGAAATTGCGTAATAAAGCAACCTCGTTTTCGGTAAAGAGATCGGAGCGCATTCGAGATGATTCGGAGCCGAAAAAGCGAAAAGTATGATTACTCGGCGCCAAGATGTCGCAATATGACGGCGGAAGATAAATTGCGTAATAAACGAACGCAACCTCGTCCTCGGTAAAGCGATTTAGACTGCATAAAAACAACAAAACACCGAAATTTTCTCGCGGACCGGCAAAAAAGCTTCGCGGACCGGAGGTTGGGAACCAATGGTGTAAAGGGACTGAAACCTATGGGCAAGGGGTATTTTCACTAACACAGACAGTCTCGAACTCACATAATAGAACTAAAATAAGGAAAATCCGAATAAAATTATGGCCTAACCTCAACCTTGTACACACACTATCGGAGTATGACATTTTGTTTTCAATTTATATATTTTTCAGATGGGGATGGAAGTTTATAGTTTATCCCATTTGTTGCATTGGTGAGATGGAAGAAGAAAACATCTCAAAATTATCCGATTCAAATGTCATTTGTCGTCCTTTAGTTTCGTTCATTTCGCAAATTTTGGAAGTTATTTTTCCATCTGATCTGAATCATCAACAAATGTGGTCGGAAAAAACACTTTCGAATTTGATCGCAACAAAAGGAGAGGTTTTTGGACCGATCGTTGCGGTATTGACAGGATGTGTACGAATTAGTCTGATAGGTAATAAAATGAATTCATTATATTATTATAGCTCGGCCAACATTGCTTGCTTATCATTTTCTTCATAATATAAATATTTATTTTCATTTTTGAAAGGTTACGAAGTGAAATTGTGGGCATTACAACTTCTTCAAAATATCAGAAGAAATCTTTGTCTGTTAATATCAAACATTGAAGATTTACAAACAATATTTCAACCATTGCTAAAAGGTATCAAGCATCATTACAGTTATTCTGATATGCAAACAGTAAATATTCAGTTGGGTTGAGGGCCTAGAGGTTAAAACTCAACTGTATTGACATCGGAGGTTACACATCTCCGGTTCAAATCCCATGCTCACCACTTCACGCAAAGTGTAATAAATTTGGTCGACAATGCTGAACTGGAAAGATTCCGGTGTTTCCAAAAAATATCAGTTCCTTGGATGCTTGTATGTGGCCTTGTTCAGAGGCAAAAGCGAGAATAAGCAATATTTCATATAACGAATTTGGGAGAAAGAGTTCTAATCTGAAACAATTTTTAGTCTCTGACAGCGTTTCTAATTATACCTTTATTTTTTATTTTAGTCTTGCCTGACCTCATATCTACACAATACAAGTATGAAGAACCTTGTATTAAAAATGGAAGACAATTGATGTACAGTCCTTTCTTGAGGGTGAGTTTGTTTTATTGGAATTCATTTATTGGAATACCTATTCTCTTTACACTTATTTTACTTCAGGGACATAGTAGCCATTTCCGTACTTCAAATATGCCACTTGCAATAACATAAATAGCAAATATTATTCATTTAGTTTTATGTATTTTTACAGGTACTTCTAGAACTAGCAAGCGATCTTCGATTGAATTATATTGCAAAACGTGAAGAAAGACAAAAATTACTGACTTTTTCCGATTATTTCTTGGCAAAAGAAAGTATGAATGCTTTAGTGAATCGAACACAATTCCCTGTGCAATTTATACAGGTGAGTAAATTATGTCGTTTTATTATTGGACTAGGACGGTGAACGCATGTTCGTTGAGAACTTCTCTTGCTGGTAACAACAAAATGACACATTTTCAGAAAGTCTACGAAAAACTAGATGAAGTCACCGGTGATGTGGATGATGAAGATATAGATGAAAATAATTTTATTTTTACTCAAGAAATGGACGAACAATTAGTCATGTGGATTAATAAGTAAGTAATTACGTATGTGCGAGAGGATTTCTGGACTCCTCATGTCGTATGGTGTTACTGCTTCCTCCACCATCCATCCATGCATCTGAAACAAAAACCCGGTTAACTAATCCACTACCCAAAATAGAGTTGGCATGGTTCGTCATATGATTAAGTCACCTTATTGACTTTCTTCTCCCGATGTTATAAATGATAATCCTAAGTGGAATCTTCATTTTTCCAGAATAATATGCATCTGTATTGTCATACATAAGATACATAACATTTATTCAGGAATACTGTATAAAATATACATCAGAAAGAAATTTTAAAAGGCTCCAGGGAAAACTCATCTAGTCTTTTATTAAATTTTGTGACTCACACCAGCTAAATGATGCGGCTACAAACAATAAAAACCAACATTTTTAGGAGTCCAAGCGATTGGACAAAATCATGGGGAGGAAGTGGACAGATATTTGGTTGGGGTCACAATCACAGAGGTCAACTTGGAGGTATAGAAGGGGCAAAGGTGAAAGTACCGGCATTATGTAGTACGCTGATTTCTCTTCAACCTGTCTGCCTCGCTGGTGGAGAACAAACCTTATATTCTGTGACTGGTGATGGCAAGGTATTTTCATTCACTTCTCTCATAATTATAAATACAAAACAATTAAAAATCTTAGACGAGAGCTCCCTTGTGTCACGGAACTGTGGTGTCTTGTTAGAGATGCAGTTACCAGAAATTTAGTTGCTCCGGCTCCTAACCATCTAATAATTTTTACTCATTTGTAATTTTCTAAACAATAATATTTATCCCTTTCAGCTTATAGTCACAATTTAAAAGTTTAATTTGAATAAGCATTATATCACGGTTTTGAGTCCTACTTTAGCAAAGCTGGGCTGATGTTTTATTGCAGTGTTCAAACCTGAAAACCCGGATGGTTGTGGTGATGAACCCATCTCTGAGGTAAAAAATGAAGCTGCGAGGCTGGTGCCGCAATTTTAATATACTATGATTTCGATTACATTGTTATTTCAAACCAGCTCCCCTGCCCTGCTTTCGACCAGTATTATTTGAACATAAATTTTAATTAAATTTGTCCACATTAATTGTGATTAATTTTTCTGCAGGTTTATGCAACTGGTTATGGAGCAAGTGGTAGACTGGGAATTGGAAGTAGTGACTCCATTGCTTTACCAACATTATTGGAATCTATTCAACATGTCCACATATGCAAGGTAATATTTAATATTTTTCTTCTAAATATTTTTGATAAATTTTGTAATATAGTTGTTGTCTCTTAATTAGGGCACTTCTTGCCATTTACAAGTATTATTTTTTCCTACAGGTATCTGTCAATTCAGGTGGCAAACATATATTAGCACTTTCCTCCGATGGTGAAGTTTACAGCTGGGGTGAAGGTGGTGATGGAAAGTTGGGGCATGGCTCAAGAACGTAAGTTAAATTTACAGGTCATATTCAAAAGTATTTATAGGTAGTCAGAAATTTTTATTATGTTTCTCATCCCGTGCAGGTCACATGACAGGCCACGCATCATTGAGTCTCTGAGAGGAGTTGAAGTTGTCGACATATCAGCTGGTGGATCTCATAGTGCCGCTATATCAAGTCGTGGTAAATTATACACATGGGGAAAAGGAAGATACGGAAGGCTAGGACATGGTGATAGTGAGGATAGACTGAAACCCAAAATGGTAATGGAGGTTTTATTTCTTGACTGTTTTTGTGGGAAATTGTTGAATTGACAAGTTATGTCGCACAATTTGTAATAGAATTGAAATTTAGGTGTACAGTCAACAAGAGTTTAATTAGGATTTTCAGGATTGAATTTACATATTTATCCCAGACAAGAAAAAATATGTTAAGACATATGCCATACCATGGCCTCTGGTCCAGTTACCCGCCCATATCATGTATGGAATTAACTAGCCATTTATTTGTTTCTCATGCATGGGCTTGTTGATGGAGGAAGCCGTAACTGATGAGCGGTTGCATGAAAGTCAAGCAATTCTTACACATAATTATTTGCCTAATAATTTGAATCTGCGCACCCATGCAGGGTAATCGGAGGTGACATGATAAGTATATTCCTAACACTTAGCTCGATATGACTGACTTGTTACTCAAAATTAAATCATTATTCCAGGTTGAAGTGCTCGATGGTTATCATGTTCGATGTGTAGCTTGTGGAAGTGGAGATGCTCAGACATTATGTGTGACCTATAAAGATGACAGCATGGAAGAAAGTGGCATTGTGTGGTCGTGGGGGGATGGTGATTACGGAAAACTAGGTCGTGGAGGAAGTGAAATGTATGATGTTATTGTTTATATACTTACTTGTGATATACCTAAAATTCTCTTCTTAATTTGTACATGTGTTCCTGTCGTAAGGATGTAAAATAGTGTTTCCTCGTCATTTTAGGACAATTTTCTTTCTAAAGGTCAAAAGTTCCAGTTCAAATCGATGGTTTGAAGAATAAATATATTATATCAGTGAAATGTGGAAGCCAGTTCTCACTTGCTTTGTCAAAAGCAGGTCTTGTCTATACATGGTAAGAATTCTTCATAATAAAACCTTTTCATAGATGTTTTAGTGACACCTGCAATGTTACTAGTAGTAGTGGAGTAGTGGCTGATTGACGACTTTTATTTATTGGCAATTGTGTGACTACTGTTAATTAATCAATTGGAGAACATCTCCCAACATCCTCAATCACAGATATGACAAAAATGGCCTTGCATATCACAGTGATATTTCGGCCATTGTCAATTTAGGAGTTTTTTAAGACTAATTTTCATTGTAATTTTCCTTCTATGGTTGATGTGTTGCGTTGGAATGGTTCATGAGTGCCAGTTTGCATTAAGACACTTTACGATTATTTTTTCAAATCTTCAGTTGATTGGGAATTTCTCTGCCTACCCACCCTGTCTGAGTCGAGACAAATTTTGATGCAATAATTTAGGTCTGGATTATAGTAGAACTGAAGTTGTTAATTTTATTTGTGATAAAATCCTTTGTTATAAAATTTGAAAAAATAGGCAAATATTCACACAGAAATCTGTGGAAAATATTTTTATCATTCAAATATAATGATTTCATTGTTCTATTTTAAATTTTAGTTGGGCTTCAAGATCTCAACTCTCAAGATAATTTCATTTTTTTATTTTTAATTCTAGGGGCAAAGGTGACTATTTTCGTCTTGGCCATGGCACAGATCAACATGTTCGATTTCCTAAAGTCGTTGAAGATTTACGAGGAAGGAAAGTAATTGATGTTGCTACTGGATCATTACATGTTATCGTTTGCACTGAGGAAGGAGAAGTCTATGCATGGGGTGATAATGATGAAGGACAGGTTTGTAGATTGTCATCATTAACTTTTTAACCGTTTGTTGATGATTAGCGGTTTTCAAAGTGAAAATGCTTCTCTGTGGGAGTTTACGAAGCACTGACTGCGAATTGGACAATTATGGGTGCTGACTGTTAAAAGGAGATGATTGTGGGTGTTGACATCAAATCAAGTCGTCACAAGAAGTGTAAAATGACTTCAGTTATGAAATTTGATTTCATTTTTTTTGGTTTTGGTGCAGAACTTAACCATTTTGCATGATACATTCAGGCTTTATCAACTTTTTCATAGTGTTGAGTTATACTGCTCTAGCATGCTCTATTTTTATTGATTCTTCGTTCATTAGGTGGTTAATTAAAAACTATTTCGAAAAAAGAAAATGGAATTTCTTTAACTAATATTATACTATGTGCAGTTGATGCGTCAACTATGATTTGTTGTTACCATTAATTGCACTCATAAAAGCAGCGAATTTGAATATGCTGACGATTCACTGATGTGATTCATGAGAAACATACAGTGACCAGAATATGAGCGCTTATTGTTTTTATAGTTTTCTGATGATAGTCATTAAGATAGTGAATAAAATAAAGGCCTGTGCGCAAAACACTGGCATATTCAAGTATTTGAACCATGGGTAATATTTCCGAAAGCAGTATGTTTGAGGAGGAACTTATGACATTGCACAGCGATATTGAACTCAAACTGAAGTTCAGTGCTTTGTATCAATCATTTTTGCTACAGAATTAAATCTAATTTAAATAATTCTCGTGAGTGCGATCAGGTTAAAGAGTTTCTCATAACTTTGGTGAAGCATATTTATTTAGTGCTGTGACCACACTTTTAGATGCCCTAACATGGTCTGACAGGGAGACTAAAATATAGCTGAATCCTAACAAGCTGGTGACATTGCATTTAACCGTTCAACTGCCTCATTAGACTCTTAATGACGGATGAAAATATATTTTTCTAACTTTTCCTGTCAGCCGTGCGTTTGGTAGTCCCCCAGTTGCATAATTGCATCGAAAAAATTCGGGAATTGGGAATTTGGATTGAATTTTTTATCATCTTCACGGATAAAAATTGCATGCGAAATTCCTATTTTTCAGATTGGAGATTCAACAACGCAAGCAGCTGAGAGGGTAGTTTTAATAAAGTCACTCTCAGATCAAGGCGTTGATAGAGTAGCTTGTGGATCAGCGCATAGTATCGCTTGGTCGACTGGAAATTCGAGATTGAGACATGGATCAAAACAACATAATCTACCAATGTCTGTTCCTCTGAAGTATAATTTACTGCAAGGAATGCATATATCAATATTAAGAAATCGGTTGGTCCTGCTCAGTCAATTTACAGGCATGTTGTAATATTTTAAATATTTTCTTATTTAAATTATCACGGTGAAGGGTGTAGGGGGATCGTCACCTCAAAGGATCATCAGTCCATGTTTAACATATGAACCAGAATGAGATTAATTTAATAACGTTAAAGCATAAGTTCTCTAAGCATGTTGGCATTGCAGATTGAGTTTGATTCCCATGCACCCCACCCTATTCAATAACTTGTAATGCATTGGGTAATAAATACAGGTTTGGAAAGATTCCAGTTTTTCCAGAATAAAAGTGGCTCTATTTATATCATTAGATATCATGGGCTCCTAGTTCAGGGCCTTGTTCAGAGCAAAAGCCGTGAATATGCATCATAACGAATATTACATATTTTTTCAGAACTCTTCTGTTCTTGCATTAAATTCTTCACTCTCATTGATAACTCATGGAGACATTCACCAGTCTCATCACTTGCAAAGGATCTCATGACCAGTCATCCAATTTATTCAACCTCCTCATGCTTTCCTGATGAAGTTCGAGGCTTATTAATTAACTCAGGAAAAGAATGTGTTTTCCGTAAAGTTGTTCAAACAACGATGGTTCGAGATAAACATCATGGACCAAACATTGAGTTGAATAGAATTGAGGTAGTATAATATAGAAAATTTGGATGTGTTGTATAAAAAATTGTACAATTTAACTGATCAAACAAAGTAACTTAACTATTAATCATTTAATATTTGATATATGGAGTATTGCAAGTTTGACATGGAGTAACTATATGGTTGTTTTGCTGTTATTGAAACTAACAAGACCCAAAACTGTTTATGTGCAATGCTAAATTTGTAAAAAGATACAAAGTGGCCCAAAAAAAAACCAGGTCATTTGGAACATATTCTAGAGCAGCAGTTCCGAAAGTGCGTTTGGCAGTCAGAAAGCAGCAACCGTGCTATAAAAAAGTTTGGTAAACACTGTTCTGGAGAAAACCCAACTTTTGTGCAAAGTGTCCAAGATTAATGAAACTTTTGGAAAGTGAATAAATTTTCTTGAGTTTCATAAAAGTACTGGTTTCTTTTTTGCCATTTAATCACCTTTCAGATTAAAGGTCTGAAGAAAAGTGGTCAACCTCTTACTGGCAACGATATATGGATAACTGTTTTGTCTCAAGCAACGAAGAATATGGACAGATTATTGCCAGACAGTGTCTTGCTACCACACAGAGTTTGGAAAGTTAAATTTATAGGTATGATCCCATCTATTGTGTTACGAACATACAGCATTATGGTATTGGTATTTTTCAAAAATTGAAATATCTTGAAATATCTTCATCAATGTATTAGTATTTGAATATTTGTTCTATTGTATTGAAATCTTGAATTATTCAGAGTCTGGGTTCAAAGTCTGAATATCAGACTTTTTTTGTTGATGGTTGAATCCAGAACTCAAACTCAAAGCATTAAGTTGCCTAATCGTTCTTGACAGACAATAAGGATTGCATCGGCCTATGTTCTTGTAATCAATATCTGATTTTTTCCGGAGTCAGAGCAGAGTAACCATTTCTAACTTCCTTTGGAAGATTTTTGTTTTCTATACAATGAACTTTTAAAATTTCAATAAACTAGTTTTTCCATGACCATCACATAATGAAATTGTCGATTTCCCAGAAACGTTACATTACAGAGGTCAATTTTGATATTGTTACCACTAGAATGTGCCAATGAGCCACTAAAAATTAATGTATTTCTATTGTTATGTATTTTTACTATCTCTATAATTTATTTTTTTTATTTTTCTTTGCTTATCTAAAGGTGTTGCAGACCCGATAACAGAGCAACCCGTCCTTGACAACTTCTGTCATTTTTATATTACTTAAAAACTTTAATGTTGGAACTTTTTGATTGCTTAAGTAACAAATAACTCTGACTCTGACTGAATTTTTTTCAACCCAGAGCTGAAATCTCATTTGGAAAAACAGCATTTCGATGTTCAGAATCATGTATTAACTTTCTGGTTATAAACTATGCTAACCTCCATAGGAATTTGGTTATTCAGATCAGAGCCTTGTCCAAACATATTCATACAATGCATTTCATAATATGTAAATATTCTCTTTATTCCTAACCATAGGTGAATCAGTTGATGACTGTGGCGGTGGATATAGTGAATCAATTGCAGAAATTTGCGATGAACTGGAAAATGGTTCTGTTCCTCTTCTGACGCAGACTCCAAATGGACGTGATGAAGCAGGAGCTAACAGAGACTGTTTTGTTCTCAAACCACCTCTGCCTGAAAGTGAAGACATCTTTCATTCTGCTTATCATAGACTTTTCAAATTTGTGGGTATGTTGGTTGGTATTACTTTCTATTTGTTTATAGAATACAGTGTTAGTATTTTATGAGTGAAATACTTATTTTCAATAGGAAACTTTTCTTTGTCAATATCTTTATTGGAAAAATATACTTTATAAGAATGACACTGTTGCCGCAGAGGTAACTAACTTTTTTCGCCTACCTCACATCAAGTTGTGTAAAGGGACGGAAACCTATGGGCAGGGGTATATTCACTTGGCTAACACAGACAGTCCCGGAACTCTTTAAAGAAAATCGAAATAAAATTATGGCCAGACGGGAGTACCGAATCCTGTAGGGATTAAATATGCGTGAGAGGATTTTTCACCACTGTAGGCGTGGTTTCACATAACCGCTAGTCCTGCTTCCTCCATTGGGTACACACATCTGAAACAATCAATAATTCCATACCTGGCATGTACTGGTCACCAAACGAGAAGCCGTAGTAGTACATATGGTTAAGCCCTCTCATCGCTTTCCTTCTCCCTTGGGATAATAAGGAAATCCTATCTTATCATTGGTAATAGCTCATATTGCGATTTATATTCGCTTCATTTCACTCATTGCCTATTCCTTTGCTGAAAGCCAACAACCCAATTGTTGAAATTTCGTAATGTTCATCATTTTATTACTTTCATCTGTTTATAATATGAATTCAGGTATTTTGATTGGAATTGCTATCAGGACTGGAAGTCCTCTCAGTTTGAAATTTGCAGAACCAGTTTGGAAATTAATATCGGGACAATCTCAATGTTTGACTGATATTTCAGAAGTCGATAAGGTGAAATTTCATCCCTCTACTCGTATGTTATAGCTATAGTACTTGGTCCCGGTTTTATTAAAAAAAAAATTAGTGTTGGTGTTTATTGTGTTCCAATGCTTAATCTATGAAAGCATGAAATCATTGGAAGATTAGTTAGTTGCTTTTCTGGTTGTTCACCTCTTCTCTAGTGACTGTTCCCTCTAGTTGACTGTGAAGCGTTCTTGCCTGAGAAAACATGATTACCTTGAAATATTGTTTTCAATACCTTTCAAGTCATAAATGTGATATTGGGGTCATTTTTACTGCAATGTGAAGCAACTTCATCCTTGTTTACAGTCACTGAATTTTTTTATTTTGCATTTTTTCCAGGATTTCCTGCCCAAACTCATGTTTATACGAGATGCAGATGCAGAAGAACTTAATTCAATGAATCTACCATTCTCAGTTCAAAATATTGTTGGAAAGGTTAGTTGTGAATTTTAACGACTTATATTCTTACTTCCTAGTAACCTTTCCATAAATTAGTTTTTTTTTGCATAAAGCTATTTGCTTAAAATATGTAAGATATCCTGATAACGGAGAAGTGAATATATATATGTGGAATCAAAGTTACCGTAATCATTCCATATCTCTACCCTTTAGTTCCTTTATTTAAAATTTTTTTATTTTTATTGCAGGATGTCCAATTGAACAAATTGCATTCTACTGTAACTGTTGGAAACAGAAACGAATATATTCGTCAAGCTATCCAATTCAGGTTATAGAACGAACATCTTTATTATGTATTTCTTTCATATTAATCCATGATTTAATGTGCGATTTACTGCAAATTTGTGTTTTAGGCCAGTATGGTCTTTTACATGCATCCCGTCTCTAGCATTGTTAATATGCCACTTTGTCTACGTATCTTATCATTACGTGATAAATAAACATACATACATACAGTTAGCTTATATCATGAAATTACATCAAAGATCTTTTTAGCACTGATTATTTTCTATATCGTTAATTCCATTTTATACCCAAATTATTCTCAGGTTTCCAGTCATTTAGGAGTTTTTATTTGTTTTTAGATTGCATGAATTTGACGATGTTGTACAGCATGTTCGAGATGGTATTGCACATGTTGTTCCTCTGCCTTTGATATCCTTATTTACTGCACAAGAACTTGAAACAATGGTAGGTTTGAATGGTAGATAAGCTGGTTTTAATGTCTTAAAATTAGAAAATTTTTTAGGATTATGTGCGATAATTTCACATGTCAAATTGAACGCAGTTGCAACATTGTATTTCTAAGTATGAATGTAAATATTCAAAAGTATATACAAACTAATTGATACATTTGTGGAAAGAAATGATTTCAACGCAGAATTTTAGTAAAGTTTTTTTTCCATGCTTAAATAAATGCCTAAGGAATCAACGATATATGAATATGTACAGGGTGATCCAAGAACGGAACCAATAAATTTCTTGTTTACTTGTAAGAGAATTTATTTACCACTTGAAATTTTGTTTTTGTATGATTGTACCTTAAAGTTTCAATAATCTGGGACTCTGCACAAAAGTTATGTTCTCTATCGAATATGTTTCAAGCAACTTGGGAATTTCTGTGTACCATAACATATTAATCATGCTTATTAAATATTGTCTTCACTGTTATTATAAGTTTGATTTTGGTTTTTTATGTCATGAAATACTGTATGCAAAAAAGGTTAGCAAATATTTGCGGGGCGATTATCAGACTCTATGCTGCTGAATAAAAACTGAACATGAATCTGTAGTCTGTCATGTAACAACTTATTCAAAGCACAAATATGGAAGTAGTTCATATTTTTCCATCGTCAAAATTGATATGATCTTTGACTCTCAAAATTGCTTTTATATTTTTATAGGTTTGTGGTAGTCCTGACATTCCCATTTCGCTTCTCAAGTCAGTGGCCTCTTTCAAAGGTGGCTCATCTGACGATCAACTTCAAAAATGGTTTTGGGAAATCATGGAATCTTTAACAAATGAAGAAAAATCTTTGTTCTTGAGATTTGTTTGGGGTCGAACTCGATTGCCAAGAACAATCGCAGATTTCAGGGGGAGGGATTTTGTCATACAGGTAATCAATATTTGAATTTCAATTATTAAAATCAGTTTTTCCAATATGTTCTGATATGCATTAACTATTTTATAAACATATGAGTCTTCTTATCATATTTTTAATATATGCTTTTTTTTCTGCAAGGTATTGGACAAGTACCATCCTGCAGATCATTATCTACCAGAGTCTTACACATGTTTCTTCTTGTTGAAACTGCCGAGATATAGTTCAAAGGTGAGACATAACTCAAAATGGAAAATATTGACTTGCATTTTTATGAGTTATTGTTATGTTGATCCTTGTTGTACATATTCTACTTCTCAATTGAAAAAATCTTAGTAAAATAAGCCGATGGTTAAAATAACATTTTCACAAAACATTTTCACAAATACTACATTTTACCAATGAGCATACAAAATGATACATCAGAAAATTTATTGCTCATGTATATCATATCGCATAATGTTTTAGGCGATCATGGATGAAAAGTTGAAGTATGCAATCTACTTTTGCAAATCAATCGATACCGATGATTATGCGAGGATGAATTTGAATGGTGAAAATGAAGAAGAAGATTTAGAAGATCTTGTTGCAAATGCATTACGAGTGACAGGTAATCTTAATGGTAATTTATATCTAATCTGGGGAAGCGAAAATTGAAAACAACCAGTAATGGTGCATAGGTGGCCCGTCTCCTTGTCACCAATGTGAGTTATGTTTATGTGTAGGAAACACTCGCAATCGCAAGGTTAAACATTTGCCCTTGTCACCAATGTGAGTTATGTTTATGTGTAGGAAACACTCGCAAGGTTAAACATTTGGGATTCATTCATGTAATTGAACTACAGCAGAAACTAACAATGAATGAGATCTAATCGACATTGTCCAGTTTAGCCCGTTATTTCGAACTTATTGTTGCTATTTAGAAATTGCCAGACAACAGCCGAGTACATCAGGCGTTAGAACTGCAGTGAGTGCCGCCGCTACAGCAGTGGAACGTCTCCGCTCTCAGGTACGAACTACAAGCTTAAATCTTTTGTCACGTTACTCTTCAAGTTCCACAAGATATTTACAAAGACACAGACGAGCACGAGCAAGCACCCTCTTGTCACGTCGTACAGACTTAGACCCAAGTACTGCCACAGCGATAAGAAACGCTTTGTTTAGTGACAATGATGAAGATAGTTGGACGAGTGGACCGGATTCCAATTCCGACACTGATTCATGGTAAAATATATAGTATATTATCTGGTAGTTTCATATTCGACTAACCAAGTACACTGTGTCTTCTTCGAAGATGTACTCTTGACGTTGATTGTAAAAATAAATTTGTGTGTATGTGTGTATCAATTTGTTTCACTAGATAGACAGTTCTCTTAATCTGGTAGAGGATGAGATGAAAATTCAGGATTTTGAGTAAGTGCGGCCACATAAATGCTTATTCCTCATTACCGCTATAAGGTAGGATTTGAAGACTCCACTACTTCTTTTGTGCTTCTATTCAACTCGCCCATGTATGTAGTCTTTTTTGCATCGCGATTGTCGCGTTTTTTGTTTGACTCGCCCTATTTGGGCTCACATGCTCCTGTGAACTGGCTGATACAATTTGAAAACGATTGATTGTATAAGTCATTTTATAATGGCGTAGACAAGAACAAAACAACAAATTTCTTTAAAAATTGGCTCAAAAGCGTATGCGCTTTGTCATTGGACAGTAATCCCCCTGTCAGAGGTTAGTAGGGAGAAAAAATGAAAGTTATGGCTATAAGTTCTAAAGATGACGGGAAATCTGTTGCAGACCCATCAGCGATTCAAAAACTTATTTTGGTTGAACCTAAAGCTCTGACATTATTATTGTCCAGTCATTGCCTGAAACACAATAGTGAATCACTCCACTTGCTTAGAAAATAGTTGGCGTTCAATATGTATGTGTCGCTTTGCCATACTATGGATAATATTCAAAACGGGAGACTAAAATATAAATGAAATAATTAGCACCAAAAATTATCAGGAGTAATTCAGGATAAAACTTCATATAACTGCATAGTTCCAAAACGACAGATGTACAACCAAGGAATTACTATGAATGTGGTACGATCTGTATACCGTGCCTCCAAAATGTCGTTGTACCCCGTGTCCAACTTGTACCGCATGTCCCATGTGTCCCACTAGTCGCTAATACCGCGTGAATTTTGCTAAAATCGTGGATTGCTTCGTCTTAGACGCACATTATGGTTGATCAGCTTTGGAAACATTATACAAAGTTGTAAACGCGACGCGGATTGTGGTGATAAATTAATTAATCCAATCAAGTTTCATTGTACTAAAATAGATTTTACTTCGTGAGATTATAACGGTTATATCTTAAATAATCTGAGTGGCAGCATTGCGATAGAGCGGATCGATGATACGAGTACAGATTTCTCTAATTCGCAGAATAGCCAAAAACGGATTCCTAACGGCGATAACGAATTAGCAAGATTGCAAACATACCTATCAAAACTAAATATAACCAGGCAGTTTATCTAAAGTGTATATGTCCACGTATTAAATTTCAATCAATCAATCAAATCGTTTTTTATTAGCCGTCCAGGCAAACGGGCACAAAAAAAAAATTTGAAAAAATATACATGCCTTTGCCCAGAACGGACAGGATGGCCGGGAAATGACCATTCGGTCTACTTGTCAGCGGCTACCTTGAATTTGTAATAATGTATTGTAATAAAATATTAAAAAGACGCTACCGCGAATTAAAAACAATTAGGGTAATTGCCATGGGTTGAATACTTTACGTAACAGAAAAGTCTCGCTGAAAATGTCGATCGAACAAGCAAATAATCATCGCGACTGTTTCATGAGGAAAACGAGATATGTATGGAGAAAATATCTGGTGAATGAGGTATATGACGGGTGTCCCGGAATTTAACGACAACCAAGGCGTTCTAAAATAGAAAGCCATTGTAAGCGTGTCGGCTTAGTTCAAAACTGGAAACAGATGTAATTCACGCAAATATATATATTTTTTAATAAAAACGATTACATCTGTACGGTTCATTCAGATAGGAGTGACTTGAAATTTGTGGACAACCTGAGGCATAACATCAAAATATGCTGAACAATCGCAAAATTGACGATAACATTATATATATCAGTCACCTTAATTTGAGAGAATCAAAAACTTGATCCAGTGAGTGAGATTTGTTGACTCAAATTAAATATATTTTTTATTAAAAACGATTACGTCTGTATGGTTCATTCAAATAGGAGTGACTTGAAATTTGTGGATAAGACCTGTTTCGTCAACCGTGACCTCCTGATGACATAACATTAAAATATGCTGAATAATTGCAAAATGGACGATAACATTATATATAGCAGTCATCTTAATTTGAAAGAATCAAAAACTTGATCCAGCGAGATTTGTTGAAAAATTTAGTCAATAAAGTTGCGGCGTGTAATAATATTTTGTGTTTCTCGTTTTTGGACAAGTTTTTTTTGTTATGTTCTTCTTGTTCATTGACACATTTTGAAGAAATCGCTTTTCTCTTTGATTACTGGACCAATTGCTTTGAAATTTTCATTGGTTAAAGATGGAATTTTTTTTTTTTTTTTGCTATGACGTCATCAAAATGATGTGGCGCTACGTGCCCATATATTTGTGCATAGCTCTCTTGTTAAGTTAATAGTGCACGTGAGGCTCTTGTGAGCATAATTTCATTATTCAGTCAATTTTCAGGCTCGCATAGCCGTCTGTTTTGGGACGCCTGCTGACAGCCCTTGTCTTAGCGAGAGTTCGTTAATTAATATATTTCCGTAAGGATTACAAATTTTAACATAAACTCACTAAAACTAACGAAGATCTTCTTAAAGCGGCGAAATCACAATAAAAAATACAAATTGAAATACCAGAAAGACTGATTTATTGTGTTTTTTGTTAAATAATTCAATCTACTTAGCACAAATTGTACATTTCCTCTGTTTTATTTTTTTTTGCATTTATGTGTCAAAGAGTCAACATTTCACAAGTTTCTTTGATTATGATAAAATTATTTACAGTTGTGAAAATAACGCTTCACGACGCGCTGCGCGCACTGTTGCTTTTGACGTGCTTCCTGTTTCACAAGCTTCTGTTGCATCGATTTTCAAATTCTAGACATTAAGGTGTCCCGGAATAGTTTAACACAAAGTTGGCAACCCTAATCAGTACCGATATCGGCGATAAAAGCGGTATCGGTATATCGTTAATGTATGTATCCCCATTAAAAAATTTAATCTAAAAACATTTATTATAAATATTTATAACAATAGTTAAATCAGGTATAGTTAATATATACGTTAATTTTCACAACTCTAGGACAAGTGATACAACGTAAGAAATATGAGACTTGTGGGACACATGGCACAAGTAGGACACGTGGTACAAGTGGGACACGATATTTTGGAGACACCCTCTGTAGACATGCAAATATCATAATTTAATATCAAACGATCCGAAATACAGTAAAGAAGTGCGCCATGAACGCGACTACGAAATTCATAACAAGGAATGCAATCTAATATATTAGTTCTGAAAAACCAAATGTAACGCCGTTAGCTACGGGTACATGTTTCCCAAGTTCTGCGGTCGTTCAACGTATAAAACAAGAACTGATTATCGCGATAGTCCAAAAGCGGGTTTTCGCAAACTGTAGGCCTATTGTATTTTTCTTAGGGCCCCACCACGCTGGCCGTTTCAATTAAGACCGGAAATGATGTTGAGAACCGTTTACAATGCACGTACAAAATGATTTTAAATAGCGACCGCCAGAAACAGTTTGAATTTACTAACTGTTAACGATAGTTGGTGGCGAGCGTGGTCAACTTAAAAGAGAAATTCGAAAAATGTACCATTAGCATCAAAATATCACTATAGCGTTATTTATAAACTAGTGAGTAAATAAGTAATTAGTACATAGGACTTTTAGCATTAGCGAGAATCCTAGATCGGATGAAAGTGTATGAATGGCGTTCAATTATACTATATATAATTGAAGTCCGAAGGAATAACATAACGCAGGCAATCTCATTGTAATAATAAATTTATATAGTAGTGTTATAAACATAGAATCAATTAAGTATAGATAATCGTTAGAAAACAAAAAAGCTAGAACAGAAAATCAAGGATAAGGCAAACGGAACACATTTGTGCCGTTTTGAGATTTTAACTTCACGTTCATGTGACCAATAATTGCTTGTGCGTGAATTGCTTACATATTTCACAAGCTAGCCAATCAAGTTATCAATAAGAGAAGTAACAGATGGCTAACGAATGAGCATAAGGGAAAGCCTATTCTAACGGATCTGAGAATTCAAATTCCCCCTTTTTTGCGGTGAAAAATTTTGAAACCCTTTTCCACCACGATTTCCTCTTCTTTTCTATAAACTCGGTTTCTACGTGATGGCGTTGTTTGGCTGCTTCATTTAGCTGATACATTTTTTCCTTAGACTTCTCCAATCTTCTGTTGACCAATGCCTCAATTGAGTGTTTTCCGGAAGACGTAAACATGAGCTTTACTTCTGCAGTCATCATAATCTCCAGAAACCTTTCTTGTATATCTTTGTAATGCTTTGTTAGTTCCTCGCTGTGGATGCAGCGGTCCACCATTATCTTGAGATAAAAAAAATTATATATATATATAAATAGTCGAAATATGGTATCAATATTATCGAACACAAAATGGACATTGCAATCGCGGTAAAAATATTTTTGTTAACAACAGTAACTAGATTTTCAGTAGAAATATGAAAATTCCTTCAATGTATATTTTTTAAATTTTATTGGCGCTCTCTTGTCTTACTCAATTTTTTTCCCGCAATTGCCTTACTACGCAGGACGCTTCTGTCATTTGACTACTGTAAAATGATTGCGCAAAGAACGACATATATCAGTGTTCATATACTTGCTTATTGCCTTTGGTTGCTGAGGCAGGAAAAATAACCTACCTCTTGTAGTCTTTCTTCTTCTTCCCATATCATTTCGGAAATTAAATGTTGTATTTTTCTTTCTCCATGTTTCTTAAAATATATATTTGTTTTTAGTTGTTTACTACAAACATAAATTTTAAAAATTGAATAAGAATAAAAATAGGACTGTATCGATCTTCGAGAATGAAAAAAGTCGAAAAAGTGTTGTGATTCCTCGTACATATAAAACGTCATGCAAATGAGGGTAAGCATATGACATGGGTTTGTGTGCAAATGATGAAGCATACGTAAAGGAATTCGTAATGTGCCCTGGTTTCGAATATATATGTATAAAACTTTTGAATAAAAAAGTAGTCAGGATAAGCATTATGTATGTAGGGGGATTCATAATATTATTCTGAGTTAAAATAGAGGTGAAGAATTATGCAAATGGCCAGTGTAGGAATATAGAATGGGAATCATGATATGTTGCGTGTTGCGATGTGAAAGTTTATTCAAATGGTTGGGATGAACCAGTATGTTCCCCAGCTTTTTATTTTAGGGGGGGTGTTTCGAAATTTAGGGGGGGTGGTAAATAATTTACTATTAGAGACTAGGTTATTTGTATTCTTAAAAAGATGGTATGTATTTAAGAAATGATGTACATGAGGGGCTCCCCAAGTTGATTGACGGCGAGCCAAAATCCACAGCAGAATAAAATTGTAGGGCCAGAAAAGGGGAGCGAGGAAAAGTGCGGGACGACACGGCTGGGGTTCAGGGCGCGCTTAAGCGCCCTGAGAAAATTTTGAGAAATAGGCTCTAAGCTTGATTTTAGATACACCTAGCATCGCGGTTTGTTATGTAATAAAATCAATAATTATAATATTTAGCTGATAGAATTCCCGGGAAATAGATATCAAGCACGACTTTCAACCGTAAATATATATATACTACTACGTTTCAACAAGTAATTTGTAACTGATAGTGACTAATGAAGTTACTTGCTCATCTGGCATTGTATGAATGGCTACTTATGGCTTGTTTTGTTACACATTTCACATTTTTTTGAACATGTGTGTTTGACTTTTGTATGAATTAAATTTTGAAATACGCGCGTCAACTGATCATAATGGCGCATAATGTTGTATTCCTTCAGAACTGAAATATTTTGTTGGTAAGAAGACAAATCGCTGAAGTTTGATTCTTTTCAATAAAGAAATAAAAACGCTGTCATTCATCTAAAAATCGTCTGTTTTCAGTGCCTAGTTTTCGTTTTGTGACATCTTTAAGCTTTCTTAATATACGGCAAATATCTAAAATACTGAAGTGTGTAATTCTAATACCCATACGTATACATAAGATACCGGTATAATTCAATTGTTGCGAAATAAACGTGCTTAAACTGTGATAATGATGTAACAATAGACGGTATCTAAAACTCAAAAGGTACTACATGAAGGGTTAGCTCGTTAAACTATTTCACTCAAGTTCGGCGGGCCATTTTAAATCGTCACGCCGGCCGTAATTGGCCCGCAGACTGCGGTTTAGAACCCCTCATCTACACTGATAAATATGCCATAGTCGTTATATTTGAATACAATTATACTTGAGTTAGGAAATAAAATGTGGAATCGCACCTCAAAATTAGGGGGGGTGTTTGAAATTTTAGGGGGGGTGTTCACCCCCTATAGGGGGGGTGTAGGGAAATCACTGGGATGAACATTCATGATATATACGATATTTGAGTTTTGATGAATACAATAATTTACACAGATGTTTAAAGTATGCATACGAATAGAAATCGTTGGCATTCATATTATACTCTGGAATCTGGATAGTATACGATTAGTAGTCGTAAATTAGATCAGGTTTGAAAATAGCCGCATTTCTTCGCTGCAGTGGTAACCTGGTCTGGTGATTTTTGAAGAATTAGGCTACTCGGAATGACTCGGTGGGAATTCATAATTCCGGCTTCAATTATCTAGTAGGCCTATTGTCATTGTTTGAATTTGCTTATTGAATAAATTTGAGTTTCATTTGATTTAATCTGTTATAAAATGACAATAGATTTTTAGTTCTCATGGTATATGGGATCAACTAATACAAAAGTAGGAAGAGTTAGCTCTAATAGAGCACACAAATTATAAATACCAAATTTTCTTCGTTGCGTTCAAGGGCTTCCTTGTACTTATGAGCCATGATATCTTTCAATTGTTTCCAGCAATCCAATACGTGACTGCACATTTTACTCAAGTACTCGGATTCCAGGTTGCTTCGGGCCGTGTCGTGTATGATTTTCATCATGTCAGATGGGGTGTTGATATCCTAAAATTAGATTAATATATATATATATATATACAATATGGTTTATGACTGAGATGCTAAATTATTGGCATTACTTGGTGAGTCGACGCAGGATCGTTTTAATCAGTAGGCTATATGAGAGTAAAACTAAAATAAAGTCTATTCCTGCAGCTCTAAGTATTTTATCGCTTCGTTTCAACCAATAGTAGGCGGCTAGGCGCCCCACAAAATAACGTTCAATTTTACTATTTGAACCAAAAAATGATTCCGCCCCTTTGCCGTACCCCACTGAAAAATCGACTTTGGCTCGTGCTCATGGGCTCTGCGAATGTGGTGAATTTGAAAGATTTACCCCAACTTCAGTATGAAGATAAAACTTCACCCTCAATACGAGCAAATTCCGACAGTGACTTCACAGTTTTGGTTCGTCCAATCATTGTCACTAGAGGGTGCACGTTAGATGCAAAATAAGATCCATCTCAGCAACCCTAATCCATTAACCGCACACTAGGTTCAAGGCATTATGTTCCCCAGCTTTTCTTTTTAGAAGGGGGGGGGGGTCGAAATTTAGGGGGTGGTAAATAATTTGCTATTAGAGATAAAACTAGGCTATTTGTGTTCTTAAAAAAAAGGTATGTATTTAAGAAACGATGTACATGAGGGGCCCCCCAAGTTGATTGACGGCTAGCCAAAATCCACAGCAGAATAAAATTGTAGGGCCAAAAAAGGGGAGCGAGGAAAAGTGCGGGACGACACGGCTGGGGTTCGCTTAAGCTCAGGCGAACCTGAGAAAATTTTGAGAAATAGGCACCAAAATAGGCTCTAAGCTTGATTTTAGATACACCTAGCATCGCAGTTTGTTATGTAATGAAATCAATAATTATAATATTTAGCTGATAGAATTCCCGGAAATAGATAACAAGCACGGCTTTCAATCGTAAATATATACTACTACGTTTCAACAAGTAATTTGCAACTGATAGTGACTAATGAAGTTACTTGCTCATCTGGCATTGTATGAATGGCTACTTATGGCTTGTTTTGTTACACATTTCACATTTTTTTGAACATGTTTGTTTGACTTTTGTATGAATTAAGCAATGAATTAAATTTTGAAATACGCGCGTCAACTGATCATAATGCCGCATAATGTTGTATTCCTTCAGAACTGAAATATTTTGTTGGTAAAAAGACAAATCGCTGAAGTTTGATTCTTTTCAATAAAGAAATAAAAACGCTGTCATTCATCTAAAAAACGTCTATTTTCAGTGCCTAGTTTTCGTTTTGTGACATCTTTAAGCTTTCTCAATATACGGCTGATATCTAAAATACTGCAGTGTGTAATCCTAATACCCATACGTATACATAAGATACCGGTATAATTCAATTGTTACGAAATAAACGTGCTTAAACTGTGATAATAATCGTCATTATAAATCGTCACTCGTGCCGTGATTGGCTTAATTGGTTAAAATTTTAAGAGGGGTGTTCACCCCCTATAGTGGGGGGGGGGGTGTATGGAAATCACTGGTTCAAGGCCACATGTCACTAGTCTATAGCAGTGCTCCGCAACCGGTGTGCCGCCCCCCACTGTGCATTTGTGACGTAACAAGGAGTAGGCCTATATGACAAGCATATATATTGTAAAGCCTATTGTCGAGGCTAAAACATAGCACGTGTAGTAATCGAATACAAATAAAGTGTGAGTTTGCAGTGGTCTTTGATAAAAAAAAAAGTCAAGGAACGTTAAAGTTTAGCAAAATGGATAAATTTTTCAAAAGAACAGCTGATACTGAGCAACATATTGTACCTAGCACAAGCAACGTTGGAAAAAAAAACTTGTCAAAGGAAAATACAGGGAAGATTACGTCAAATATGGATTTTCTTGCTGTGGTAACGGAGAATATTTGGGGGGGGGGGGCAACTTTCAAATGAAGCAATGTTTCCGAGTAAACTTATGCGCTACTTAAATACGCAACATGCTGTTCATGCACGCAGGAATATAATTTATTTCCAGCGGCTGTTAAGTCAAAATAAGAAGCAAGAGTGCGTGAAGTCGTCTTTTACAGTCCCCGAAAAAGCATTGGAAGCTAGTTGCAAAATTGATTGCGCGTCACGTAATGATCCTGAAATAGAGCAATTGTGCTCATTAAAACAACCACAAATCTCTCATTGTTATATAAACATAAAACAAAGTTACACCTTGTATTTTTCGTTTGTTGTGGTGTGCCGTCAAATTTGGCAAGTTTTATAAGTGTGCCGCAAGTTAAAAAAGGTTGCGGAGCACTGGTCTATAGCACACATATTCTAATTGCGTTTATATAACATTGGAAAATTATATTCCTGATTGGCAGGGAGATTGATTGTGAATGAGTAACACGCAAATATATGGTGCGGGCCGTTATTTTTATAATCTATATGGACCAGGGCGTTATTGTCCATGCTTCCGAAAAATAACTAACTAACTTTGTTACAAACTAGTCCATTGAGATTGATTATCGCAAACCCTGTGTGTTGACGCATTTTTTTTCCGAACCAATAAAATTTTGGGTAAACATCGGGCTCCGTGGAGTAATGATACGATGAGAAAAATTTCTAAATCATATCATTAAAGAGAGTCCATCTTCAAACAACGAAATCTATTGCAATAGTGGATGCATATAATCAGGTATTCCAAAAGAAGGACGACTGGAAAAATTTCTGCATCATGAGCAGAAATAGCTCGCTTTTCTATGGCCTGCAGGTTAATGTCACAATTACAGACGTCACAGTGTCCAAGCTTCGTTTAACTTTGAATTCTTTTCCGTACTCATCACGAAAAACGTTCTTACGTTTGCTCATTTTTAAATTTAGGCTAAAATAACCACCACCACAATAAAATCTAACGGTCGCCACACTAACAATGCTTTATGCCTATCTGTGCCTTGCTTCTATATGTTCCAAATAAGATTGTGGTGCTTTTATGATGCCACAACAAAGTTTTGGCGATAAGACAAACAACACAAAGCTTCCTTTACGAAGTCCAAATAAGACTTAATAAGGACACGCACGCCAAAATAAGGATGCAAGTCAAAATTAAGCCAAATAAAGGACAATCCTTAGAAATAAGGATGGTATGGAATCCCTCCATATTATTGGTATTTTATTTCATTGAAAAAAACTGGGCAATAGTTATTACATGCCAGTATAGGTAAGAAATATTGATTTTATTTCTGAAACACTGATATATACGTTACGCATATATACCTACAGTTATTCAACTTAGGATTTAGTGGTGCGCTCGGGGTTTTGAGACAAAGAAGATCAGATATTCAGATCAGAGAGAAACTCTAAACAGTTAGTCTAATGCAGCAGTTCTTGACCTGGGTTAAAATTTCGTTGTTTTAAAAAAGATTCGAAAAAGGCGAAAACCTATCTATCTATTTGCTTGTTTTCTTACGAGAAACATTGTGTTATTACTAGGCTGACTTGCGAGAAATATGTATTAGTCTCTTTATTTAATAGGGTGATGTGTATTAACCTATTACTGCGTCACAGTATTCCGTCTCTTGCAGAATGTGAATATGGCAACGGTTATCGAGGCCCCCTGCGGATTGTCGCAAATTCAGCGTTGGAGTGGGGAATGTTTGCTCTACAGTGGTTCGTTCCGGGTAAGAATGAACGAAGTTCTAGTTAAACAAGCTTCATAAAAGTTGGGGAAAAACACGCATGGGAATAGATATTTAATAGGTGTCATTAGAAGGGATCATTAATTCGTATCGGTAGCACGTTCAAGTAGAAAGTTATTTTTAGAAGCTCCGCACGGTAGGAAATATTTGCGCTGTTAGAAAATTTTTATAACGAGACGTGTATTTTGTCTGAATTATTTCAAGATTTAATGTAAAGGCACTCCAACGCGGCGTAACGGTACCTTGCAGATGTGATGCGTACATGTGTTTCGCGCAAAAATAAGCGTCATTGCTACTGGGTAAGTCGGGATAGTCCTTGTATTGTTACCCCGATATGTCAGGTACAGGTATTGGTAGCTTATCGAGCAAGATTTTCAGGAAACTGATAAAATATTTCGTTTCACTCTCCGTGCCTCTCCATATATTTGAGCATAGCTTTATTGTTATCAGTAGGCCTATATTTCACCCGAAATTGAAAACCATCACCTTTGAGCTCTTTGTTATTTCACCAGACTTTGCAGATCTGGTTGCCAAAAAACCGTCGCATTGAACGTGATTGTTTTTTTCTCTCCTGAAAGTAGCTTCCTGACCAAGCCTTACTGTTCATTCTTAGGTTCTTTGTTGATATAGGTTTTTAGTTTGAATATTTAAAAAAAAACGTAGCTTTTAAGATTCAAATGTCTGAAATTCCCCCGCACTCTTATCCCCCTTCCAATCTACCCCTCTCCTCCCAATCTTCCCCTCCACCCCAACACCCTTTCCTTCCCCTTCATTCTTACCTCCTCTAGTCACCCTCCCACCCCAACACCCTCTTCTTCCCCACCATTCTTACCTCCTCACATCACTTTCCCACCCCAACACTTTCCTTCTTCCCATTTCCATTCTTGTCTCCTCCCGTCACTCTCCCACCCCAACACTCTCTCCTTTCCACTCCATATTCACCTCCTCCCATCACTCTCTCCTTTATATATCGTTTGGCGAATTTTTAATAAATGTTCGCTAAAGGGTTGAATGATGCAATAAAGGTTAAGAACCACTGCTCCAATGGGTGTTTGCTAGAACCTCTTCATAAAATGTATACACTAGTCGTTAGTGCGTTTTGGATATGCACAGTATAGCCTATAAATTCGATTATTTGTTGTCTTATTTCATGCCTAAAACATAAATGACATTTACGAGTTTGAAATAACTAATAAATAGGATACGTAAAGAGCGCAAATATTCAAACAATAGTTATATTAGTATATCATATTAACACCCAGCTAAATTTTATATTTAGATGCTGTATGGTGTAATATTTCAGATCCTCTTCTTTATCAAATTGAGATGGTAGACACTCAGCAACATTGGCACAAACCATTGAGCGGTTGTGTCAAAACCTGGGGTATGCGATATGAAAACAGTTTGAATTTCTCACCAAGTTGTTTTGTAACTTCTTAGCATAACCTTCGATTAGTTCATTTACAAGTCTGTAGAAGGGTCTTTCACTCCTAGGCAACTCTGACTGTAAAATTTAATAGAAAGTATTATTCTGTATTTGAATAGGCTACTGTAATGTGTAAACTACCAAATTTTCCCGGAGCGGTATCGCAATTGTCATACATTTTGACTATCTTGGGTTTTGAACCATATAATAGAGTTACTATCGATGATTAAAGCTTACACAATCTTGTGAGGATAAAACTGCCCATTTATTACATGGTGGAAGGCTGTGAAGTTGTTGAATTTTTCTTGTAAACTCTTTTGCCAATAGCTGTTCGGTTAAATAATTTACTTACCTCTCGTTGTTCTTGCTTCTTACGCATTCTTTCTACTTCGTTGTCGAATGTTGGTTCAGGCTCATCCGTGCGTGATTGGCGGGGTTTTGATACCGGTTTCATCTAACATTAGAATGCCCATAGTGTCAGTTCAAATGATTTAGTTTTGACGGGTGGAACACGATTATCATCTCACTGAAGTGTGGTGACTAAGTTCCAATCTCGACAATTGATTTACATGCGAAAAAATTGCTGGACTCGTCGTCGTCAATACAACCAACTGCTGGTTGGTTTCACATGTAGCGATTTATTTGTAAACTATTCACATACCCGATCTGGATTGGAATCGGATTAGAGAACGTGGACTGCCACATGATTAAAAGGTCATATTGGATTTTCTGTTTCCTTGAATTTATATGGAATTATTTAACGGGATAGAAATCTGCTATTCAAGTGACAATGAAACTTAAGAAGATGTTGTATTTTGCAAGTTATCGTTAGCGCGAATCATCAATTCGAGACAAATTCCAGCCAGTGTCAGTTATTTGCTTGAAATATTTCATCAGAACACATCATCAGATTTAATTTCACTATAGTTACCGTTAATGAGTTTCTAATCAGTTTTCCACGTACAAGTACTACTTTCGAATTCTGGTTTTTGTAACAAAATGAATCAATTTGTGAATGTATTGTAACAGTAGTTTTTAGCCTTGACATAGTAGTTTTATTAATAAAGCGTACAAAATATGATTGATTAGCTTATTTACGAATAGTATTTTTCGAGAGTCCGTAATTTAATATGTATTAAAATCTATATTTTCGCCTCCGCCTTGAAAGTTATATAAACTAATAATGTCAAATAAAAAAGTTCATACATATACATATTGATTGCCCCTTGCGTCTAGTGCTTTCTTAAATTCCTCCTCGACTTTGGTCCTAAGCATGTCGATATACTTGCGTTCAGTATTTGTCAGAAATTGCTTCCAATATTTTTTCCAAAGTAAATTTTCTATCCGTGCTGCATGGTCTTCCATTTCTTGTTCCGTTTGGCACTCTGACAGAACCTATCGTTTGGAATAATGGAATGGCTAGTAGCATCAAAAGATACGGAAAACAATAGTATATAAAATTACCGATCGAGATCGATAAGTAAAAAGAAAATCAGAATAAAATTATGACCTAACCCTAATCTGGTACACATACCACGGGAGTACCAAAAATTTTGGGCGAAAGCTTTCTTCTTGAAGCGTCAGATTTAACTATGTTGGCTTTATATGTTTATATGTTAAAATAGGCAACGTGAAAGGTTACGGTCCTCCCAAAATAAAGTTGCTGCTTATTATAAAGCCTTTTCAAAAAACTTTCGCCCTTACAAAATACTGACTCCAAATTTTGAATTGTCAGAAATCTGGCTTTTGGCATCCACCTTCAGATTTGAAATATACACTATGGTACAATAAATTAAATCTTCTGTTTCAATTTGACTTGCGACAATGCAACTTTGAAACATCTAAACTCAAGCATTCAACATTTCAATCCGACTTTAATGTATAGCTCTAAAATTAGTCTCCAGCTGCAATTCCAACTCAACCACAAAGTCAAACTCTAGCTCGACAACATTGCATGATATACCTTGCTCCATTCTCTTGCGCACTGATGAGAGAGACGCAGCGCCAGATTGTACTTTTTTGTTGATTCTTCATCCTGTCAAAATAAAAATATGTTATTTTAACAACAGAAAGCCACAACTGTATATTCTGTCGTTCTCCGTGAAATTTTCTTTCCTCATTTCTAGCTGTTTTAACTGTAATTGTTTCAAATCTCGTCCTAACCTTGAGTCTCGCGAGCAAGCATTGTCAGACCTCTTAGACCAGTGGTTCCCAACCAGTGATTTCCCTACACCCCCCCCCCATATAGGGGGTGAACCCCCCCCCCCCCCCCTAAAATTTCAAACACCCCCCCCCCCCCCCCCCCCCCCCCTAATTTTGAGGTGCGATTCCACATTTTATTTCCTAACTCAAGTATAATTGTATTCAAATATAACGACTATGGCATATTTATCAGTGTAGATGAGGGGTTCTAAACCGCAGTCTGCGGGCCAATTACGGCCGGCGTGACGATTTAAAATGGCCCGCCGAACTCGAGTGAAATAGTTTAACGAGCTAACCCTTCATGTAGTACCTTTTGAGTTTTAGATACCGTCTATTGTTACATCATTATCACAGTTTAAGCACGTTTATTTCGCAACAATTGAATTATACCGGTATCTTATGTATACGTATGGGTATTAGAATTACACACTTCAGTATTTTAGATATTTGCCGTATATTAAGAAAGCTTAAAGATGTCACAAAACGAAAACTAGGCACTGAAAACAGACGATTTTTAGATGAATGACAGCGTTTTTATTTCTTTATTGAAAAGAATCAAACTTCAGCGATTTGTCTTCTTACCAACAAAATATTTCAGTTCTGAAGGAATACAACATTATGCGCCATTATGATCAGTTGACGCGCGTATTTCAAAATTTAATTCATACAAAAGTCAAACACACATGTTCAAAAAAATGTGAAATGTGTAACAAAACAAGCCATAAGTAGCCATTCATACAATGCCAGATGAGCAAGTAACTTCATTAGTCACTATCAGTTGCAAATTACTTGTTGAAACGTAGTAGTATATATATATTTACTGTTGAAAGTCGTGCTTGTTATCTATTTCCCGGGAATTCTATCAGCTAAATATTATAATTATTGATTTTATTACATAACAAACCGCGATGCTAGGTGTATCTAAAATCAAGCTTAGAGCCTATTTTGGTGCCTATTTCTCAAAATTTTCTCAGGGCGCTTAAGCGCGCCCTGAACCCCAGCCGTGTCGTCCCGCACTTTTCCTCGCTCCCCTCTTATGGCCCTACAATTTTATTCTGCTGTGGATTTTGGCTCGCCGTCAATCAACTTGGGGAGCCCCTCATGTACATCGTTTCTTAAATACATACCATTTTTTAAGAATACAAATAACCTAGTCTCTAATAGTAAATTATTTACCACCCCCCCCCCCTAAATTTCGAAACACCCCCCCTAAAATAAAAAGCTGGGGAACATACTGTTCCCAACCGTTTGTATTATCAGACATCACGATCGTCTGAGTTGGGAACACTTGTCTGTTATTAAAAAATTACATTCTAGAGCGCGATCAGAATTCTGTTTTTTTCGGGAAACTGTGGGACGATTCGGACGAATCTAGTCATGGATCTTATCCACATGACCCAGTAAATTTTTCCATTGCGATCGGGCCTGAGAAGGGGGGCTGTCTGCTCTTGTTATAACTATGCTTACATCAGATTTGTATGTAACATGAAAGTTAAGGAAAGGGTCCAGGAATTACCAAGTGTCAGAATCATACTGAATTGCCATAGTTAGGCAAAAATTTTGTCGTTTTTTATGTCTCTTTGTGCATATAGTCCTATTGGTAGACACTAGACCTAAATATTCATAGATTTAATCATTTTTTATTGAATTGTATTCCGATTGCTGTTTCCCCGAAAATCGACGTTTTTGTTTACTTCCGCAACAGTAACTATTCAGCAAGATGCAAAAAGTGAAGTGACAATAGACGTTTTAGCAGCTGCTCAGACACAGATTTTCAGGCATGGTTGTGAACATAACCTCATTTTCGCGTTTTGCATGTTATTTGCTAGTTTTTAAATGTGTTTCGAAAATTTAAGTATAAATTATTGAACTCTATAATAACTTTGTCTCTTAGAAGATTTAGTTTAATTGCAGATATCAAAAATTAACTTTGAATTGGGTTGCGCGAGACTAACTTCCTATCGTTCCTCTATGCCTTTATACCAGTAGATCCGTATGCGTTTACTGCATAGACCCTGTAGCTGGAATAAAATGACTATTCTATCCAATTAAAGATTCCATTTGCACACTAACACAAATGTATTTCTGTAACGTTTCGTCCGATTAAAGTCAGACTTTCTCAGACAAGCAGTTTACAACAATGGCAAGAAATGAACAATCCAATCCAATACTATTCATTTCTTGCCCTTGTTGTCAACTGCTTGTCAGAGGAAGTCTGACTTTGGTCGGACAAAACGTTGGTATACATTTGAGTTGGTGTGTAGCTGGACTCTTTAATAATAATTGGATAGATTAATCAAACATTAGTCTTGAAATAGATGCAATATTCTAGGATGAACTTTCCCATCAATAGCCTACTTTTAAATGACAGGTTGCTGAATGTTTTTAATCAGAATAATAGTATGAAACATATAAATCAGTTTTTAGGCGCCGACTCGCGAAACCACTTAACAAAAGCACCTAACATTTTGAAATGGTGAAGTAGAGGATTTTTCGGGGTTTGAAGGTCAGGGAAACCTTCATGTGATGAGACAGCCATGAATTTCCATGGGATGGGACAGAAAAATATGTCCCATGGACAAACCTGGTGATACTGACTCCTTGCTAGTTTTTAACGGCATGTTTCGTTGAATTTAATAAAATGTCCCAGGCTGTGTTGGAACCCATCCTACCAACGTAATGGTACTGAAGAGAGATATCCAGCCAGCATATTTCCCATGTTATCTACGATCAGCTGTTGAGGGGTATTATGAAATCATAGATTGGCGTCTAATAGATATTTATCAAGAACTACGCGCACAGGCAGTTTTAGGTTTTATATTTTCCACAAAGCGTTGATTCGATTATTTTTTACAGTTCATTGTCAATAGCCAAAGAATATTTCTCTGAAAAAAGATTTTCATCCAGCATCCAAATTGTCATCAGTTGTTGTTGGTTATTATAGCATCATGGAATTGGCGCTTATTGGATATATATTTATCAAGAACTACGCGAACCGGCAGTTTTATGTTTTGTATTTTCCACCAAGCGTTAATTTGCTTATTTTGTGGTCAGTTCATTGCCAGTAATCCATGAATAGTTCACTGAAGAGAGATTTTCAGCCACCACATTTCTTGTGTGTTCAACGACCAGCTGTTGTGGGCTATTATGCTATTATAGATTGGTACCTATTGTATAGTTATCATGTACAACGAACATAGTTTTATAACTTTTTGTGCGCAATCAACATGTAAGCAAAGCCTTACCCTTGTATGCTAATACCTTATCGATCACTTTTACGCTTTTTGATGCGCTAATTATATGAAGACGCGTAATGTGCATATAAATCGTAGATGCAATCGTATACATAAATTGTATTCCTACGAAAGGATCTGGCAGTATTTTTACATCACCTTAATGGCTGTGTTTGTATATTGAGTTGGCTATGTATGCATATGTCTTGGTAGTTTATATATATTTGGTTGGCGGTATATGCATATTTTTGGCAGTATATGCATGATACGTTACAGATCCTATCGGATTATCGTGCCATTTCAAGAACCTCTGAATCCCATTAACAACTAAAATTCTCGTTCTTAGCAAAACTGTGTAGGAGATTTAACGGGTCACCATGGTAATATGTAAATGTTGGACAAATCAGAACATAAGCGTATATTGACTCTAAAATACTCATCTTCTTTAAGGTTCCAAATAACTACGTGGAATATTAAAAAACTCGCCCTCTTGTTGCGTTCTTCTATTTCCTTATTCTCTTTATTGATGGCTATTATCTGGTCCAGACGTTTATCTGTCTCAACTTTCAGTTTTTCTTCGTTAATTTTGTAGACACGTTTTTTGCGTATTTTTTCGATTTGCTCTCTATGACAATTGATCACACGCTTTGTCTCAAAAACACCGCTACTTGTGAACTAAAATATAAAAGTTATATTAAAAGATCTGAGGTTTACATACAAGACCTATACGACCAGGACCTCATACTTTGCCTTCATTCAATCGATATTCTTGGTTTTCAACAAAATTTGTAACAAAATCTCGGGGGATTCCTTTTTTTACCATTTTATTCAAATAGAGTCGAGATTCAGTTTATTTTCATGTCAACTGGTAACTATAATGACGTCTAGGTGGAACTTTCGAATCCCAGCAGGAGACCAGTGGAGGCATAGGAATTAGCCCGAGTCGGACTCTAGATTGAATAGACTCATTTGATTTGGATATTTAGAAGGATTTAAAAACTTATAAATAAGGGGGGCAAATTATCTGGCGCTTAAATCCAATAAGAAAGTACCAATATTAAAATGTGGATCCCAGGTTAGTCGAAAAAATAATATTGTCAAATTTCAAGATATATCTCAGTTTGTAATTAGATTTAGGAAATCATTATCATTCCTCACAGGCCTTTCATGTTCGAAAATACTCATGCAAAATTGCATTCAACACACTCTAATGAACAATCATGAAATATTCTGGCACTCAGAACAAAACTTTTTTGACATTTCGAGAAAATGAGCCTGAAGACGCAAGTCAATTCACACGTCAAATAACAAGTCAAGTCGAGGGATGGTACAGTCGAACCAATGCATTTCCATGGTAATAAGTTATTTCGAGCTGTAGAATTGAGCGACTGCAAGAGTCGACTCTGAATCATTCTTGCATCACAAACAGTGATGTGCATAGATAATAATAATATTAAATATTATGGAAAAGTGTGATTATACTTATATGTAAAAAGCAATCTAAATATTCTTGTTATTTTCATTTGCTGTTATAGACCGCAACTTTAAAACAAGTTTGCGACAAGTAAATTACATTTGTACGGCCACCAATATACGAACCTCATTCATTGCAAACTCAAATTGCCGTATTGCTTCTTCTGTATTTCGATCAACTTTCAATTCCCACTTTTCCTATAAAAAATGCAATTTCAATAAATGAAGTTTCGAAGTAATGTTGTTGTTTGTTAATTTTAATCACACTTCCAACATTTGACATTCAACACAAAAGTAGGGTGGACGAAGACATTATTGGAATCCAAATCTTGCTTTTACAATGACAATCAAGGCCCTGGAGTCGACGTTGGAGGGTGGAGTGGGATTAAAATTTGACGCTTTTTAGCATCGGAATGAGAAACTATGGACTATGGACAAAATACAACGGTATTCAGTTATAGAGTTATGGCTATTTTTATTGTTCAGTATATTAGACCAAAGGCTGCGACAAAAATAGGAACCACACGGAATAGATGCATCACACGGAATAGATGCATCTTATATACAAAATGACCTACAAAAATGATGGCAGGAGATCGAAACTTAATTTGTTTGCCACGTTTCGACTGTAGAGTCAGAGGTAAAATTCTTAAATTTCCCGGAGCCGTATTGTGGAGTCAAATTTTGGGATTCTCGTAAATGGGAAGCTGTAGACGGGAGCCCGAGTCTATTATATAAGTATTTCCTCCGACCCAACTCAACAGTCCTGCTATAAATACAGTCGCGTTATTTTAGGTAGAATTAAAAAGTATTATAAAGAGCCTGTTGTCCCAGACTCGACCCATTATTCTCCCACAACTTAAATCATGGATATAGGCCTACCTTATTGATTCTGTTTTTGATTTTTAACTCTTCAAGGTGTGTCTCACACTTTGATTCAAGATATGCTTTATAATCTAGCCGCAATCTTCCATCCCCCATATTTTGCGTTTGTTTGTATCTCTGCATCGCTATGCTCTTTGCCACTTCGTGCTGCTCAATAATCTTGCTTTCTTCGACATATTTAGAAATATCGACAGATTGCTGTAAAATTAAACACTCAACAGTGAAGGTTAAAATTATATATGCTGTGGTGGGGTAGAAGTTATAGTTCGTCACCTGCCAAGTTAGGTATCAGAGAATCATCTTCAAATGGTTATTATTTGGTCTTAGATCGTATTGCTAAATTGTTTTTCTTGTTGATGGCGTTCGTGTTTCTATGGCATAAAACGTCTTTTAATCACATTAATTGCGTAACTACTATTGTTTAACTCAACGGGCCCCGTTTTTATACTGCTTTAGTGTTTTGTTCTGAGAATCATCTTATGCTGATTCAGTAACGTGAATTCGTGCTCGCGAAAATAGTATGTACACACCACGTATCTGTGCATGTTAAAATATATATATATTTATTGAGACCACACTATCGGGTCAACATCACAGTACTTCATGCTCTAAAACTAAACAAGTCAGTTAATTAATACCTCCATGGCCCTCTTGTATTGCAGAAACGCTTCTTCGCATTCCGTGGAAAAATGAACACGAATGTTGGCCTGCAAGAATTGAATAAACTTGGCAATTAGATAAATATTCTTTTTTATATTATGTTAGAATTCGGCAAACACTTTCTCACTATATTGAATTAGCCTGATTTTATTGTTCAGGCGTGAAGTTGGACTGAACTTCGAACTCGAAAATACGAGCATGCGCTAAAACTCAAATCACAGAATCACCGCTTGAACGGGTATTAAATAAAATAAACAAACACGATTTCGAATCCAAATCCAAAGATAAAACTCGAACGTGAAAAACGATCCCAAACTCGAACCCCAAAATACGAACATGGACGTAAAAATACGAACTAGAATGTGAAAAAGGATTCAGAACCCGAACCCAGTATTACGAGCTCGAAAGCAAAATTACGAACTCAAAATCGAACACAGAAATACGATTCCGAACCGAAACCGAGTATACTGATCGGGAAAAACGATTCTGAAATCGAAACTCAAATACGAACTAGAACGTGAAATATGAATTCCAAAATACAAGACCGTAAATTACAAGGTGGATTCAAACCAGAAATAACAACTTCTAAACCGAACACACGATGCAGAATTCGAACCCGGAATCAAAGTTCGAACTCGAACCTGAAAATACATACCTGAAAGCATACAAATGCGCCAAACTTTTTACCTCTACTAAATTTTCTGCCTTATACATTCCCTGTGCGAATAGTTTATCGCAAGCAGCCATCATGTTACATATTTCGCGTGCTGTCATATTGTTTCTCGACTTGGAAATTTTAGGATGCAGACATTGTGGACTTGCAACTCCTTCAACGAACACTTTCACATATGTTTTGAAATCTTCTTCGAGTTCTAAAAAATATACAAATTCTTTATTAATCGAGTAGTAAATCATGTCAATATGACCCACTAACTCTTTTATTGGACTATTTATTGAAAATTTGATCATTCTGAAAAATTATCGTTGTTGTAGAGCGGATGGGAAAAATCGCTTCAACTGGGTAAATCGCTTCAAACCTCGAGACGTTTGAAACTAAAAAAATCGTCTAGAAGACTAGTGCCTTTGTTCGTTTTGAATATTTTAAGCGGTAGCATTACTGAGCAAAATCCATCATGCTAGGTTGGAGTGTAGTGTTTGTGGGCAAAATTGTTTCTAATGGTATGTTTTGGATCAGGTAGTACTAAATCTTTGGCAAATGGTCTTAAGCAAGCGTCTTACGTCAGATTTAGAGTAATACCAAATTGTTGGTTCGGCTTTGTGCTATTTTACAAATAAAAAATTTTGTATAGTGCAAGTGGCACAACTTCAGACAAAATATTTTATTACTTCTACAACGCTTATTTTCGCTTTTCGCCGCTAACAAGGCCTTTTGCAAGAATCCTGATAATCGGATCTCTGATTTATAGCGATATCTATTTACGGAAGGCTCGGAATTTTTCCGATTAGGCATTACCCGAATTGGTGGTGGGCATCGGGTTTGAAACCAAGATGTGCAACTTCCGATGTCAACACATGTTCACTTATAGAAAATTAGGATTTAAAAGAGGATGGCGCATGTAATTGAAGCAAACGCACAATATTATTTTACAATTAGCTAACACACCTTCATTCTTTCCTTTGAAACCGTTTTTTTTGGCCTTCAGTCCGGGATGAGGAAGAAGAAAGCAATCTACTTTGCTGAAACTTCTTTTCAATCCTTTTCTTACTCTGATATTATCTTTGCCGCCTTCTTGGGACTCGAGAATGCTCCGTAAATATTTACCACCAGATTCGTAGCCAAAGCTTTCTTCGACCCCACTTTCCTCTTCGGCGTCTCGAACCAAAAAGTTTATTGTCTGGAGCTAAAAAAGAGATAGCCACAAATATATATTTAACTGCCAATGACTCTTAGTTAGCTGACTGCAAACCCCAACTTATTGCTGTTCGAACACTTCAAATCGAAATCATGCAAAAGAATTGCAGAGACTCAGAAGACGCATGAAACTAGGCATAAACGAACAAAAATGAGATGATTCGTACTGAATTTCCGCGGAACGTTCCTCAACTTTAGATTGGCTTTTTTGACATGGGTCGGCTGATAGCAAGAATGCATGGGAATATGACAAATACCTGACTTGGCGGCGTGGAAAGCCGGAATAAGTCTTCCAATATTGCTTGTAAAGCAGTAACTGATTGTAAAGATCCGTGTTTGGACAGAAGGGCGTATAAAGCGACGTGTGAACAAATAACATACCTTGAAAAACGGTTCATTTACTTGTGCTGTCGCCAAAGCAAAATCGACGCAAGTCTGAAATTATATACATTGAATTTTAATAAACATTATAGTAGCAACATTTAACTCGGATAATAATCTTACTTGAAAAATATGAAACAAATTTTAAAACTTGTCCATCAACTCTTTTTTATTAAAGTTTTCGAACAAAATAGCGGACGATTTTCTAATCGACAAAAAGGTAGCCTATCTCAATTATGTCTTGTGTGAAAAAGCATATAATCAAGAGTTTCCTAATCGAGGAAGATTTTTGGTGATTTAGGGGAGGAAATAGAGAAGTATCACTTTGCATTCGGTGTAGTTTTACTAAAGTTGTTTAAGAACATGAAAGTATTAAAATTATTTATTGGCACATTACGGATTGTACGTAACCACTAGCTGAGGGTCTAGCTGGGGAAGAAATTACGAGATCTAAAATTAGAAAAGGGAGAAATAAATTTGAATCTCCCTCTCTCTCTCTATATATAAATATATATAGGCCATATATATAATACATGCATTTAATATTAGTAATTGGGTCGCGTAAGACGTCCTGAGAAAAAAGCGTTGAAGCCCAGAGAAATTACAAATCTGTTGTACAGTACCTTCAAATATGCCATATTCCGAGTGTCCAGATTACTTGAGCCATTATAAATTTGAACAGAGCTAATTAGTGTGCTCAGCGTGAGAAGCGAAATATTCACATCTTCTGGCGTTGATTGATCGAAGAGTCCTTGAGTGTCCATAAGAAGAACAGCCAGCTGAAAATTTAAACATGGATTTTAATACAAATCATAGTTTTTGTATAGAAATACCTAATTTGACCCAAAAAATGTTATCTTTTCACGCGTTTATGACAATTTTTTGCAGCTGGTTTGATCGACAATGATCAATCAGATGTCAGCTTTGATACAGTCCGAATTATACCTTACGTTGTTCAGATCAAAGAAGAACACTCGGGTATTTCTTGATTTCGAACATCACTCAAATTCCTGCTCAATTTTTGCGAAAGTTCAAACGTACCCACTCAAAAGATAAGGAGATATTTGAGCAGAGTTTTCAAAACTATCGACACTATATATCGTAGGCTATGATGATAAATTTTTTTTAAAACCAATTTAAACTGCCATCTATACTGATAATAATCAACAAGGACTACATACATATATATCTAACCTTATCTAATTAGTCGGATAAATGGGCTAAAAGAGGGGAGAGCGTGGGACACGACCTTTGTAAGTCTAGGTTGTAACCTGAAATGCTTTTATAATTGGGTATGGCTAAAACCCCATATTTTTGAAACATAGTCTCACCTCTTGTCCGCCATTAGGCTGGGGGACATAGAATACCTCGTTCCATATTTCAATTCCGATTGTCATTTGATCTTTACCTTGTTTCCAGACAAAGCCACAATTAGTTGTATCATCACTGCCTATCCAACTGGAATCATTCCACTAGAAGCAAAATAAAACAACAGTGAAGACGTCGGATATGAGAGAGACTAGAGTCGATGGCACGTACAATCATCTCCTTCCCAATCATCAAAAGAGGAACTCACCCCTTCAGCACGAAGATATCTTATAATAAAATTCAGCAAAAATGATTTGCCAGTTCTCATTCGCCCAGCTACTGATATTATTGCCACAGGGCGATCACCGATCTCAGGTCTTATCAAGACATTACGAAGAGCATCATGGTTTATTCGCATTTTATCATTCTTTTTCTTTGTTATCAAAGTGCTGGATAATTTTTCCATCTACAAATAAAATGAAAGGATGAAAAGTATTTGGGGGATGTTTTATGTAATGCATTGAGTTTATACTAGAGATGTATCGATGCCATTCTTCTTGTCGATGACGATACTAATAAAAAACAGGATAAAATATTATATGCCAACGAACAGTATTTTTATTGATCAATAAAAAAAAATCAGAGATCAGATTAAGCTTCGAAAATACAATCCTTTCAACAGAAAAATAAAGTATGCGAGACTTAAATCGACAATGCAGTTATGAGTACTTGGGGTTAGATTTGAAAAGTTCGACGAATTAATTTATATTGTAATGACTGTATATCTATTTATATCCCCTGCTTGACTGCGTATCGCAGGCTAAGTTTATTCGAAACATGGCCGAATAAATATTATTTTTATGAACTGTTCCTAAAATAAATGTATTAACTTGAGTTGTATAGGTTACGCTGTCAGCAAGTTTACAATACCCGTGCTTTTAGTCGTTAAATTTTAAATCAAAAGGGGGATTTATCGATATCATATATAGTTTGTTGTCTTATACTTGTGTATTCAATGAAGTAAAATAAACAAACTCAGTTAATATATATTAGGAACTGACTTTATAGCAAAATGGGAATTGTAACGGAAATTTATGAACACTCTGTATTATTATACCAATGTTTCAATGCATATCCCGCCACTAAACTTTTCTTGTTCGAGCGTGTGGGTTTGAATCAGCTGCCGTGGAGTGAATGAAAGCAAAAACAAGTATGGTGGAAGTAGTAATCATTAGGCAATGTTTGTGCAATTTTAATCTCAGGCAGAGACCGCTTTGTTTAAACAACCATTGGTTCTTGCGAATAGTTTGCCGGAGGTAAATATTAACCTTAGCCTTAAATATTAACCTTTTTTACACAAAGCCATACATGATATAATGTTTCATTCGGGCGAGTCTGAATTCGATTCGATTCATAAATTTTAAATTCGTTAACGAAATGTAATAAAAAGTGTACACTGGCGAGAGTTATTGCTTTGTAATATAGCAAAAATATGACATGACTGATATCCTTTAAAGCAATTACCCTGTATAAACCTGATTATGCAAAAAAAAAAGGATGATTATAAAACTATTAAGTAAAAAATGAAATATATATACATTACTTGTTTCGTAACGACCGATTTTTTTGAATTGCTTCAGACGAAATTATCATTCCAACAAATAAAGCTTCAAAAATTCGTCTCTTATATGTGTATAGTTCATGACACATATTTCCCAAACTAACGTTAGGGCGTGTAGTATTGCTGGCTTCGAGGCGAGGTAGGAGATCTAACAGTAAGAGAATCCTGCTCCGGCATAGTAGGTGTGAACCTAATAACTATCTTTTGTGTTAGTGGAGAGGACTAGGTCGTGCTGGGGTCCGCTTGATCTAGTTTAGCCCCAAATAAATATATAGAATGACTCGTACGCTTCATCAACTAACCGCCAGTGACTTAACTCAGTGATTCACTGGACTCTAGGGTCGTATGATCTGTGACCATCGGTCGAGGAACTTACACCCAACACTTTTTCCATATCTCATCGTCCTAATTCAAAAATTCGCCTCACTCACAAGTCAACATACGCAAGCAGGTAATTCACAAACGTTTTTTATTGATAATTTCACCAGCCCGAATTAGCTAACCAGGTTATAATGATATAAACCACTGGAAACACTTATTACAGGCCCATTTTCGGTTTGGCAAATTGAAAAAAAAGCATTACCTACTTTTTTGAATTTTATCTTCCCAATTATTCTAGAATTTGATCTCTTCTTGAATTCGAAGTAAAAGCACAATCAAGTCCCGTCAACGAAAAATAAAACTACTACAATAATCATTGACTAACAGGGTCACTCGCTCAAGTAGATGGCAAACATTGAATGATAGACGCGGTTGCAACGAGTAACGGAGTCATTGCATATTTGCATTACTTTAGTTTGAGTAATTTCGAAATGTTGACGCAACTCAATTAACTTAATTGCATCATTTAAAATGGCATCAAAAATGAAAACCCCCTTTGATTTTCCTAACTCATGCAAATGGTGTTGACGCATATTTTGAAATATAATTTGAAAACAAAACAAAAACTCCGACTGCCGACTCCCAGGTTGGGGCAATTTTCGACTTCGGCTCTAAACTGAAAGAAAACTGAACAATGATTACCCAAACATTAGCATAAGCAAGCATTCTTCGACTATATGTAGAAAATAATCAATTAAATGTTTTTGACTTCAATTATTACCATTCGCCATCATATGAAATTGCGACTTCGACGAATTCAAAATTTTGACTTCGACTTCAGTAATAACAAAAATGCCGATCTTCGACTCCAACGTCCTGGTTAAAAATATATTGCTCCAAACCGTCCAAAATGTTTGAAGGGGAATTGAAAGCAAATATCGACTTCAAAAGTGTCTTATTAGACATCTTATATGAATGATGCAAATAAAGCTATGTGCATTGCTGGCTATTGAATTTATCAGTGCATTAGTATAATTCTGGTTTTCTTTCAGTAATCTTCGAAACGGTCGCATTGCTATTCGAAACTGCTATTTGTGGGTAACATATCCGCACCAAAGGTTTTCTTTCCAAAATTTCGTTTTGTCGAATTCGGTTCAATTCATCTGTCTTGCTAATAAACTTTAATAAATAATAATAAAAAAATATATATATATAACTTATACATATATGTAGTGAGAAGTATTAATTTTCTACAAGCAGATGTGTACAACTTTGATCCGGGCTTATTTCGAATTCCAGTTTTCTAGAACAGCCGATACTACAAACCACCTTGTCCATATAAGGAGTGGCATGCACTCTCTTTGCTTTGTTGCTATCTTCAATTATTGTATCAGCCACATGTCACAACACATGGTAGAAGTTGCAACTTGAGCGGCTGGGCAGTACGAATTGGTAAATTTTTCAAGAGAGTGATACCAGGCAAACACGGAATCCCAGTAATAGCTTAGTGCCTTGTATTGATAGCGGTATTCCAAATTTTTATTCATTCCACATTATTATGAACGATGAGAGTCTATTCAATTGTGCTTATACCTGGCGTAGTTTTGTGCACCAGGACTAAAATAATTCTCATTGGATGTTCAAATGCTTCGTTTTGTTGAGAAGGCATATTCTATGACGAAAGATATAATTCTAGTATATATGTTAGCATATTGATAATGTTTACGGTGGAAATATTCAGTTCTTTTCAATGGTTAACTAAAAAAGATCTTGGGACGTCGTGAAAGGAACAATATATATATTATCTATAAAATGTTTGACAGTTTGGTTTTCCGAGCAAGTTTTACAAAGTTCATTGTCGTGGCAGAAAATTTTTTGCAGGTGATAGTTTAAAGTTTAACAACAGTGTGTTGTAGTCTGAACAAGATTATTCCATTTATTCAAGTTATTTTGCAGAAATTTATCTTCAATAATTGGGGAAAATAATTTTAAAAGTTTCTAGTGTCATATAATAATTCTTCCATTCTATGTCGTCTTTTGGCTTTGCTTCGTTTTTTTCGAGAGTTTGATGTCTGGTGTGATACTATTTTACCTGATTTTTCTTTGCCAGCAATCCCAACAGGTTATAAGATTTACGCGGCATCCACGAAAATTCCCCTCCCTCTGATATCAGATAGAATAGTTTCAATTCTAAAAATTAGTATATGACCTACAGAGAAAATCTGCCGAATGTTGCCACACCTACGGTGCCCGCTTCTCGGCCCACGTCCGGTTAAAACACTGTAACAAAGTTGAAAGTATTTTCTGTGGTAAATTATGTATCACGTGACAACATATCTGATCTTCGTCATGCAGGCGTTAGGCTTTTACACAAAAACAGCACGTTCTTTAATTCGTGCATACATTTACCACTTGCTATAACATCTCAAGTGTCCTTTCATATCTGTAACAGCCGTTCTTTGTGACCTGGACGACACCGACTGCACACTAGATATTTATTAACAGTTCAATAACGCGGTCTTTCAAGCCCCAAGTTTGTATCCTCAATCCAGAAAATCACACAACTCGAAGTATACAGTTGACACGGTTATCTTAATACAAACGTAAAAACAAATCAATACAAAATACTTGCAATAAATAAATAATCATACACAATTCGGCCTTTAGAAAGCCTACTCAAATTTATGAACACAATTATCAAACAGTCAATTATTAAGTCGAACCAAATTACTATTGAATAACTTGCAGTCTTCAAATCAGAAAGAGTTACAAATTATAACATACCGAATTTGTCTGCTATTCCAGGCTTAAATTATCATAAGTTGAACATGAAATCATTCGTCAAGGAAATCCAAACAAATCAATTAAATAAACTATAACTGTAAAATCAATCACAAAAGGCCATTTAATGCTCATAAAATATCCCTAAGATAGGCCTATGTGGGCAGCCATAATCTACATTATTTAATCGTCCTACAGTCAAAACAGAAAGCCAAGGTCGCTGAACAAGTTTAACTTATTTACAAATTACAACGAAACGAGCGCCATTCCCTGCAAAAGTAAAGCGCTATTTAAAGCAAATTACCGAAACTATCCATGTCTAAGCGAGACATGTCTGGGCAAGCAATTGCCACGAAGACTCTCTCAATTGTTTCGTAACAAAGTGTGTAGAAGCACACTGTCAATCAAGGGAAATTACGGCGTCAACAATAACAAATAAATTACTACACAAGTTAAACAGACGCAATGTTTAAGTCAATACAAATATCAAGTGAATGCGATTCTCGATGTAACATTCCCCCAGCCAGATGTTGGAACCCAGTGAAAACATCTTACTCACAAATTTCTTACATCGAGGATATCACACACTTGAAAACATTTTACTCATTAACTTTATGAATCAAGCACAACTTTGCAATTGGCCTTCTCAGTAAACCCCTGGATGTCTTCACAGTAACTTGACGCACTGCTCCAAGTTTATCAGGTGTAGTTTCCATAACACGTCCAGTCTGCCACTTCCCTCTGGGTATAGTATTGTCTACAAGTAGCACAATATCACCAACTTCCATATTACGTTCTTTAGAAGTCCATTTCTGTCGTGTCTGAAGTGTGGGTAAGTATTCTTTGGTCCATCTGATCCAAAACTGATCAGCTAAATACTGGATTTGTCGCCATCTTCGTCGAGTGTAACAGTCCTTTTTGTCGAATATGCCAGGAGGTAAATTACTTGTAGGATTCAGTAACAGCAAGTGATTTGGAGTGAGTGGCTCATCATCTTTCGGATCGAAACTTATTGGAGTGATGGGTCTGGAATTCAACTGTGATTCCACTTCACAAAAAATAGCCAAAGCTTCATCTGACACCAACTGATCGTGTAAGAGAGCAACCAAAATCTTTCGAACTGACCGAATTAATCTTTCGTAACATCCTCCAAAATTAGAAGCAGTAGGTGGATTGAAATGAAATTTAATATTCTCCTGACGCAAAAATTGTCCAACTTTGCTTGAATTCCAAACTTCTATTTCTTTACGTAGGATTTTATTTGCTGCAACGAAGTTACTACCGTTGTCACAGATGAACTTGAATGGTCTACTTCTACGTGCAATAAATCTTCTTAATGCGTTTATGAATGAATCTGCATCCATCGAGTATGCAACTTCCAAGTGTACGGCACGAGTTGTCATGCATGTAAATATACAGCCCCACCTCTTGACAGTACTTCGTCCTTGCTTTACAAGAAAATGTCCGAAGTAATCCACTCCAACATAGGTAAATGGTTTTTCACCTGGTGTGACTCTTTCTTTCGGAAGATCTGCCATAATCTGTTTACTCACAGGTGAACTTCTTCTTCGACAAAACATGCATTTTCTGATAACAGATTTCACCATAGCGCCTCCTTTAACGATCCAAAATCGTTGTCTCAGAGAAGTCCATGTACTCCCCCATACCAGAATGATGTGTAGATACATGATGTTCTCTTATAATCATCTCAGTTACATGATGTTTATGTGGAAGTATAATCGGATGTTTAACATCGAAATCAACCGGTGCATTTCTCAATCTCCCACCAACTCTGATGAAGCCATCTTTCACAATCGGATTGAGTTTATGCAGAAAATTTGCAATCTTCAATCTCTTCAGTACTTGTTTCCCAGTTGTACTTCTATGATTGTCGTTCAGCAAGGCATCAATAACTTCGCCAAATTCTTGTCTCTGTATGTATTTCAAAATGTCGTCTCCAGCAACTCGCAATTCTTCAACTTCAAGTTTCTCATTGCACTTATAATTCTTCTTCTTCTTATGAAGGTAGTCTTTGAATCGAATCATCCATGCACTTGCCTTTTTCAATTTATACCATGTTGAGAAATATGAAATGAATTTATCAATTGGCTTCAAAGCGGAATCAGAAACATAATTCGCAACAACTCGTGGCTTGCATCTTACAAATTCATCAGGAAGCTCAGGTAACTGCACTGGCGGTTTAGGCCAATGTTCCTCTTGCTCTTGGAGAAATGATGGTCCCTTCAGCCATCGTTCATCCATCAACGATTGTACCGACAACCCTCTGGATGCATCGTCTGCCGGATTCAAATCTGTAGGTACATATCTCCACTGCAAAGCATTCGATCCCTCTTCAATCTTTGTAAGTCGATTTGCCACAAATGTTGGAAATCTTCGTGATGTATTATTAATACTCAAAAGCACGGAAGTTGAGTCTGTCCAAAACATCGACTCTATTTCTTCGAAGTCTAATTCACGTCTCAGGAATAAATCTAATTTGACTGCAAGAGCGGCAGCAGTCAACTCCAGCCGTGGTATTGAAACAGTTTTGATGGGTGCAAGTCGAGCTTTTCCTAAAAGAAACGCAACATGAATCTTCCCATTTTCATTGATTAGTCGCAAATACGATACAGTCCCATAGGCAACTGCAGAGCCATCTGCAAAATGGTGTATTTGACGAGTCACAATATTGCCAAAACCAGAAGGCGCAAAACATCTTTGCATGAATATATTTTCAAGTCCATGAATATCTTCGAGCCATCTGTTCCACAATAAATTTTCACTATTCGATATTTCATCGTCCCATCCATAATTATTTCGACATAACTGCTGCATCAAAAATCCTCGCTTTAAGTATTACAGGTGCCACTATTCCCATCGGGTCAAATATCGAACTGAGTACAGACAAAATCCCTCGTTTTGTTGCGGGTTTTGATTTCACATTAACATCAAATCCAAAACAATCTTCTTGGATATTCCACTTTATTCCGAGTACTCGATCGATCTTTTCAGGTTCTAAGTTTACACTTGACGCAGTGTCTGCTCTGTCTTTAGCAGGAATCTCTGACAGAACTTCAGGATTGGAACTTTTCCACTTTGCTAGATGAAATCCTTTTTTCTCCAGCATTTTATTCGTTTCTCGAACAATATTAATTCCCTGGTTTACAGTAGATGAGCCATTCAGGTAATCATCAACATAAAAATTTCGCTCTACTCTTCTGACAACTTTTTCGTCAAATTCATCTTGGTGATCTTGAGCCGTCTTCTTCAAACTCCAATTAGCGCAAAATGGAGATGAGACGCTACCAAATATGTGCCTGACCATAAAATATTCTGATGGATCTTGTGACAAATCACCTCCAGGCCACCACATAAATCGCAATACATTCCAATCCTTTGGGTGCACTTTCACCTGATGGAACATTGCTTCGATGTCAGCCACAATAGCTATTTCGTGTTGTCTAAAGCGGAGTAGTGTTCCAAGTAGAGAATTTGTCGAATCCGGGCCTCTCAATAGTTGGTCATTCAAGGAAGTATTCATGCAACGCGATGCAGCGTCAAAAACAACGCGTACCTTACCTGGCTTTTGTTCAGAAAACACAGGGTGATGAGGCAAGTACCAAACTGCACCTTTACGGCCAACTTTATATTCATTCGGGATACGTTTTGCAAATCCAAGACTAATATATTTCTCCATAGTATCACAGTACTTCTTTTTCAAAACAGGATCACTCTTCAATTTTCGTTCAATGTACTTTAAGCGTTTCATCGCAACACTTCGATTGTCTGGCAAATCAGGACATCCTGGCTTCCATGGCAATGGTAACTGATAATGTCCCTCCACGATCTCAACTGAATCTTCCATCAATTGCAATGCGTATTTGTCTTCCTTAGACATTGATGGAATAGGCGACAGTGAAGCGTCTTTAAAATCACTTTCCCACAAACATTTGATTTGCTGACTCAGCAAGTCTTCCTCTTGCACTTGAACGCAATGAATGTGAACATCACTGTTTCTCTCCTGAGATAAAGCTGGTCCAACCAATGACCATCCTAAAATGGATTTATTCGCCGAAGGTTCATTGTGTTTCCCTCGTTTCTCATCCATTGTCCAAAACACTTTAGGGACATTTACCCCAATCATCAACATCACGTCTTTACACGACAGAGTAGGAATCTTCAATCCCTTCAAATGTGCATAACTTTGTACATCAAATTGTGCTTCATTAGCTTTAACAGGCAGTCTATCAACAGTTAGCACATGAGATAAATCAACACTTTCTCTACCATCAAGTGATTTTACAGTAAAATCAACCGCATAACCATCTTGTGATGTTGGTACCGCATTCACAGTTGTCAACGAAACTGCGTTTCTTGCCTCTCAACTTCAATAGATCAAGAAGTCGCTCATCGCATAAGCAAGCAGTAGAGCCTTCATCTAGAAATGCATACGTTTCTATTTCTCTTCTGTTGGCACAGATCTTGACAGGTACAATATTCAAAAAACATCCTGCTGAGCTTTTTGAAGTCGCATATGCTTCAACTTTTGGCTCATGCGTACCAGCAGCATTTTCTGTCTGGGTACATGTCTCTTGTTCTCTTCTGTGCAATAAAGTATTATGTTTCAACCTACACCCGTCAACAGTACAAGCAGGTGGTTTACGACAATTTCTCGACATATGACCATATACAAAACAATTATCGCACAATCTTGCCTTTCTAACAATCTTCAAGCGGTCACCGTGTGACTTCTGCAGGAATTTGTAACAGTCAACAAGTCTGTGTGACGCCTTCAAACAGTCAGGACAGACATGTCTTCCCTTTTCAATATGTTTTGCACTGGTAACACTGCTGTCAACAGCTGAAGTCACAGCAGTAGAATGAGCGTGAATCTTTCGTCTATTCGATGATTGAAATCGTAAACGATATTGCTGTTCTTGCTCCCTTCGAGCTCTCAAGGCTTTTCCATAAGGCGTATTTGCAGCCGCAGCCTTTTTCTTCATAAATCGAACAAGATCTTTAAATCTCACTTCTCTATCTTGTCCATCTAATTCTGCCACTGATTCTTCCTAGTTGTTCTGCAACTTGAGAGGAAGTCGTAATACGATGGACAAAATAGTATCAAAATTATCCAAATCCCCAAAATATTTCAAATGTGTCAAAGTGACTAAACATTCTTCTAACGTTTGAGAAAGACGTAACAAACCTTCGTTATCTCCAGGTTTCAACCATGGTCCTTTAGTCAACTCTTCTGAATATTTTCTAGCCACAAGCATTGGTCGACCGTATGTCTTTCTGAGCAAATCGCATGCCTCTTTATAACCTTCGTCGGGTGGCAACATTGTACAGTGCATAATCAGTCCCTCGCATCACCTTCGCAGTATTGTACCAAATATGACAACTTTGTACTTGTATCATGTACTCTTCTATCAATATTTAAGTTGAAGTTAGTGATAAACCGGACATATTCAGTCTCTATTCCACTAAAATGCAATAATTCAGGTCGAGGTCTATCAATTCCGTCTTGCAACATAGATGCCATATTGCCCAATAAACTTTCCACATTTGCTGATGATTGATCATGCGTGTTTCTTTGTTGTGGGATGTGTGGTTCTGTGTACGGAGGTCGGTTCACTGATTCATACTGATCAGGAATATTCATGGGCTCATGGCATCTCGCATATTAACAGTAGAAACTGGTCTTCTAACATTTAGTGCAGGATTTTCCACTGTGACTCGAGATTGTGACAACAAATCTGATGCTGGCAGTTTAGGTCTCACATCAGGAGGCTTAGATACCGGAACCACTATTTCATTCGACTCTTGGATTTTATTAGGTGAATGTGAACGAGATATATTTTCATATAATGACATACCTTCGCCTCCCTGAGAAGCATTTTCCCATACATCGGCTGCTATACAGGCTGATTCATATGCATGCTGCAATTCCAAACGCTTTGTTCCACTTTGAGCATCCTCTTCGATTTGTCTAGCTCTTATTTCAGCGTCACGTTTAAGCTTTTCAGCCTTCATTCGGGCTTCCTGCTCTTGCTTTCTAGCATTTTCCATAGCTTCGCGTTCCAACCTTTTAGCATTTTTTGTAGCCTCACGTTCCAGCCTTTCAGCTTCAATTTGGGCATCTAATTTCATTTTCTCTGCTGCCATTTTCGCATCAATTTCTCGCTTTTTTGCGGCATCTTTTTCTACTTGCTGCCAAATACTAGCATGAGCAAGTTCTCTGATGGAAATGGCTTCTGTACGTTTAGTACTCGAACTTGAACTGGCACACGAACGACGGGAACTTTTCCCAGAAATTATAGAACGTGCTTTAGGGCTATGTGTCGATGATTTATGACCATCAGCGTCACTCTTTTTGAACCAATCACGTAAGTGCACATTAAATTCTTGAAACTCGCGCAGTTCACACTGGAAAAATTCACTGACATTTCTTCGATCTTCTTCAGAACGTAAAGTACTCACATGAATTTCATGAGCATTTGAATACTCGGTGAACCGTTTGTCAATGTCAGCACTTTTCAATTTCAACAAATCTCGATTTTTGTAGTCTGACATAAGTCTCTCAGCATCTTGATATAATTCCTTCAGACGAGCACGTAACTCTTCTAAATTTGATTTCGAAACAGATTGTGCATCCATAATGTACAATTACAGTGCTCATCGAACAAGCAACAAAAGTTCAAATGTTCAACAGTAGGATGATTTCTTCCAATTTGACGTTATACCGAACTCCTGCCGGCATTCGACGATTACTTTATTTATGCAATATCAAACGTTATATGCAAATTTCGATAACTTTATTTGCGGAAATTCGATAACTTTAATGTAACAGCCGTTCTTTGTGACCTGGACGACACCGACTGCACACTAGATATTTATTAACAGTTCAATAACGCGGTCTTTCAAGCCCCAAGTTTGTATCCTCAATCCAGAAAAACACACAACTCGAAGTATACAGTTGACACGGTTATCTTAATACAAACGTAAAAACAAATCAATACAAAATACTTGCAATAAATAAATAATCATACACAATTCGGCCTTTAGAAAGCCTACTCATATTTATGAACACAATTATCAAACATAGTTAATTATTAAGTCGAACCAAATTACTATTGAATAACTTGCAGTCTTCAAATCAGAAAGAGTTACAAATTATAACATACCGAATTTGTCTGCTATTCCAGGCTTAAATTATCATAAGTTGAACATGAAATCATTCGTCAAGGAAATCCAAACAAATCAATTAAATAAACTATAACTGTAAAATCAATCACAAAAGGCCATTTAATGCTCATAAAATATCCCTAAATTAGGTCTATGTGGGCAGCCATAATCTACATTATTTAATCGTCCTACAGTCAAAACAGAAAGCCAAGGTCGCTGAACAAGTTTAACTTATTTACAAATTACAACGAAACGAGCGCCATTCCCTGCAAAAGTAAAGCGCTATTTAAAGCAAATTATCGAAACTATCCATGTCTAAGCGAGACATGTCTGGGCAAGCAATTGCCACGAAGACTCTCTCAATTGTTTCGTAACAAAGTGTGTAGAAGCACACTGTCAATCAAGGGAAATTACGGCGTCAACAATAACAAATAAATTACTACACAAGTTAAACAGACGCAATGTTTAAGTCAATACAAATATCAAGTGAATGCGATTCTCGATGTAACAATATCCAAAAACACATTTTTAAAATTTGCAGTACCGCTTATTGTTCAAAATGTAAAACCTAATAGTCATAGCTTTGTCATAATCATTTGGGACAAAAGCACCATTTTGATCCGTGGGCATACTGATATTGTAATATCTGTGTAAATTTGTAAATGCATGTACCATTTTCCACACTTTTGAAAACTGGATTGGTTAACCGAGTCACAGAATTCTAGCCAACAATTTGGTTTTGTTGTTAGTAATATTTTACGAGAACTAGCTCTCTTCTTTTGTTGTTGTTAATGATATCTGTTTCGCGAAATGTCCTCTTCATTTTCGTCGGAAGACTAGTGTGCGATCTTTTGTCCACCATGGTAACGCCCTTGTCACGATCCCAACAAATGTAGTAATTGATTTGTCAAGTGCGTGAATGAGTTCAGATGTAAAACTGTTGTTAAATCTATCGATTCCTATAGTATTGGTTACGCGAGGTACATATGTTAAAACAAGGTTCGGAAACTTTATATATATAAACCGTCAAAACGATATAAATTCTTCTGCTTTTATATTTCCTAAGTTCAAAGATGTTGTAACAATACAATGATCATTTTTTAGAGAATCATTCCTACATTTATATGACATTATAGTGTCTGGAGAAGCCACAGCTAGATTCGGTAACGACCAACGATCTGTATGTGAGTTTAGCTGTATTGCGTCTTGTGAGTATCACACAAATGTTGGTTTTGGAAAATCAAAATAATCCATGTATCCGAGGGGCCTTTTTTTCAATTACATGTGACTCCTAAAGCAAAATTAAATAGGATGGTTGATTCATAGACGTATTTCCATAAATAACATTTGGGATTTTAACGGAAACTTTTTCTCAAGTTATATCATTTAGTTTTATATTTACATGAAATCTCAGAGTATCATTTGCCGCTATTGAAACAATGATGAATAAATATATCGATCAAAGTACAGTAATCTACAAAGTCTATAGTCCAATATATGGACAAACCTAAAATCATTCTTTTTATAAAACTTACACCTAAGAATCATTTTTAATGTACGGCATAGGCAAATTTTCCGGTTCTTAAATTAAACAGGGAAATACACGAACTTTGTCAATCCATAAACAAGACACGGGATATATATATAAGACTTAAAGATGGGTTATCACGAAAGATTTTTTGTGGCGAATTTAATTCTATATAATTTTTAAGATTCTCGGCGTTTATCGCTTACATAGAGTGGACTTCGTTTGCCCGACACGAATTTTCAAAAGTTAGCCCCGCAGAAATCGACCGATAGGGTGCGCCGGTGACGTACTGAGAACTTGTCGACGTAATTTTGCATTAGGCTAAGGGCAATTATAGCATTCTGTGTTCATATTTCAAAACGTATACTTGTTTTAGCGGGCGTTGCACCAATCATCTAGATTTTATACTTTATGTAAGTTTTGTCTGCTTTCTTGATTCTGTAATTATATTTTTTTAATATTTTCTGGTCTATGAAATATCACCAAGCGATTACAAGTTTTTATCATATGTAATTCATTCGGGTCAATATATGTTTTCTCACGAATTTCTATGAATTGATGCCTTATAAATATTGTATTGACCTCAAATTAGCATATAACACTTCTCTTCTTTTGATCACCGAAATATACGCCTTCTCTCTTACTGAATTACAATCAACAGTTACACATTTTTTTCTAATTGTCATTAATTCGAATTTCAGACAACACAGCATGTAAAACATTCAAAGTCAAACAATTATAGGGAGCTCAAATAGTGAAACACAAAACCATACACCAAGAAGCAAAGCAGAAAGAACCTTCCCAATTTGATTTGACATTCTATATGACCTGTTAGCTTCTGTGTGTGTGGTTCTGTGACGCAAATTTCTTCTTACTGCATCCAAAACCACTGTTGAGCTTTATTGTTTTCATCACAATCTCTGATGAAAGTTAATGCATTTTGCCCTTTAACTACACCCTCTACACATTTATTAGTTGAAGGATTCCTAAATAATTCACCATCTTTAATCCATATTTGTAATTCTGGTACTTCTCTGTGATCTTCTACACAATCAAGCATAGTTACACCATCCTCTGATTTCATTGCACTTAGGCACATTTCTTTTTCGGGATTATGCCGTATTTCGTGTCTGGATGTATATTCGAAAAATTGATTCTCACCTTGCCCATGACAGTCATACATTGCTACTTTTCCACCTGTAGGATTTGACGGGGGTGCGGCATAATCCAAACAATATGTATTGAACATTCTGTTATGAAGGGACCCATAACTTCCTGGCTTGTCTTCAGGGACATGTAAATCTGAATATATTTTTTCTTAGATACCACTTGAAAGATTTACAATTGAGGCGCTCACGCAAACTTATCCTTTCACTTATGTCCCCATATTTTTCACATTTGGCGGGGGGATTCCTGATGTAAAAATGCCTTTTGTATTCATCCATCCAAACTTCCGCTGCACGAAGTGTGTTGGGCAAAAACTTGGGTCTTGGATATGGTGCCTGTTTTGGATAAACATGTCCTACATGAGAACATGGTATTGTTTCTAGCACTCCGCCGCACATCCATACTCTAAAAGATAATTCAAGGTTTTCACCACCCCATATTTCCATGCCAGTGTCGTAAGTACCAATGTGCGAAAAATAAGCTTTACTGATAGCAAAAAGTCCACCAGCCATAGTTGGAGAGCGAATCGGATCAACAGGTCCTTTTCTACGTTTTCTTTCTGTATATGGAATTAAATGCCATCGAAAATTTAATCTCCAATCAAACCCACCAATTTGTGGTTCATGACCACCATAGTAATATTGGAATGTATCATAATCAATAGTGTCGATAACCGGAACAACAACTGCTGACTCTTCCTGCATTATTCGTTCAAGTAAAGGTTCAAGCCAACCATACATGCATTCGCAATGGCAATCCAAGAATGTTAGAACATCCCCCATAGCATGTGAAGCACCAAGCAAACGAGCTCGCACCAGTCCTTCACGCTTTACGGTTCGTATCAAGCGAACTCTTTCAATATCTTTTAAATACTTTTCTAACTGTTTTTTGAGATAAGGTTTGTCACTATAGTCATCCACCAGAATTACTTCCCTCAACAAACCGGCAGGTGACGTGTGAAGTACACTGAATATTGTACGAATCAGTGTTGTCCATCCTTCATTATAAAAAGCAATAACAACAGAAGTTGTTGGCATATTCCGATAATCAAAAGGAGGACGAGATGTGCAATGTTCATGCCGAGTATCTTCGATTTCACGATGTAGTGATATTTTTTCACTCACATACTGATTAACAGCATATATCTGAATGCTTTTTTCTTGTTTTTCCCTTTCACCAGGTTCCATCAGTCTTACGGCATGACCTCCTTGTCCTAAAGTTTTGGGGTCGTTTTTTGGTCTTTCCAAGATAGGTTTTTTCAAGCCTTTGTACACACTATCAATGATTATATCAGAACTAGAAGAGTCATTTCCTAGTCTTCTCATTGAATTAGTTTTGTTTCCAAGATAAAGAATGTAAATTATAACAGCAAACAAAATTAGTTTGACTGTTCGTGGTAATTTCCATGTAAAGGTTTTCATGGTGGAAGTGTGTTAAAAATTTAAGTGAAAACATTTCTATAAAATGGAAAGGTCGATGATATAATGATTAGCAATATTCAATATATAGCAATATTTGTATATCAAAGTATTGGAATACTTCATTGCCTAATTTCAGAATAATACCGAATATTAGCCACCTTCGCCGTCAGCAAAGTGTTTCGTTTTCGAGGGAAATCTCCAGACGCATTCATTTTCATTACGTAGAAAAATTGAAAATTATGTAAAGCCGTAATTGCTACGATAGATTCAGATTCAGACGTGCTTGAAATATTGTACACACAAAATTAAACAAACATAATAATAAAAATATAAAACAAACAAACATACAATATTTCCGCAATTGACGCAGGGCCGCGAAAGACTATAAAGTAAGTCATCGTGTCAGCGACACCTCGTTTGCTGAGTTGTAAAGCAGATGAAATCAAACAAACGTTATTGAATAAAAATTATATCATCATGACTTGTTGAATAAATCCAATTTTAGAAATATAAATTAAATATTGCGCGAGTCAAATAGGAACTCACTTTTGCTTTGTAACGTCATGGTCGGTGAGCGTAAATACAACAAAGAGATTGCTTATTAACATGACGCGATAAAGCGTAGTTAGCAACCACAAAACAGGAAAATCGTTTTATGTGTTTACAGTTACAGAAAATCAATAAAATTTGAATTCGACAAAAGAAACATTAATTCAATACCAAATAAATACCAAATAAATTTTCGCGAATCGGAAGAAACAAGCTGATTTATTAGGAAAAATAATTTAAACTTTTTCCCGCTTTTTGGCAAATAATTGTTATTAAAAATTGTTAAAAGTATCGACATTTTACTAGAATGATTTTCTGTTGCGCAAAATATCAAAATCCATGACTGATACCAACATTTTAAATGCCTTGCCGTATTAATTTTATTCTGTTCAACGTAACTCATGGTTGCGTCGAAAAAATGAATTTATTACTATTCCTGAATATCACGGCAATCTGTGGACATAAAAATGTGTGGTGAACTGCCCGATTATAAATAATTTTGTATCTGTATTATCTTATACTTATACTACTACGAAAACATAAATGCATTTACAACTCAATTACCACGGCAATCTGTGGACATAAAATGTGTGATGGTAAACTATAATTCCTTTTTGATTCGTAGTTTTGTACATGAGAAAAAATGAAAGCAACTTTATTCTAGAATATCACGGTAATTTGTGGACATATATTGTGTGGAAAACTGCGCGATTATGCTTAATTTTTTATTTGTATTTTCGTACATGAGGAAAATTAAAAGCATTACTTCTCTGAAATATCACGGCAATATGTGGACATAAAATGTCTTGTAAATTGCAGATAACAGTTATTCCATTGTTTATTGTATGCAAATTCCTTCACACACTAAGAAAAGCATTCATTAGTTGATTTCCTTTTCGAATATATTCGATAATTCATATTCGAATATAATAATTTAGAATGTTTTCGAAATAGTGAATTATTCGGTATTGGCTATCCGTGATTATTGATTAGATATTAAAATATATATCCCAAACAAATATCATTCGAAATAGTGGTCTATAAAATCAAATAAAAGGTCTATAAAAATGATGACTGCTTTATCCCCAACATCAATGTCTCCATATTCAGCCATTGACATTCCACATGCACTCCTACACCTCCGTGAGACGATTATAGTCTTCAGTTGTTCCTACTTTGTAACGAGACCAACATACTAATAACAAATTACGCTGATTCCAATAAATTAGCAAACCATGTGTGGTATGGTGAATATACTTTTACACTACTGCTTCGCTATATGCTTGAGTAAGTGACTACGTCATCGATTTTTTGTGTAGTTTTCGAAGGATTTTATAAACACAATCAACTAGAAAGAAGTCCCGAGCACTCACATGGTGATTTATGCAATCCTGACCAAACTCGCAGATTTCTGCATTTATAGTAATATCGGTATCGCTTATTGAAATACCGCATACCGGCGTATCGGTATCGGCGTTTTTTCTTTATATCGGAGCGGTATCGGCGACAAAAGTGGTATTGGTACATATCTACTTGATGGTGGAGGAAGCCGTAACCGAACAGCGGTTACGTGAATCACCCTGCGCGACGAGAGGAGTCCAAAGATCCTCTTGCACATAACTATTTCCAACGATATTCGAAACTGTCCAGAGAACCTCTTGCACATAAGTATTTCCCACGATATTCGAATTTGCAAACCCACGAAGTGTAATCAGAGATGCGGCGGCGAGCGTATTCCCAACGCTTACACGATGCGCCACACTGCCGAGCCAGTTTTAAAGTCAGATGAATCCAGTGAAAATATTAAATAAAAAGATAATAGAACGCAACAGAAATAAACATCAAATTCCTAATTCGTATGATAAAACAATATCAATTTTACGTATCCATAATATCCATTATGTGCCTAATCAAGATCATTAAATTAGGAAGTATAGAAAGAAGAGAAGCATAATTTATAAATAAAAAAAAAACAGCCCCCAAAATTGAGCAATTTAAATCGCTTGATTCATTGCACAAAGTTTCATCACATTCACAAGATTTAAATAGAATTTGGTAAGGAAGGAAACCCAAATATGCCCAGATCTAAATCACAAAGAGATTTTAGCACCAATGGCTTGGTGGCTGGGTTGAAATCTGATGTCACTATACTAATAATGTAGACATCAGGGTGAGGTTCCCGATACTTTACATCCGAGACATCACCACAAAATGTTATATGTTCAAATAATGAAAAGAAATCTTTATGATCGGTTGATTTTAGTGAGAAACCATCAGTCCCAGATCCTAATGTAAACAATTATAACATATGCTCTAGTGGTCATAGTACATACTAAAATATAACATGATCATAATTGGCTATACTTGGTGAATCTTGCCTCCAACTTGCCTCAACTAATCAATACACCGGATTTAGAATTGAAAGTACTTTTATGATGTTCAACCATAAAAATTAAAACTCTCACGTATTGAGGTGAACACAAAATAAACAATGATAAAAGGTTGGTATATATTTCAAAACACGGCACATTTTCATTATAAATCAAAGTCTATCCATTTCTTGGATCTTAAAACCAATATTATAAATGTCGAAATTGAAGAATAATTTTTGCAACTAAATCTAGAACTTGTTTTAAATAGTCTTTTAAATAAAATTGCAACATTAATAAAACAGTAGACCCACTCAAGTATTTGCAGAAATGATTGTAGATTTCATTAAGATTTCTATATTACTTTAAAATTGGTTACTTTATTATGATAAATTACCTGTGCATATGACAATTTAAATATTATGTTGTTACAAATGTTGCACCATCTTTTCAACCCCTGTACAGAATGAAAAATTACTTCATTGGACAATATTCATCTCGATATAGGCATACCAAATCATTCATTGTGACAAAACGTAAACTAAATCATTTTCATATACAATAATGTTAATTCAAAAATCAATCTAAAATTGTAAAATACCGGGTCTATAAACCATGAATGTGGACACTTCTACCTGGTAATAGTTTTTCACTTGGAAATACCGTTGACATGTCAGCTTTCAATAAACCAAGCCATTCATCTACTGTTATTGGAAGTTCCATTGTTTCAATGGCATATGTTACAGCCACGTGTGGCTTCTTTTTCATTATAGGAAGTTTGATAGACCAGTCGTATATTTTCGATTTTTTGGTGGACTTCTGTGTATAAATCTTCTGTATCTATTATTAGAATTTGTGCTACTGTGTGATAAATGTATTCAGCCGCATCTGCTGTTAGAGTTGATAGCTGGAAGTTGTGATAGGATAGATTTACAAATGGAAACATTTAGTACTTTGAAGTTATTTTCAATTATTAGTTTCAAAATAGAAAATTCTTCAACAACTCGAGAATAACTTTCTAGTATGACGAATTCCAATTTGATTTCTCGAAGAACAACCAACCATTGAAGAATTTGTTCTACCATTAAAAATAAAAATTAGGACATCAAATGACAGAGAAAAATAAAACAAAATATAACATTAAAGGTAAATCAAATGAGAATATAGAATATTCAAACGAACTTTAAAAATTTCTATATTATAGAACACAACACGAAAAGCTGAGAATAAAGCTATCCGTTTCTTTCCTTGCTTAGCTAAACAATGTGGTGATTACAGGCGCACACAATACTGACCATTATTTCATGGTATATCATATCCATATTATCACAATGGTGTTGAAATTGCCATAAATGCCGAAGATATTATATTCTAAGAACTAAATATAATTGAACAATGAAGTGTACAGTCAAGAGCTATGCATAGGAACTAATAGATACTACTCTAACAGTCATTTTTTGCAAAAACAGCATATCAAATTGAAAGTAACATACTTAGCATGGACCCAGAAAGAATTTTTTAACGGGGGTTTGGGGGCTCAAAATTGAAACAGTGCGCCAAAAGCACAATTCACGTTAGATGTTTGAAGAACTAAAAAGTGTGTGTCGTTCGCAACGAAACGCTGTTGATTAAATTCAGACTTGGGTGTAGCTCGCCTCCCTTCGGCAGGCGTCGTTTGGTGAATACTTTGCTCGTCCTATTTCAAACATCCTACTAATCGTCGACCGTTAATCCGTAATAAGCGGCAACCGTGTCGTTTTGTTCGCTCTTCATCGTTTCATAAATGTGCTAGCCATTTGCAGGAGAGAAACAAATGTAACGCACTCTCGCGAATTTTATTAGCCAGTAATAAATATTTGCATCCCGATGCTTTGCACAATCGTGTTAAATGTACACGAAATACAAGAGAACAAAATGAAATCTTTACAGTTTAGAAACAGCACGAATATAGAAAATAAACAAATGATATATGCCAGGGGTTCTCAAACAAATTTTGAGTTTGAGGCGAAATATCAAGCCATTTTTTGAGAAATCGCTTCATAGTGCCCGTATTTAAAAATAAAACGATAAAACTATTGAAAATTAATTTTGAAAAAAAAGGACAACTCGCGGTTTTCAGTGGAAAAAAATCGTTTATGCGAGTATGCACAAAACAAACTCGCATGTAGCAGCGATTAAATATGCATTGAATGTGAAAATATTACCTGTCATAATTTAATGTCAATCGAGTCGATTTTTTTTTATTGTCATTCAGTGAGTATTTACATATGCGCCGTGATTAGTAATGGGCAAAGTCAATTTTTTTAATCGAATAATTCGAAAATTTTTAACGAATGATGAGAATATTGTCGAAATTACTAAATGGTTGAAAACTCGGTAATAACGCGGCATTTTTTACTTTTGAATTTCATCATGATCGCTGATTTTTTTTTGTCGCCGCGATCGTTCGGTCGGCCGACATCCTAATTAAAGCTGGTAAGCTAGCACTTTTTGTATTCCCAAGTATTAATTCTCATGCAAAAGCGGACATCGAAGTTTGGTTTTATATTTCAGGCAGAACTGTGAGTTCACATCGGCAAAGATTTTAATGACAGTTATCAAAGAGGTAATTCACAACACAAATAATGCTAATATTTGACTTTTTTATGCTTTCAATTTTCTGTCGCGTCTGTGATATTTGCGTATTAAATTATAATTAAAAACTCCGCAAATTCTTCATTGAATACTCAGTGTTGTTTAGAGTCAAGTTACTGATTGAATGAGTCGGCAATAATGGCATTTCGCCGTGGTCAAAATAATATTTCCCCCTAAAATCTCTGGAAGTTTTTATAGAATAAATTATTTACCTGTCTTATTTTATCTGGTTTCACATTTAGGATTTGAAAAAACAAAACGTTGTTAACGCGCTTTATTTAAAATTAGGAATTGAACAGATATGATGGCGCAGAATAAACAAAAAATACCATAACACAAAGATTTTTAAAGTTTATCGTTCCTGTTTATTAGCGAGAGTCGTAGGTAAATCATTACTCATAACCCTTACTTGTAAATTAATGTTAATAAAATAATGTATTGCCTTTCATTGCGCCGCGATTTATGTTAATGAAAGTGATTGTGTCGAGAGTCCTATTAGCATACAACACTTCTCTCCTTTCGAGCGCCCAAATATACGCCTTCTCTCTTATTGAATTACAATTAACATTTACACCTTTTTTTTAAAATAATATTATGTATAATAAAAATAGCAAAAAGGCCAAACAGCAAAATGAGTCAAATTAAAATACAGTTCATAACTGCTCATGTTAGATATTGAAATATGAGATGTACAGAATAACAAGCATTCAGCTAAGAATGGGTCAGTTTTGATAGTGTATATAAAGCATTAAATTTAGTGAATATTAATTTATAGGCCCTGAGAGCTGTTTTAGTGTAGCACAATATCATTTTCTTGTTTGTAAATTTTTGTCAATCATTTATTCTAGTCATGAGACATCACGAATACAAAATCTAGAAAATATCTTACACCACTGAATCATGCTCAATTTCAAAGGTTTTTCAATAAATAAGTACTTGATATTATTTCAAAAAATGCAAATTTGAGACCATTGTTCAAAGATATTCAATGGTATTTGTAAAAAAGAAAATCAAATCTAGCAATATCTTTGATATATTAAGACTGCATTATAATACAATAGCTTCAGATTAGCCTGAACAAAAGATAAAAAAAAGCCCCAAAGGTAAATAAAAAGTCCTCGACAATTTTATTGCGTTTCAGACAACTTTACATGGAAAACATTTAAAGTAAAACAGTTCTAGAAAGCTCAAATAGTGAAACAAAAACTCATGCGCCAAGAAACCAAGCAGAAAGAACCTTCCTAATTTGATTAGACATTCCGAGTGATCTGTTAGCTTCTGTGTGTGTGGTTCTGTAGCGCAAATTTCCTTTCACCCCACCCAAAACCACTGTTGAGCTTTACTGTTTTCATCACAATTTCTGATAAAAGTTAATGCATTTTGCCCTTTAACTTCACCTTCCACATATTTATTAGTTGCAGGATTCCTTAATAATTCACCATCTTGATTCCATATTTGTAATTCTGGTACTTCCCTGTGATCTTCTACACAATCAAGCATAGTTACACCATCCTCTGATTTCATTGCACTTAGGCACATTTCTTTTTCGGGATTATGCCATATTTCGTGTTTAAATGTATATTCAAAAAATTGGTTCCCACTTTGTCCATGACAGCTATACATTGTTATTTTTACACCTGTAGGACGGGGTGACGAGGGTTCGGCATAATCCAAACAATATGTCAATATGTATTGAACATTCTGTTACGAAGAGACCCATAACTTCCTGGCTTGTCTTCAGGGACATCAAAATCTGGATATACATTTGCTAGATACCACTTGAAAGATTTACAATTGAGGCGTTCACGCAAACTTACTCTTTCCCTTATGTCCCCATATTTTTCCTATTTAGCGGGGGGATTTCTGACATAAAAATGTTTTTTGTACGATGCCTGTTTTGGATAAACATGTCCTACATGAGAACATGGCAGTTTCTCTAACACTCCGCCACATATCCATACTCTGAAAGATAATTCAAGGTTTTCACCACCCCGTATTTCCCTACCAGTGTCGTAAGTACCAATGTGCAAAAAATAGGCTTTACAAATCGGATCAACAGGTCTTTTTATACGTTTTCGTTTTGCATATGAAATAGAATCCCATCAAAATTTAATCTCCAATTAAACCCACCAATTTGGGGTTCTTGACCACCATAGTAATATTGGAATGTATCATAATCAATATTGTCGACAACTGGAACAACAACTGCTGACTTCTCCTGCATTATTCGTTCAAGTGAAGGTTCAAGCCAACCACCCATGCATTCGCAATGGCAACCCAAGAATGTTATAACATCCCCTACAGCAGGGATGTCGGACCTTTTTCAATGAATGGGTCAAAAATTATATTTTTATCGCGGAACAGAAGTGAGTGGGTCACAGATATTTAGTCAATGCTTGTATCATTAAGAAACTTCTGAAACAAATATTATAAGCTTCTGTTGTTGTTTTGGGCTTTACTTATGCGGCACTTCTATCAGGGACTTATTATGGCACTCGAATATATTAAATTAGTGTAAGAAAACACACATATGAATTACCAAAAACGTTTAGGATGATGCGGCAAATTATTTTACGGTTCCAAACAGTTCGGGAGGGAATTCCACTCTGATAGTGTTATATTTTTCGATCGATATTCAACCACATTAAGGCACTTTTAAACTGTCCCATTGTTATTTCAGATTTCTAGGTTTTTAATTTCAAGTCTGAAAGATTTTGTTCTCTCAATGGCATTATAGGCTAGAAACTAATAAAATCTAGTTCTCGTATAGCCCCCAAGACAGTCTGCAGAAGCATTTATAAAAGAGACAAGACGTTGCGAGAAATGAACATATCAATTGCATTGTTATGTCATAAACGATGTCAGAGTCAATAGCTGATTAACGCGTACGAGATTAGGGATTTTGATAATTACCATACCTGTCCAGAAATTAATTTGAATATTGGCGATCGCAGCCCTGACGGTACATTATAATATTTTAGTTATTGTTAGATTCATTTAAGGCCGGTTTCATCAATGTTTATAGGTTACCTTTTTTTTTAAACTTATTCGTGCCTTGGCGGGTCACGAATAAAACGCAGTGGGTCACTTTGTGACCCACGGGTCAGTGGTTCGCCATCCCTGCCCTACAGTAT